TGTTTCCAACAAAGGTTGTCAAATTGACTGACATGTTTATCGTATAGTACAGTCCACTATGAAAATTAGCTGTGGTTTGTTTCAACTACCTATTTTTGTTGGGTAGTTTTATCTAGATTTATATTGGTTGTATATGTGGGTATGCGCTATACAATAATAAACCAGTCAGTTTCTAGTCTCTGTGTTTGATTGACGTTACACTGGCGACGGGCTGCTTTTAAGCAAATAATCGAATCCAACGCGCGTGATTTTTAGTGTTAAAATGCCTATTGGTACATTAGAACCTTTTGATGTACACTCTAAGCAATGGCCATCATATATTCGTCGCGTGAAACAATATATTTTACTCAACGAAATCAAGGACGAGTTACGTGTACCGTTATTAATACTGGTCANCAATTTTAAAGTTTTTTGTCACTTTCTAAGTGTTGAATTTTATGGAATTGGGAAAGAAGTACCGAGTTTGAAGCGTTCATGAGCAGACATTGCAGTTGAATATTCAAGTTCTGAATTTGATTATTGATGAATAATAAAAAAAATCCTACTAGCTCGATTGATGGTTTCATTTAATTTATTTAAACCAGGTTACCTATAATAATATGTTTTCGTTAATTTATGAAAATATTAAATTAGCCCGTAATCCTTAATCCTGATAAATAAAGTTAGCCTATTAATTTAACACAGGTACGACTGTACTCAGTGTTGCACTATCAAATGCGATTGATGCGCCTCTATGCCAGGGTTTTTATGTTCCTGGTCAGGCTATAGGATATTTCACTTTTTTATGCATAACAAGGCATTTGATCGCAATCGCACTTGGTGTAAAGTGAGATGCAGGCTAGGATGATACATAATATCTGCCCTGTAATTGCATCTCATACACTCTCGCCTTAAAAAGGCCCGGATTATAGTATTCAGGAAAGACAGCAGCAGGCAGCGAATTCCTTTATATCGAGCTCTCGCTTAACCTGAGAATCCAGCAATAAAACCACCTAAAAAGCATTTTGTAAAGCTAAGTATTTGCTTATTACCTGCTGCTTCTTGAAACTTTAGAACCAATTTTCATTTTCCAGATTCATCATGGTTTTGTGTAAGTTAACGTTGCAGTTGTGACGTAATAATATTATTTATCTTACTTTATTTAATGAGAGCAAAATGAGAAGCTCCGAAAAGCTCCTTAAGAGCAAAATAACGATTTGTAAGAACTATTTTATTAGTCTAAACAAATAAATAAATTTTGACTTTGACTTTGAAATGTATGACTGACTTCACGGTATATCACTGAATGAGTGGTACATCTGCCTCTATTAAGTATTGTATTGGAATTACACAATTATCACCATGACAACCTGCACGCAGGCCTTAATAATAGTGGCATAAAGCGAACTGGTAATAAAACAGCACTTTGGAGACTCGCCCAACTGTGAAAATAGCTCAAAACATTATCATTACCATGTTATCACAAGGCATTGTACACATGGAGAAACAAAATAACAATAAAAAAAACACTTGGCAAAATCACTTAGAATAAGCCATATCCATTTGGTGAATGTCTGCCAGGTGTAGGTAGTGTTCCGAGTCAGTGAGATACAGAAAATTATATTGCCAATACAATTTAACATAAGTAGGTATAACCTTAATTTCTTCAACAATGATCTTCCATTTTATAAAGTAAAAATTAAATGGTTACTAAACCTTCTGTAAATAAAAACATCACTGTAGAATCAAGTGAATAGCTTGGAAATTGCTTGTATGTATCTTTATGTGTATGTTCTGAGCTTATTAATAGCATACACAATACACATTATTTTTTATCTTCGTCAAAACTATCATCTTACCGCGACTTCTATTTGGTGTCTGTCTAGATTGCATCACCCTTAGAGTTAAGAAATTGGTAGATTTCCATTCGATGTAAACTTTCATCCCTTCAAAGTTTAATTCTAGATTGTAGATAACCTAATCATAAACTTATTATCTCTTTTCATAATTCATCGATTTTGTGAAAACTCAACAAACAGACAGATTTCTGTTTGCATTTATAATATTAGTCCGAGTAAATATAGTTTACGGAGCTACGCTTTTAACTCCTGAAAACACCACTTGCTAAAACTATAATCAAAATTAAATTACACAAAACAATAGTTTATATAAGAATAGCCGAAGTTGATCTCATGTCAGTTCGACTGGGTTTTAGATTGAGATAGATGAAGACAATCTTTGAATAAGTAGGTAAGTAATTTAAGGCTATTTTATTTTTTGTAGAATCTTATAAATGTTTTTATAACCCAAAAGTATATTCAAGCCACATAAATTAAAACTTGTACAAATGTCGAATTACAACCAATCTTGAATCTATGCTTAGAACCTACATCAAGTTTGCTACATTACATTTAATTTTTTTTTGTTGCAAAAAATCCAATATTAATTTGTGAAAATATAAATCAACAATCGAATCTGTAATCAATCAATCATTTATTAAATAAACAAAATAGCAAAGTTTGGGAAAGCAAGCTCAAATCCAATCCTTGTTTCGGCCATCACCCTGACGAAGGTTTCTCGATGAAATTAAGCCTCCTCTACACTGGCTTAGCTGTGATACGTGTGACATAGCATGCCAGTCGTCTAACAAAACCTAAAAAACCTCGTTTAGCAGACTGATCACTGAATAAACCAATAAATAAACTATAAAAAAATATTTTTAGTACCTACTTGGCCGGAGGCCTTTGTAATTAAATAAAACTCTCATTCTAGATGTAGGTTTTTCATTACAAAAGCAAATATCTCAAAAATAATCACTATTGTCAGTTGTCTCATCAAACTTCCTAGTTCCTACACACCCTCATGCCGGATCACGCAGTAAGCACACCAAATCATCATGAAATTCGTATTATGGAAAAGTTACGTCACGCTTACGTCGCGCCTCTGTCATACTTGCTGTGTACTAGAGGCTTAACTTGAAAACAATTGGACTGTGCCACTCCTAATAAAGTTAGTATTTATGAAACTTTGTCAGAAACGCATCAATCATAACTAAACAAGTTTGGCCAAGGTCAAAAGATGGTAGAGGAAACTTTTGGTGATTGAAAAGAAATACTGCAAGAAATCTATCAAATTGCTACAGAAAAATTAGTTCGTTCGTTTCAGCCGAAAGACGTCCACTGCTGGACAAAGGCCTCCCTAAGGATTTCCACAAAGACCGATCCTGCGCCGCTCGCATCCAGGCGCCTCCCGCGACCTTCACCAGATCGTCGGTCCACCTAGTGGGAGGCCTGCCCACGCTACGTCTACGTCGTCCGCTCAAGAACTTTCCTGCCCCAGCGGCCGTCAGCTCTACGAGCTATGTGCCCTGCCCACTGCCACTTGATTTTAGCGATTCTGCGGGCTATGTCAGTCACTATGGTTCTCCTACGGAAACTTCATGAAATACGTTATTTTTTCTTTAGAAAGGTACCTACACCTAACAAAAGTATACTATTACTTATTCTGTGCTTTTACATTATTTAAAATACAGTTTGTTCACATTATTACGTTGCTTTCCAAAACCACCTGTAGATCGATTTAAGTAGGTCTTCTTATTTTGTCGTATCGTCTCTAAAACTGATTTAATTTAGGAGCCCGACAATTTATTTCTAGGCTTATTTACACTGAAATAAACCCATAACTCGTTTTACTCAATCGCAAGTAATTTATCTCCTTTCATAACAAACAATCAAGGCTAATGAGCACTTCCCGGAAAAATCGTCGGAAAGTAAAAAGCTTGTCTTTTTAAAGTTATTGGCCTGAAAATTGTCTAAAGTTTATTTTAAAATACCTTGAAGGAATGTTTCTTCGAATTTTTCTGAACTTTTTGTCCAGACGCCCACATAATATTCGTATTGAAAACTTATTTCTTTTCATAACCAAACTCAATTGAAAAGAAGTCTAATATAAATATGTCTAGAAATTCTAAAAAACATACCAACCGAATTGAGAAACTCCTCCTTTCGTTAAAGTCGATTAAAAAAAATACTAGCTTTAAAAAGTAATCGACTTCAAACTACGACTACGCCCCACTCTAACTTTTTACAATCCTATTCTACAGTTGATGAACTAACTTGGTTAACTCTTTAAGGAAATTAAAAGTACCTACTCCATACTTTGAAATGTAAAACACTTGCATGTTACAATATTTACAAATTTTCAAACATTCATAAAATGAAGTTCTAAACTATTAATCTGGAACACAAAGACCACTAATCGCCGAATATTTGTAACCTAACTGAATATCCGGGTGATTAGGCTAATAACTTATTAGCCAAGTACCTACAAACGGAAGTTGTCATTATTTACGCCATCTCATTATTCGTAATAAGTAGTCGACAACTAGACAAATCCTGAGGTCCTACTCAAAAAAATTGTGCTCTACATATCGCTCTATCCATCTCTTTTACTCGCTTTATAATCGTTCCGGAAAAGACAGAGGCAGATAGAACACGTAATGTTATTTCAATAGATCGACTTTGCCGAATAGGCCCCTGAATTTGAAAAATTGCGAAAATGAACCATAATTTGGCCACATTTGATTTTTAACGGCACGAGCGACTGGTATCTAGCTAGTTGGATCTTTTTCGTGGATTAAAAATGTTAAGGCGCTTTTGTAAGTAGAGTTTGTTTTTGAATTATTGGTACCTACTGAAGTAGGTACTGTAAACTGTTTACTGTAATAATTTAATAAATGTTGGGCCAAATAAAATATTTTCTTTCTTTCTTTCTTTTTCCTGGTGTGAAGATTAGATTATCATTTTTAGATATTACTAAGAATGTATAATTAAATAGTAGCATAATACTAAGTGGAAGCCTTCTTCGCATGGTACGGCCAAAGTTTAGATTTATTTCCATGTTGTTTCTTCCAGTGTTTTGCCTGCCATATAAATTCTAAACTCTATATGTGATGTTTCTAAAAAGTATGTAATTTAATATTAATACTTATGTTTAAATTTCAGTAAGCGTTTAACTTGTGGATCGTCATAATGTCGAAAATTGTCTTCAAAATTAATGGAAAGGAATACGAAGGTATGTCATTATCTTGCGGATGTGTACTGTTTTAATTAAATTTGTCTTTTATCTGAAAGTTAATTAAAATTGTATTTCTTCATTATTACTCAAAGGAGATATTTCGACGTTTAGCTTTGATTTAATGTTTAAAACCTAGATTCGACTCTACTACGAGTATTATTCGTTTTTATGGGAGGTAAAGGAAACGTCTTCATCTTCTAAAGGTTCGTTTCAGCCGAAAGACGTCCACTGCTGGACAAAGGCCTCCCCCAAGAATTTCCACATAGGTACTTTTTTCATTTGAAACAGAGTCAGGGTTAGGCGCCAACGTTAGTATGAAAGGAAATAAATATTTGAGGAGGGACTATTTAACGTGTTACTTTTATAGAAATTGATAACGGTTTTGAAAGAAATAAAGTATTTAAGTATTTCAGTGGCATTGCAAAGCTTTAAATTGGTAAAAATTGCGAAAAAAAATTTGTCAAATACCAACCTCCTAAATACTATACTAGGTATATTAATTATCTAGTTAAACTAAAATAAAGAAGGTTTACTTAGTAATGATTTTGCAGTGTCTTGTATCCGTACTGTCATGCCATGGATGGGAGATAATGACAGTAGAAGGAATCGGCAACAGAACTATTGGATATCATGAGATACAGACTCGACTGGCTAGGTTCAACGGTACACAGTGTGGTTACTGTACTCCAGGGTGGATTATGAATATGTATAGGTAAGGCGCCATTTTTGATTGACATTCATTTTATAGTCTACCAGAATGAGTGACCACGATAAGGGAGTTACAAACCAAACATAGAAAATTTCTGTGTCCACTAGTCTCTCGGCTAGTGGTGTTCTCGTGGATGGCAGTTCTAAATGCTTATGTGTACTGTCTAATTTAGAAAAATATCTTATTGTTGTACGGGAATTCGATGAAAAATCAGGCGGAATTGCTGGTACTTTATTTATGGAAACTTTATTTCAGTATTTACGAATCAAAAAACAAAAAGCTTTCCATGGAAGAGATAGAAAACTCATTTGCAAGTAACATCTGCAGATGTACAGGATACAGACCTATAGCTGATGCCTTCAAAACATTCGCAACTGACGTCCATGATGACCTAAAAAACAAACTAGATGATATCGAAGACTTGTCTTTTTTCAAGCCATGCGGAGTTTCTTGCAACAAAAAATGTGTACATAAAACTAAGTGCCATGATACAGAGGTTAATGAAGGTGACTGGTGCGTTTTAGCCAAAGATAATAATAAAATGATTGTCATAGATTGCGGATCTCATAAATGGTATAAAGCATTTTGTTTAGATGACGTTTTTGAAGTAATGGGCAAAGCCAAGGATGACTATAAGTTGATAGCTGGGAATACAGGACAAGGTATGTTACTTTATTAACTCTGTGTCCAGTTCAAGTTTTATCGTCATTTAAACCCAAAGGACATAATATTAAACCTCTTCCAATGATCAAATTTTCATTTAAGATTAAAAAAAATAGAAAACAACTCTAAGTAAGTCATCTAAACGGGACACCTTGATTTCATATGTATTTCATGGACATGAAATGTAGGTAACCAATATCACAATGCCTGTGTGTTTATTACAGGTGTCTATCATGTCACAGACTACCCTGGCACAGTTATAGACATCTTCAACGTACCAGAACTAAAAGGCCACACAATTGATGTCAACTTGATACTTGGCGCTGGAATGCCTTTGTCTGAAATGATGGACCTTTTCCTACAACTGTCGAATTCTAATGAAGACTTTTCATACTTGAAACAATTTCACGAGCACATGGATCTTGTCGCCCATATTCCTGTACGAAATGTAAGGGTAAATAAATAATAAGTAACGTTCAAAGGTAATGTAGAGTTACTGAATATAATTTTTATTGTGTTTCAGATTGGAACTATAGGAGGAAATTTATTCATGAAACACACAAACAACGACTTTCAATCAGATATTTTCTTGCTTTTCGAAACAATTGGTGCTATGGTCACAATCGGTAAAAATAATACGAATTCAAATATCTTGGAAATCTTTTTAATTTTACGGAGGATATTTAATGATATTTTCTTTTATAGCGGAAGCTTCTCAGAAAACGAAAGCTGTTACTTTTATTGAATTCCTCAATACTGACATGAAAGGCAAAATTATAATGAATGTTTTGCTGCCACCGTTGTCTCAATGCTGTTTATTTAAGTCATACAAGGTAGGTATGTGATGTAATTTACTAAACATAGCAATGACCACAATAAAAAAACCACAGTCACAGTAGGTATTATCTGATCTAGAACAGCTGCTTAACTCGAATGAAAACAAGGAATGTTATTTTAGAAAACGCTTTATTTTAAATCTCGTCTTTTTTAGATAATGCCTCGGTCGCAAAATGCACACGCAGTTGTGAATGCTGGTTTCCTCTTCAAATTGAAACAAAAATCTAGTATAATAGAAAAAGCATCGCTTGTCTTTGGTAGCATAACGCCAAAATTCAGTCATGCAACAAAAACAGAAGCTGTATTAGCTGGAAAAGATCTATTTAAAAATGAGACACTTCAAATAGCCGTGACGACATTACTAGATGAAGTTTCACCAGAAGAAATGCCTCCAGAGCCTTCAGCAGCTTACAGGAAAATGTTAGCGGTTACTTTATTTTATAAGGTACGTATTGTTTGTTTTATTGTTGACATTTGATTCGTTTGTTTTGATTAGGTACGCTAATATAAACATCTCTAAATTGTAGGCAATCTTGTACTTATGCCCGGATGGCAAACTTGACAAGAAGTTTCGATCTGGTGGTGAGGCCATAAAACGACACACATCACAAGGAACACAGACTTTTGATACTGATAAAAGCGTCTGGCCTTTAAACCAACCTGTACCTAAGCTGGAAGCTCTGGTACAATGTGCAGGTGAAGCCACATTTGCGAATGATCTGCCAAAGCAAACTGGAGAAGTTTATGCAGCGTTTGTTACAGCTGATATAAGACCTGGGAGTATCATTAGTGGCTTTGATGCCACAGAAGCACTCGTGAGTATCAATGTTATCTCTACTTTAAGGTAACTAATACACATTCTTATTTGTTTGATCTTTGACTTTGATTTTTCAGAAATGTCCTGGAGTAATTGCGTTTTACACCGCTAAAGACATACCCGGAGATAATTCGTTTACTCCTCCAAATGTGCCCATCATAATAGAAAATGAAGAAATTCTATGCTCTGAAAAAGTGAAATACTATGGAGAACCAGCCGGAATAATCGTTGCTGATAAAGAGAAAACAGCCAATAAAGCCGCAAAACTAGTTAAGATTACATATTCATCTACAAATAAAAATAAACCTATTATTTCTATAGCAGATGCAATGAAAGCACCAGACAAGGATCAAAGAATTGTCAAAGCCAGAACTATTGAACCAACTGAAATTGGCAATGATGTAAAATGTGTTTTATACGGAGAATTCAATGTAGGAACCCAGCATCATTTTTACATAGAACCTCAAACTTGTGTAACTAAACCAACCGAAGATGGAATGGAAGTATACTCTGCATGTCAGTGGCTTGATTTGCCGAATGTTGCTATAGCACAAAGTCTTAAAATGCCAGTGAATAAGTATGATTATTGATCATACTCCTATTTATATGATACCAAAACGAACAACAATCACACTAATTAATACAATTCATTTTATAGTCCTCGTTACATGAAGCTTTTTGCTTGTGGTTTCAGAATAAATGTCATCATACGCCGAGTGGGAGGGGCCTACGGAGGCAAAATAACGCGCTCATGCCAAATTGCATGTGGCGCGGCCTTGGTGACCCACTTGCTAGGGAGGACTTGTAGATTTATTCTGCCTTTGCAAACTAATATGAAAATCATTGGTAAAAGGCTATCTACTGCCTGCAATTTTGAGGTACATACCTACACCCAAAAAAAGTCTTATGCTTTTTATGACTTAAAGACGACATTAGGTATATCCATATTTAGACACTTATTTTCAAAGCTTTATACCATTATTTACCTAAAAATACCTTTACAGGTTGGTGTAAATAAGGAAGGTGTGATTCAATTCTTAAAACACAAATTCTATCAAGACAATGGTTGCTCAAACAATGAAAATATAAGCCCAGTTACAGTGAATCACGTTCTAAATTGCTACGACACTCGACGATGGTACATTGAAGCTAATAGTGTTGCTACTGATACACCTTCCAACACTTGGTGTAGGGCGCCGTGTAAGTAAATTCACCAAAGATTAATATTACGATATGACGACGATTTTACGATTAGAAATAAGACGAATGCTAATGAATAATATTAATGGGTTTCAGCTTCAACTGAAGGTATAGCGATGATAGAATATATCATGGAAAGAATTGCTTACAATCTGGGTAAAGATCCTTTGGAAGTCAGAATGAAAAATATGGCTAAAGAAGACAACCCCATTCCCGAGTTAATTGACCAAATAAAAAAGGACTCTAACTACGATGAACGCGTAAATGAGGCGAAGCAATTTAACGACGAAAATAGATGGAGGAAAAGAGCTATCAAACTAATTCCAATGACTTACGATACATTTTACATCGGCCCTTACAATTCTATTGTATCTATTTATCATGCAGATGGGTCTATTTCTCTTACTCATGGTGCAGCTGAAATGGGACAAGGGATAAACACAAAAGCAGCTCAAGTCTGCGCGTACATGTTTGGTATAGGTTTAGACAAAGTGAGTGTGAAACCAAGTTCTAGTTTTACATCTCCAAATTGCACAGCCACAGGAGCAAGTATTGGTAGCGAATGTGTATGTTTCGCCACGATGAAAGCTTGTGAAATAATTTTGGAGCGATTGAAACCCATTAGAGAAAAATTAAAAAATCCAACTTGGGAAGTGCTGGTGAAAGAAGCAAATGCCGCTGGGGTAGACCTGCAAGCATCTTATGCTTACTCCTCGAAAGATAATGTAAAGCCGTATGATATTTACGGAGTGGTTGTCATGGAGATAGAATTGGACATTTTGTCTGGAAACCATGATATTCGAAGGGTTGATTTGCTTGAGGATACTGGAAGGAGTTTGAGCCCCCAAATCGATGTGGCACAGGTAAGTGTTAGTAAAAGAAAACTCTAAATATTAAAAGTACACCTTAACACCGAAGCTGCGGATCTACCGATACTGTTTGTGAGATATTCTTTAAGAATCTCAATCTAAATATATCATAGCCACAAAACCGCCGACAGCTTTGATGTGTAGAGTGCCTAAGATCGAAATCTAAGTATTTTACTTCTAGATCGAAGGAGCATTCGTGATGGGTCTTGGTTACTGGACGTCTGAAAATAACATCATGGATCCTGACACCGGAAGAATACTTACTGATCGCACGTGGACTTACAAGCCACCGGGAATCAAGGACATTCCAGCTGACTTTAGAGTTTATTTTAGAAGAAATGCTAGCAACCCTTTGGGAGTATTGCAATCAAAAGGTATTTATGTCTAAAATAATATGAAAAATGCGCGTGTTAAGTCCTTCTGTGACCAAAAACCACGCAGACGAGGCCGTGGGCAAAAGCTCATGCAATAAATATGAAAGTTTTTGCATAGCTTTCATTCTCCTTTCTTGGATTTTGTTCAAAAAGCTTTTATTGAAATAGTATTAGTTAAGTTTCAGGTCATATTTTATGTGCATGTGGATTGAGTGATCCTTGCTTCAATCTTAACAAAAATCGAGGAAGTTTTACTTAAAATATGTTAAAACATTGCGATGAAGTTTAAAAATTTGTTAAACCTAAGATAAAAATGTTATGGCCAATAAATAGGAGCACTCATACCGCACGCTTTAAGAAAACGTTAACATGTTTATTTCAGAAAATAAAGCCTTACCACTTCTTTTTATAGTATTGAAAAATTGTTAAGAATATGTTAAAACTATTAACAAATTCCGAAATCCCCTGCACGTCCCGTTCCAAAGTTATGACGATTATTTAGGATCACTCACACCGCACACGGGCCGTATGAGTGCTCTTCAAAATCATGACTATTTATTAATAAATACTTTTTATTTCTGTTGGGAAATGTGTGCAAACTGACGAGCGAATTTGTTAAAGAATAAGTGTGACAAAACTTAAAAGCTGAAGGAAGAAATTAACCTTTATTCTTTCCTCCAATATGCCGTGTGAGTGATCCTTACTTTTACCTCTATCTGCTCATATGTAGTTCGTAGGCAGACTGAGTTAGTATCTAAAATTGTTAATCGTTTCTAACAATAAGTTGGCATATATTTTGCTTTTATTAAGGCCATAATTTAAGAAATATCAGGCTTAGATGATTCCTAAAGGAAAATGTTGATTAGGGTACATATGATTTTTTATTTTGTGAGACTGTTTCGATTCATCAGAAGTTTTCCTAAGGACGTTATAACCCAGAATAATATAATATAGGTGTTGATGACGGTTTATGGTTTTAATTTTTATTTTGTTTTTGAGGGTGTGTTTAAAATGTACTAGTATGCATACTACCTACATTGTGCAAAATGTTAAAGAGCGCGACGCGTCGCGAGCCCGCTACCAGTCTGTGAGCATCACCGGGCGCGAGCGCATGTCGCTTTGTATTTCACTCTAAAGGCGTGGTTTCCCAAATAAAGACTTTAGAGCGTGTGAACGTGTTTAAATCAGTATCCCGTAGTCTTCAATAGGCTATAGGTAATTTATGACGATATACGATATTGCAAGAAGGGCTCAGCCAGCGGGCTGTCGCACGTCAGCTCCACATTTAAGCCAGTCTTGGGTTTCGAAAGTTTTAAGACGCTTTCGGGAGACTGGTGGCTTTATCCCGAGACCAAGTTCTGAACAGCGTCGGTGCACATCGCAGAGGAATGACCGTTTTTTCATGTCAACCTCTCTATGAAATCGTCATTTGACTGGTATCGACGTCCAGCAAGAGCTCAGAAATGTTCGTAGGATAGCTGTTAGCGTGTGGATGGTGGACAGTTCGTCTAAGATATAAGCAATAGAATTTGACTCCAAAAAGGCCTGCCACAGGCTCAAAACTGACGGCAGGCCACCGACTAGCACGCTTTCAATTAGCTCGTACACGTCCTTAGGAAAACTTCTGATGAATTGAAACAGTCTCACAAAATAAAAAATCATATGTACCTACCCTAATCAACATTTTCCTTTAGGAATCATCTAAGCCTGATATTTCTTAAATTATGGCCTTAATAAAAGCAAAATATATGCCAACTTATTGTTAGAAACGATTAACAATTTTAGNTAAGAGCAAATTATTTCTGTGTGAGCTAAAAACGTACTTTTAAAAGTTCCTCAGTCTTCTGGTAGTCAAGCGTAAGCAGCCAATTTGTTACTTTAGTTTTTAAATTAAATCAAATAAAATTTGATGTGCCTAGCAAAATTTCAATTAATGTTAAATTAATATGGAGAGCGGGGATATTCTACCACAAGTATTTATTACTTAAACGAAGTCCTCGATCGCAATATGGAAATGTAAAAACACCTGGTTATGAATAAAGAATTTGAATTTGAAAAATTTGAATTTGAATTTCTAGCAACATGTTACAATTATTTTTAACTAGAACTATCAATCAGTACACCGACTATGAAAAATTACTCGTGTTTTGTGGTAAATATACGAAATAGGCAGTAAAGTACCTAATTTAAGTCTTTGAATAGGTTTTAAAAGTAATCTACGGGTTACAAAAGGGCTTCTTTGCTCAAACATCCTAAAATAATTAACCAAAGTGATGAAATAATATAAAATTAAACGGGCCGTAAAGTACGTAGAATATTGCTTAGTTATATTTTTCTTTATTAACAGGGAATCCTTGCACAGTGGAAAACATCTTCATGGCAGTCGGGCATAAAGTCGAGCATTTTAAGTTGAAGTGAGGAGGTGGAATTTTTACCCCGAAAATTCTATTGTTCCGGGGAACATTGAGCCCGTAATGGCAGTGAAATTGGGAGAATGATTGGCCTGAGCCGGCGAAATGTTACACTCGAATTCGTTTTTAACTCGCTTGTTTATTCTGATGTTTTTCTTTTCTTTTGTTGTGAAGTAGTTTCCCTCGATGTTTGATTTTAAAAATAAAACGCAACTAATTCATTTTTGTTTCATTTTTAGTTTTTATTTCGGCTTTTCTAGCAACGATTTTCGGCTAGGATTTACTCGTACAATGCGTAAATCATAATTAATTATCCATCAATCTGTCAACAGCCAATAATCGTAGCAGCATTAATTAATTGCAATGTAGTAATAAACGTTTAATAATTCACGTGCGTCACTTTGCAGTATAATCTATTATTAAACAGACATTGTGATCAGCTAATTGTTATTAATGATTTAATTATCACATTGAACTAGTACTGATTTCTATTAATTCTGGTACTATTATTTATAAAAAAAAAAAAAAATCAATCTGGTTCATTGTACGAGCACATTCATTCATTCACATTCTCGCGTTTTTATTACTTGTAATGTAGGAAAGAAAAAAAAACCGGTCACATAGCAACTGTGATAGCAACTGTTGAGCGTTACGTAATGGAAGCCAAGCAGGTTGCTGGTTTTGTAGTTGCAGTGTGGGTAGGTTAAGAATAAAACTACACTTGAATTTGAAAAAATACAGCATTTGAGCGGTTTGTTATTATTTTATTTTATTTTAACTTCATTATTTTCTGTACCTAGTTTCATTTAATACATAAATGAAACGAGCTTGTCTGTTGCGTGCACTTGCTGCTTATTTATTATAAAGTGTATTCTGTATTTTTCTTATAAGTGAATATAATTGTATTCTTTTAGAAAAATAAATATTATCTAAAACCATAAATACGCAAGAAACATAATTGATTAGCTACAAATAATAAAATAAGACTAACTTAGGCTAGACTAGTTAGGGTTTGGTAAAATAAATATTAACACAACACATACAGGGTGTTAGGTAAATGGGTATATGAGCCGACACTAGTCAGAAAATTGATATCTTCATTTTAATTATTTTAATTTTCATACAAATCGGATTTTATAAAATTTGTTTTGTATGAAAATTAAAAAAAAATGATGTTATCAAATTTCTAACTTCACCATACCATTTATATGCCCATGTTAACATGGGCTAGTGTCGGCTCATATACCCATTTACCTAACATCCTGTATAATGTCATTGNTGAGCAGATAGAGGTAAAAGTAAGGATCACTCACACGGCATACTGGAGGAAAGAATAAAGGTTAATTTCTTCCTTCATCTTTTAAGTTTTGTCACACTTATTCTTTAACAAATTCGCTCGTCAGTTTGCACACATTTCCCAACAGAAATAAAACGTATTTATTAATAAATAGTCATGATTTTGAAGAGCACTCATACGGCCCGTGTGCGGTGTGAGTGATCCTAAATAATCGTCATAACTTTGGAACGGGACGTGCAAGGGATTTCGGAATTTGTTAATAGTTTTAACATATTCTTAACAATTTTTCAATACTATAAAAAGAAGTGGAAAGGCTTTATTTTCTGAAATAAACATGTTAACGTTTTCTTAAAGCGTGCGGTATGAGTGCTCCTATTTATTGGCCATAACATTTTTATCTTAGGTTTAACAAATTTTTAAACTTCATTGCAATGTTTTAACATATTTTAAGTAAAACTTCCTCGATTTTTGTTAAGATTGAAGCAAGGATCACTCAATCCACATGCACATCATATTTTCAACTAGGTAACTTCCTACTAATTTCTATAATTTTAGCTACTGGGGAACCGGCGTTATGTTTAGCTGTGGTGATTACACACGCCTTGAGAGAAGCTGTTAGGTCAGCCCGCCTGGATGCTGGTTACGAGGACCAATGGGTGGATATAAGTACGTACTGTAATAGTTTTTGTTGAAAAATACACCTATTTACACTTTAAAGATTAGGCCAGTAGAATTAAACACAAAAATGAATTAAATCGGAAACAATTCGTACTAAAGATTTTAGTGCTTTAATGGCTTCATTAGTTGCCCATAAAGACTCTCCTAGGTTTTCGACTTCGACGGAGTTGTGCTTAACTAGTGGGGGCCCCCGAAAGGGGCGCTTTTTAGGTTTTCCGGTTATACCGCGTAAAGGACTTACCCTATCGAAAAGTGGTCTTCCTGACAGTTGAAAGGCATTTAATCCTGCATTAAATAAGACCAAATTCATATGTTTTGAACAAACCGTTCTCGTGCAAATGTTCGGCAAAGTAGAAAATATGTGTATAATTAATGACCCTCTCCAGGTCAAATGGCTCGTTACCCGCAGGCTTCCAAGTCTTGGATTGGAGCGCCTCAACCAGTGTAACCCTATCAAGGCTCACGAGCTTGCGCCTAACCTTGTTCGTCCCAGCCGTTTCTTAACTGCGGTTGCTGCACCTCTTCCTGGCACTCACCTGAACGACTCTGTGTTACCTACTGTGGCTGCCCCTCTTCCTTGTATCCTCCTGCACGACTACGTTGCCTAGCCGTATGCCTGGTCTAAGGTTCGACGCCAAAAATCCCCCGGGCCCCCACCACTTAAGCACAACTCCGTCGAAGTCGAAAACCTAGGAGAGTCTTATTGGGCAACCAATGAAGCCATTAAAGCAATAAAATCTTTTGTAAGAATTATTTCCGACTTAGAATCTAATTCTACTGGCCTAGATCTTATATTAGTTGATTAAAATAATAATAAAAAAAATATTTTTTGATAATAATTACATTGTAAAAAGAAAAAATTAAAAATAAGAAAGTAAGATGAATAAAAGAATAATAATAATAATTTTCTTTATTAATTGTAACATAATACAGAGACTTTAAAAGAACTCTGATTTCCGAACTAGGTATAGAATACCTGTATCTCAGAAGATCAGCGCCCTCTTCCACAGATCATAAACAAAGAAAAATTAAAAGTGTTAATGTTCACAAACAAAAAAACTGATAAAATAGTACATTGTGAGGTGTATGAGTTTGAGGTGTATCGGTGTGAGTGTGTNTTTTGTAATTTTAAATACCTACCTACAGAAGATTCTGTAATGACCAAATGGTTCCTTATTACTTTATTGTAATGATTAGGTAGATATTGTTTTGAGTACCTAATTAATATTTTGTTATTGTAATAATTGTAATTTTGAATACCTACATAGGTACATAAAAGTATGTGTAATGAAAGTGATTATTTTTTAATGAAGGTTTCGTGTCAAAATAGTAAACATTATTATATTGTTTCCTTTTCCATTTCCTTCTACATTTTTAGCCAAGGTCCTGCGGTTACACTTAAGTTTAGCCGGCTAAAGATAGAAGAAACTAACATTAACACCTCGCCGAAGATAAACTTAAGTTTAGCCAGCTAATCTTAAGTTTATGTTCACACCTATCTTTAGCCGTAACATCATCATTAACGATATGTAGTAACTAATCAAAATTCTGTTATAAATAAAAATACATTCAAATAGACTAGTAAACCATTAGTCTAATTGCTTCGGAGAACAATAAGAAAACTAATAGCTTCGTCAAGTCAGCAACCAAACCAAGTATAATCAACGTGGCTCTACATTCAAACCACACCACCAAATAGGAAGTTAAAGAAGTAGACTCTGTTTATTCTAGATACCTGAGAACTTTTATTTAAATAGCTAATATCTTTCGTATAAAGGCCGTAGAACATTATTTTCATCATTATCATAATTTCAGCCATAGGACGTCCACTGCTGAACATAGGCCTCCCCCAATGACTTCCACATCGCACGGTTGGTAGCGGCCTGCTTCCAGCGCCTTCCTGCTACCTTTATCAGGTCGTCGGTCCACTTTGTGGGTGGACGTCCAACGCTTTAATTTACCCGGAAAAGGATCATAACCGTGGCGGTTAGTGTTATTTGTATGCAACTCCATGCTGCAACGCACACTTATCCGCACCGTAACGTAAACGCCTCGCCTCGCGGTTTGCGATGCGCAGCGCGCAAAAGGCGATCACAGCTCGCTCGCAAAAGGCGATACGGTCTTATTTTGTGATATGGTGTTGATCCCTTTCCGAGTTGATATGTCTGCTATGACCTTATACATTTTGAATTGTGTCAAGTCAAAGGGACTTATTTTTGAAGCTTTAAGAATCCCATTCGCATAATAATGAGGACAAACTTAAAACCTTATTCGTGTGAGATTGTATATGAATTAGAATTCTATATCTTCAGTAATAATGACTCTTGTAAATTCAGATTGCTAATTATTCCAAACCTAACCCGAAAACCTAAGCTGGCAGAAGGTTTGGTTAGGAAAAGCAATGGTAATTATTTTCATTACAAATGTAACCCTTTTCCTAATTTATGCCGTTCCAAACTTAACCAAAATGTATGAATTATTTAGTCATTTTGTCTGTAGAAGCACAGAATAATAATAAGTACTACGTAGAAGTAAATACAGCGTGAATCTACGAGTACACGAGTGAAATTGGATGGCATGGCGTATATTTATACAGTAAAGCCTTTGTCCAGTTTTGGACGTCATTCGGCAGAAACGAACGAAGGAACATTTCTAAAGAGTAAGGATTTGTGGGCGGCGGAGGACTACGTATAGATAGATATACTTACTATCCTGATTACGTCCTTATGACCCTGAGTTGAGTTTATTCTTAATTTCAGCTCGATTGAAAACCGGAAGGTGGGTCAATTTTACGTTACAATATTTGACGACAGACACCAGACATGTGAAAGTAAATAAAAGCTTGTAAAATAATACCAAGACAATACAACTTGAGAACAAACTTGCTGCTAAAATCTACAGTATGACTGCACCGGACCTCCGCCATAACGTTCCAACGACAACCGAACCATTAGCTGGGCAAAGAATTGGGCAAACGCCAACATTCTGTTATGGCCCCATTCCGTCAAACTTACGATTCTACCCCGAACAGATCACCGGCTGGGATCACAAAATCTGAGAATAGAGTTTAAATAAACCGGAATGGTACGTAGTCCCGCATACGTAGCAAGATTTTCCATTTAGTGGAGTCCGGCCAGATTTAAACGGGACATTCAAAATGTCAGACGCCGCGCACATCAGACTGTGCATTTTTGCTGAAAACTCAACCCTATTACAACCATATAAGACCTAACAGTATTCAGCTTCACGTGCTGCACTCCGTACCTAGAATTTTAGGAATGTTATTTGACGGGCCGAAACCCTGTCTTTTTTACTTTAGTGAGCACTTGGAATAATAATTCCAACTGGATTATAGAGTCTGAAGTCTCCAAGTGTTAACTAGATAGTTTGGGTTCGTAACATGAAATCATGGAAAAGTCGAAACTGGACTTAAATTCAAGCATGATTTTGTTGAATTTTAATATTTATTTGAACCAATGAAAGACTTTGAATCTATTTAAGTGTAAAACCTTGTACTATGATCAATTTTCAGACGAGTCTCAGACTTTCTGTGACAAGATAGATAAAGGCGATTGGTTTACTTGCAAGAGGATCAATCAAATAATTGAAATTATTGAGTTTCCCCGAAACGTACAGGACGAGGGCTAAAGTGGTCAAATATTCGAAAGGCAGCACGTCCGCCATAATTCGCCATAATCGGATTTATGGAAGAAGAGTCAGCTCCATAATTTGATGGTCACTTTCTACAGCTGAAAACTGTAGAAGGTATTTATGAAGCTTCTAAATTTTTCTTGCTTCCCTTTTTGCTTTTGATATTTTGTCAAAGGTATTGTGATGCAACTGTCAATTTTACGACATCATCTGACCAGATTATTTTACTTTTCTTATCTTATTTTAAAAGCATACGTTGACTTTTTTAGATTTGTGCTCCATGCAGAGCAAATAGCAATGTCATCTAGGAAGTGGCGTAATACGTCTAGATTCTACACTCGCGAGCAAAACTATGGAATCACTTACATGAAGTTGTTTCCACGCGATCTTGTGTACTAACGAATTTGTTAGTAACAAAAAAAGTGGCACCATTTTAAAGATTAAACTTTTAACTTTAAATTGATACCAAATTTATTTAAATCACATCAGTATTTAAAAAGATATCCCGGTTAATGTGAAAAAGTAAGGAAAAAGACATGTATCAACTCTTTGATACGTCGCGAGTTGCGGCCTATTTACCCCCTATAAAAGCACGTGTTTTCGGATTTTGCTTTTACACATGAATCCTTACACATCTCCGCTTCTTTTGACACTTTACCTGGGATTCTACACCTTCAGAAGCAGCACAAATCGTTGCACTATTGCAAGAAGAGCTCAGCCAGCAGGCTGTCGCACGTCAGCTCCATATAAGCCAGTCCTGGGTTTCGAAAGTTTTAAGACGCTTTCGGGAGACTGGTGGCTTTATCCCGAGACCAAGTTCTGAACAGCCCCAGTGAACATCGCAGAGGGATGACCGTTTTTTCATGTCAACCTCTCTATAAAATCGTCATTTGACTGGTATCGACGTCCAGCAAGAGCTCAGAAATGTTCGTAGGATAGCTGTTAGCAAGTGGACAGTTCGTCTAAGATATAAGCAATAGAATTTGACTCCAAAAAGGCCTGCCACGGGCTCGAAACTGACGGAAGGTCACCGATAAGCACGCTTTCAATTTGCTCGTACACATCTCGATGGGAAGTCGAGCAAGCCACCCCTATAAGCCACTGTTTCAGCGAACCAGCACTGCACAAATCTCTCCCCAGGCCGCCTATAGACCCGACCTCTTCGACTGCTGCACTGCAAACACAGTCTGCATTCATCGGAGAACAAAACTCGCCTCCATTACTCGCCTTCCCATCAAAATAAGTGCGAGCTAATTGAAAGCGTGCTAGTCGGTGACTTGCCGTCAGTTTCGAGCCTGTGGCAGACCTTTTTGGAGTCAAATTCTATTGCTCATATCTTATCTTAGACGAACTGTCCACTCGCTAACAGCTTTCCTACAAACATTTCTGGGCTCTTGCTGGACGTCGATATCAGTCAAATAACGATTTCATAGAGAGTTTGACATGAAAAAACGGTCATCCCTCTGCGATGTGCACCGGCGCTGTTCAGAACTTGGTCTCGGGATAAAGCCACCAGTCTCCTGAAAGCGTCTTAAAACTTTAGAAACCCAAGACTGGCTTATGTGGAGCTGACGTGCGACAGCCCGCTGGCTGAGCCCTTCTTGCAATAATGCAACGATTTGTGCTGCTTCTGAAGGTGTAGAATCCCAGGTAAAGTGTCAGAAGAAGCGGAGATGTGTAAGGATCAACGTGTGAAAGCAAAAATCCGAAAACACGTGCTTTTATAGGGGGTAAATAGGCCGCAACTCGCGACGTATCAAACAGTTGATACATGTCTTTTTCCTTACTTCTTTACATCAGCCGGGATATCTTTTTAAATACTGGTGTGATTTAAATGAATTTGGTATCAATTTAAAGTTAAAAGTTTAATCTTTAAAATGGTGCCACTTTTTTTATTACTAACAAATTCGTTAGTTCACAAGATCGCGTGGAAACAACTTCATGTAAGTGATTCCATATTTTTGCTCGCAAGTGTAGATATACAGGGTGGAAACGATAAGTGATCTCACTCGATTATTTCTAAACTATAAAAGATATCAAAATACTGGTTATTGATCCTGAAAGTGATTTTGAGCTTTTTCAAACGGTACCAATAATAGGTTGCAGAATCGTTTCCACACTGTTTATCCTACTTTTCCCACTTCTACTTAGTGATGTTAGAGCGAATTCATTTTGTGTTAAAAAACATTTTTTTCTAGTTACTCATTAATGGCCTGTTTGTTTCAAGCTTTTTATATTGCTTCTGCCTTCAACTGTACAAGTTAATGTAATTTCGGTGGGCTGTCCGTTACTTCCCTGACCGTGCGTAGCATATTGAAGGGAGCTGCCATATTATAAAATATGTATATTTATATTACATGCAACATTTTAATAAGTAATTAACTTGTCCTTCAACCGCAGCCGCAGGAAAATAAATAAATTAACGAAAATATTTATTTATTCTTTGAAAATTTAACGCTTGGTGCAAATGTTCACTAGGAAAGAATACCTTAGCCTTGAAGTGCGTCTATCAACCACTTAAAATGTGATATTTTAACTTATTTTATTTATATCTTTAGGGTTTGCAAACAAATGTGACACAAATTGCAAAGTTAGTGTGTTATAAACATTTATATGAATAAATGAAGGGAAAGTTTTTATGGGAATCGATAATATTGGTAAAAAATCTCGATAAGTTATTGATTCAACAATTGACAATATCTGACCAATTAAAGTACGAAAATTATTTTTATTAAACGTTAATTGAATGANTTTATATGCCCATGTTAACATACTCATATTCACTATATGAGTATGTTAACATGGGCTGGTCTCGGCTCATATACCCATTTACCTAACACCCTGTATATGTTACGGCTAAAGATAGTTGTGAACATAAACTTAAGATTAGCCGGCTAAACTTAAGTTTATCTTCGAGAAGCAGCTAAAGTTCGATAACATGTTAGTTTGCGTCGTGATATTCCATCTTTAGCCGGCTAATGTGCACATTAGCCAAAACGAAATGGCTAAAAATGTATTCGATGGGCGCGCCAGGCCGGCGGAGGGCTTGAGGGGACGGGCGGGGGGAGACAACGCGCGCGCAGTTTTATTTTGTAATTTTAAATACCTACCTACAGAAGATTCTGTAATGAACAAATGGTTCCTTATTACTTTATTGTAATGATTAGGTAGATATTGTTTTAGTACCTAATTAATATTTTGTTATTGTAATAATTGTAATTTTGAATACCTACATAGGTACATAAAAGTATGTGTAATGAAAGTGATTATTTAAAAAAATGGCTACTGGTTAACATCGCGCGTTAACTTGGAGCTAAAAATGGGTCAAAGTTACGCGTCGTGTCACAACGCTTATAATAAAAATGTACGAGCACTTGCACAAAATAGTTGTTACAACCAACCTTTTGTTGGGTCTAATTCTCGTCACTACACTGCACAACTTAAAATAATTACGTTTTTTGTCGGTAAAAACGTCCTGGTGACGTCACTTAAGCATTTTTCTTATACTGCGTGCGGTCGTTGCGCGTGCGCACAAAGGAATGAGACCGCTCGGACACCGAGCCCACAGCGTGGTAGGGGTGGGGTTGCCCGCTCTTTTGTTTTTTAATACTACTACGCTGAATATTGTGTGCGGATTGGGTTGTCGTACAGGGGTACTACATGGTAAAATAAATCTCGGAGGCGAAAGCAGGATAATTAAGGTTATTACGCACTGCCCAATTTATTCTGCAAACATAATGTTATTGTGTCAAGTACGAATTAAAATCAACAATTCAGTTATTTTAGTGTTATTCGCTAATCCTTCATCAATATTATTGTAAAACCTTTTGAATTAAATACATGAGTGGGTTTCAAAATATTGTTTTAATGTTGAAACAGTCTCGGGGTCTGTGTCGGTAAATTAGTGACTCACCTTCTTTTAATGAGAATTAGAGCTCTTAGAAATTGATACTTTTAAAATCCTTCATTATTTTAAAGTATATTTAATTTTTTCTGTTTACATTTACCGCTTTCAACAAATCCTGGTGGTTTTCTAGAAAAACCCCTATTCAGCTGTAATGAGTCGTAAATATCAATCACGTCATAAAATATGTTAACATCAAAAATTAAAGTTATAAAATTTAATGACACATTAAGCTTTACTTGACGTCATTTGAAGGGAATGCACCACTTTCGAGTGTTTTTCAACACAATAATGTATTCTCTAACGACGAAAAAACATTTTCAGCACAAAATTATGATTTTTCACTTGAAAATATCGCCTCGGTACTTGAATCCATGATATTTGGCCAGACAGACTACATTGACTAAAAAGTTCGGAGGCATTACTTAGGCTGAGTTGCACCACCAAACTTTAACGGTAACTATGACGATAACCGGTGCTTTTTGTATGAAGTCTGACAGATTTTTGACGTTTGTCAAAGTTAAAGTAAGATGATGCAACCCAGCCTTAGTAAACCTGTAGAAATCTTCAAGTAACTTTTGTACTACATGAAATTGGTTTTTAGCCAATTTCTGCATCACCTAAATAATATTTGTAAACAGACAAACATTTATCTCTTCTAGTATAGTTAAATCGTTAACCCACACTTCGTGCTACTTATAAAAAGTTACCTCGTTAAATATTTAACAGTTTTAACCCCTTGACGTCCATCAAATAGAGTTCTTCAAAAGTTCCATATAAAATGCAAAGTGGTGTGTTCAAAAATATATTTAGTAAGTACGCCTTTGAGAATATTGATGTGGCACGGGTGAAATAGTTTTTTTTATTGTTTCCTTGATTCAATAAGTATTAAATTAAAATTTATTTTAGGTTTAACGAATGCAGCTTGACAGGGTCAACTTGGTTTAGTACGCAAACCAAGCAAGACAAGCTGCTATGGGCAGTGGGTCAGACAAATTTTATATGACAAACAAACACTGTCGCACTCTTTCACAACATATTTATTCTGAATTTTGTCTATGTATTTAATCCTTTATTTCATTGACATAGTACGGATGTGGTACGGGGCTCAGTTTTTAACTTTGACACTGCACTTTATACTTCAAAATCAAAATCTATACTTATAATAAATCTGTAGAGAGGTCAATTCTGTACATCTATATATATAAAAGAAAGTCGTGTTAGTTACTCCACTTATAACTCAAGAACGGCTGAACCGATTTAGCTGAAAATTGTCAGGGAGGTAGTTTAGAGCCAGGAGAAGGACATAGGATACTTTTTATCCCGTTCGAAATAAAAAAAGTCTGCTTATTTATTGCCATTAAGGCGGAACAAAGTTCGCCGGGTCAGCTAGTGAAATATATTTTCAAAATAACTATCAGGGGGTGATTAGTGATCGATACTGATGCCAAAAATGCAATCAGTAAAATTTTTGTCTGTCTGTCTGTCTGTCTGTCTGTCTGTCTGTATGTTCCTTATAGAAACAAAAACTACTCGACGGATTTTAACGAAACTTGGTACAATTATTCTTCATACACCTGGGCAGGTTATAGGATACTTAGGAATTCCCACGGGAACGGGAATTAGCGGGAAAATCCTTTTCTATGAAAAATCTAAACCGCTTAAGTTAGACGCTTGAAATTTGGCATGCAGGTACCTTAGTAAACTTAAAGCTTAGTTACAACAGGATATTGCAAAATTCCCACGGGAACGGGAGTTAGCGGGAAAAAACATTTGTATGAAAAATCTAAACCGCTTAAGTTAGACGCTTGAAATTTAGCATGCAGATACCTTAATAAACTTAAAGCTTAGTTACAACAGGATATTGCAAAATTCCCACGGAAACGGGAGTTAGTGGGAAAAAATATTTGTATGAAAAAATCTAAACCGCGTAAGATAGACCCTTGAAATTTGGCATGAAGATACCTTAGTAAACTTAAAGCTTAGTTACAACAGGATATTGCAAAATTCCCACGGGAACGGGAGTTAGCGGGAAAAAACATTTGTATGAAAAAATCTAAACTGCGTAAGATAGACTCTTGAAATTTGGCATGCAGGTACCTTAGTAAACTTAAAGCTTAGTTACAACAGGATATTGCAAAATACCCACGGGAACGGGAGTTAGCGGGAAAAAACATTTGTATAAAAAAATTTAAACCGCGTAAGGTGGACGCTTGAAATTTGGCATGCAGGTACCTTAGTAAACTTAAAGCTTAGTTACAACAGGATATTGCAAAATTCCCACGGGAACGGGAGTTAGCAGGAAGAAATATTGTATGAAAAAATCTGAACCGCGTAAGATAGATGAAGGGGGGGTAAAACGAGATCCACGCGTACGAAGTCGCGGGCGGCCGCTAGTCAAAAATATCTTTGTTTAGTTAGACTAATTAAATTAATTCTTAAAAATCGTTAAATACTCTTAAGGAACATGTCTGATTTTTTTTTGTCCTACTAGCGCTCTATGATACCAGAATATAGTTAGGTATATTTTACATACAGTCTAATTCCAGGAAGTAATTGGCAATATAGGAATTTGGTTGTGGGAACTCCTGTTGCTTTTGAGTAGGGTCTGAGCCCTTGGGTCAACTAGGAAATTGTACTAGTCAAATTAAATCTGTGACGTACTATTTTCCAACCCCTAAAATAGAATAGAATAGAATAGAAAGTATTTATTTGTCTCAAAACAGGTTTCATTTACAGTTTTTTACAGATACAAAAATCATAAGATACAAAAAGCAGGTCTATGACTCAATGATTGCAGGAGACCCACAAACCCTGTTATTCTGCCATAGCCAAGATACGAAGACACGAAGATAGTTAAAAGTAAGAAAAATTATAATAGTACTTATACGTTTGTCTTATTAATTATATTATTTAAATATTGGAAAATTATTATACTTTTGGTTCGTTCTTTAATTTCAACCAATGACGTCCACTGCTGGACAAAGGCCTCTCCCAAGGATTTCCGCAACGAAGGCCTTGGCGGCTGGCATCCAGGTACTTCTCGCGACCTTTTCACCAGATTGTCGGTCCACCTAGTCACCAAATTTTGGTAGAAAAAAGATAGACACAACTCGAAATCCCAGCAGTGTAACCAAACATCTGCAAAATCAGAATACTCTTAATTCATGCAGGTGAAGTGTTAAATGGGAATAAGGTAAGGATTTTCCTCATTTATTATCATAAAATCCACTCACATCCCGCCTTTAAAACTTCACGAGGCAGTTTATAAATATGAGGCGAATAATTCAAATAATCTGACGTTATTCCGTGTTATCGCACCAAACAGGCGGTAATACCCGTCTCATACATTAACTTTATTGCAGGTGTATTGGACCTTTATTTTATTGTGCTATACATCAAAATTATTGCCGATACGAACTTATTTTTGACACTTTAAGCTGGTAAACAGTTTTACTTACCTGTAGTACAGAAGAGTTGAGGTGTATGAATTTCTTAAATTACGTGAGGCTACGTGAATTTTTGAAATAGTTTTCGTCCTCAGTGATTATTGTCATCATCGTAAGTCCACAGCTGGACGAAAAGTTTCCCATTAGGAGGCTTGCGTTGGGAATTTAGTAGGTAACTCCAATTGTCAGCAATGCAAGATCCTCATAAACTTCTTTAGGTGCGAAAATCGTAAAAAAAAATATTATGTAGGTACACGTAAAAATCTTAGGTACCTACTATTTTACACAGAAACAGTAAGTATCACTTACATGGACTTCCCCTATAAACGTCCTATATTAAGCAATTTCTATGGCAATTTAATGGTGTTTCGATCAATGACGTATGAGGAGCCGACCAATTGTCTAAGAGGCGGGACCTGTACAGACGAAGGCAACAGTGGACAGGTTTTTTTTTAGCATTTTTCCTCTATGTTGTGGAAAACTACACGGAAAAGACTAGATATTATTTACATCCATGGGTAAAAAAATCATAGAGAAGGGTCACAGAGAAGGTAGCTGAGTAATTCAACAATAAAGGACATGAAAATATTGTCGTTTAAATATGTACTAATTAAAAATGTATTTCTATTCCCAAGTAGACCCTTTCTATAAAAGACTAGCTCAGCGGAGTCGAATTCAGAACGGAAAATTATACTTGGAATAGGACCTTCTGAGTGCTCGTCGTTGTTTGCATGTTATGTAACAACGGATTCGGAAATCTTTGATACAGTTTTCTTCCTTTTCAAAATACAGGAATATTTTCTCTGATTAAAATTTTCTATCTACAGTACTTAAGAGCACTGTTTCTTCAGGGGGCAATACAAAATACCGCCTTGTAATATCCGTGAGTTGTACTGTAGTCAAATATGTACAATACCTACTGTAAAAAACATTAAATAAAAATATATGTATAAAAAAATAGTGACTGTTGCCTGCCAGTGTACACCAGCCCGCCCACAGATTAAAGCAATGCATCCACAACTAGACTTCAAAGGACCGTCTTGACGGCCAGTACTGCTGCGCTCACGTATGTATTAATTAACTTCTTTTTTTTTTTCAATTAAAGACTCCAAAGTGATATATTCCGTGTTAGACACAGAAAAGTTCCTTTAATTGAAATTTTACAAGAAAAATGTGAGGAAAATAAATGTCGTTTCTGATAGTGTTTGAGTGAAGGAAATAATTTCTTTTGAAAACAAGGCTATGTGTAATTGAAAACTATTACAACGTTTTTGAAAATAGATAATTTTTTTGGCGTTTTGAAAATTACTTTCATTGTTACGTAGTCTTTAGTAAACACTTTTTTCAGTGAAGTAAAAATAGTTTAGGTGCCTAATTAATTAATATTTACCACTCTAACTGAAAAATATCGTACATATCACAAATTTTCTTACGCTATCTACTGCGATAGCATTTATAAAGCTTTTTGGTTGTCCATTTAGACAAAATGATATTTTAAACAAAATGATATGATGCGATAGTTAAAATTGCGATCAAACAATTAAAACTCGAGTCACGGGCATTCAATTATTTTGTGAGTGAATTTTGTCATTTGACGATTTGTTTTGTTGCACGGGAAATAATAACGTCCGTATTTAATACTCAAATACCTACCTACAACAACTGAATAAATTTTCGTACCTTTGAAAACATGAAATTTTATTTTATAGTAACTTAGCATTTATTTTAATAACTCTATTATTAAAATTAAAATTATTAAAATAAATGCTAAGTTACTATAAAATAAAAACTTGCTTTTTCAGTGATAAACATTTCAAGAGAAAATGCCCGTTATACTAGTTTTTCTAAGGCTGAGTTGCACCAACTTACTTTAACCGTAACTATGACAATGACCGGTGTTTTTTGTATGGCGTTTGACAGATTTTTGACGTTTGGTAAAGTTAAAATAAGATGGTGCAACTCAGACTAAGAAGTTAAAAAAAGATATTCAATAGCAAACAAAACCATAGATCATTGCGAACGAACAAAGTTACTTGTCAATCTAAGAATTTCAGTGAAAAGAAAACCTGAAAGTTACCCGAAATAAAAGTTCTGAATTTCCAGTAAAATCTAAAAAGGCAAACTTGTTTTGAATGTTTTATGTCTTGTCCAGTTCTGACAATTCCGAACCTTATCAAAAGTTTCATATCTCTTGCTATATTTAGATGTTTTAATTCAAAAGTAAACATAAAGTTCCATTTATTGTTCTGAAGCAGTGGTAGGGTTAATACTAGGACGTGTAAAAGTGCTTTTTAAGCCTATTTGCAGAAATAAATGAGTTTTATGAGTTTCTATGAATTGAAAATTAGGTACCTATTCAATTTCTTTCATATACTTGTTAAATCGCACTCATATTAGAAGTAACGATATTTTAAAAGTTTGCGTGCACATTTTAGGTTATGACAATTTATTGCCATGCCATAACTTGTATCGATTCTAAGCTAAACTGTTATGACGTCAGAAGTAGTCTAACTTTTGACATCACTAGCATAATTTATCTCTAGTATACGGGATGTAACGGGCAGGCTGTCAAAAACAGAGAGTTCAAACTATGCTTAAGTTGTAAAGTACTGAAGTTTCCTGGTTACGTGTTCATATTTTATAGATTTAATTGTATTTTATTCTATGGATACCTTTTAGACATCTCATTTTGTATTAGATACTTTATTAAATCTAAATAGCTACTGCCAAATGTGTAACTTTAATTTTTCAATGAATAATATTTTTTAATAAATCAATGTGGTTCCAAAAATAGCATTTCGAGCTTGAATTAACTATACAATATTAGGACTGGATGCACTCATAATAGCAAAATCTGAAGGTGACTAAAGAAATCAATGAGCTAGTCATGACCCATGGCCGTGAAAGGAAAATCGTGTGAACACTTCAATGCTCGCCATATGGCCAATTTCTATGATAATCAATGAGCATTGTGACATATGTGATGAATAAGTTAATTTAAGCCTAGTATTCACTAGTCTGACATCTTATTAGGTCACGTCTTATTTTTATTCAACGGAGGGAAGCCGATTTTATATTTCGAACTCTATATTCTTCTGATTAAATTCGTGGGTTCCAAGACAGTAAAGCTTCAACCACACCAACGCGTGCAGATCTCCATCGCCGGCGCGATCAAAGGCCAATGACAGGTCGCGCGACCTATGACAGTTCACGCGACCTGTCATTGGCCTTTGACCGCGCTGTGATCGCGCCGGCGATGGCGATCTGCAAGCGTTGGTGTGGTTGAAGCTTTAGCTATCCCCCGGGTCTACTCATCCTTCACTGGGTTGCGTTTATTTGGATTTCATTTGAGGCTTGCTGTGTGTTTCGTTGTGGGATTCGTTCGTGTTCAGCCAAATGACATCCACTGCTGGACAAAGGCCTCCCTAAGGATTCCACAACGACCGGTTCAGCGCTGCCTGCTTCTAGGTACTTCACGCAACCTTCACCAAATCGTCGGTCCACTTAGTGTAAGCTAGGCCTGCCCACTTTTGACCCTTGTGTAAATTGAAATTAGTCTCATTTAAAAATACCTTCAATAATGCTTTCGTATTGAGATACCTATCACTGTTCACCAGTGAACACGATGCCTTAGCCTCACAAAGCCGACTAACCTTACGTCCCCACGTACACTTATAATTTTTTATGACATGATAATTAGGAACCATGACAACTGCTATTCAACCAACCTAAATGCCATTGCTTTGGAAGTTGATGGGCAAGGCCTATATCCAGCTGTTGGCGGTCTAGCTCTAGACTGAAATTTTTAACCACTTCTTCTTCTTCTTCTTATTCGTTACGCTCTTGGCAGAGCGGTCGTGGTCACGTTGAGGCGTTGTTCACATCGGTTGTCCGCCTCTACAACTCTCCGCAAGATCTCCCTCCATCTCTCTCTATTGGCAGACTGTCTGGTGCAGTCACATACGCCGTCTCCCACTGCTGATTTCACTTGGTCGGTCCAGCGCATTGGTGACCTGCCACGCGATCGGGTTGCTTCGACTTTTCACCACTACTGGGATGCTTTTGGCTTGCATTTTACCTGATGGAAGATAATGATTAGGTCGAGGGTGGAAGCCAGCTTCACCTGGGATCCGCAACCACAAAGGAACTGGGTATCTTACATCCAACTGCTGAAACACAACAATGCTGTTAGCATGTTGGTAGCTACTAGCTAGCCAGGTGGGTCTAGAACAGGTCTTGTGGGAAAACTACCTACTTTAGGCCCAGAGGTCCCGGGTTAGATTCTCAGTGGGGGCAAGATTTTTCTATTCGGTTTGGTAGGCCTGTTATTAGTCCGCCTAGGTAGCTACTATCATCTTACCTGAGTCTTTTAGCTATAACAACAATGTCAACAGTATTATTGTTTCTGGTAGTTAGATATCCAGTTCCTTGTTAGTTGAGGATTATGTGTGAAGATAAGTTCTGCCAAGAACGAGTTGATGATCAACCCATATTATTTCAGATGTAACCAGACTGTTCGGCAGTCCAGAAGATGCAGCTGCAGAAACCACTCAAGATCGGGCTGGGGATGATGGGTGCGGGGCTCTTCGGCATCATATTTGGATGGGTGCTGTTCCCTGTCATCCTAAAGAGCCAGTTGAAGAAGGTATTGTATACTTATACTAAAGGTTTCTACTGCCACTTCTTCTCAGCATCAGAAGGTAATTATGGGCAGTTATATTGGGAAGTGTCTATGTGCCCTGGAAAGGGCCAACATACTAATTAAGAACTTTTTGAACATATGTTAAAACATCATAAAAGAAAAAAAACTTGATATCTACGACTTAAGAGACTGAGGTTCCATCTTTACTAGTTAAGTTTCATAGGCCAAGCTGTACGTGGCTATAGAGGAGTTTGAATGACGAGGACAATAAGTTTAGGGGTCAAACATGGACAAATTATCACACGTACAAGAGTCAAATCAACTGCAGTCAAAAAATATCTGTCGTAAATTATGTAATCAAGATCATGCCCTCCATTAAGATTGATCTCTACTGCATAACATTTCAAATGTAATTAGTATTTTGTCGTACCTAATTCCCTGTTCTGTCTAATAACAGAAAGGCGTACTTTAATTATCTATTTGTTTTCCTTGACTTAAAAGTACTGTTAACAAAGCTATCATTAAACTCAATGGTATTGCCGTGGGACAGCTCATGTGTGCTGGACATGTTAAATACCTGATTTCTTATTCTATTTTTTACTAGTAAAATAGATTTAAAAACCCTCTTTGAGGCCATTCTCGTTTGTTATGGGGCTGAAGAACTAGTAATTTTCTTTTCAAATTGACAAAGACACGTATCGTATCGTAATGGATGGAATAGTTTTTTAAAGAGTCATTTGTTACCTATTCTGTAAACTCCCAATTAAATATGAATAATCAATCAGAGACATTTTAGAATATAGAATATTAAGTGATTCACCACAAGTGGGCAATGGCATGCTATAAAAGTGCCTGCCCCACGGTCCAGGTCCAATTTATCTACTTTATTAAAAGTACTCTAGGTGTCAGAGCATACCTTCAGATAAGTACAGAATTACTTTCGCATTCATACCATAAGTTGCTCAGACAGAGATTCTTACAATTTAACATTATTTTAAATGCATAATACCGATTTCCAGTAAAAAAGGAAAGGCAGTAACGTATCTTCCCAAAAACTGAGTAAATTACTCGGTAAACACAGTACCTACTCAAAAATAAATCTTCCAAAAAATAGCATTATAAGATAAAAAAAATATATAAATAAGTGGATTATTTTTAATAAACCACATTGAATGAAGCGTTACAAGCTGATTCATAACGGAAATCTTCTAGACAACCTTCAGACATTGTAATTGAATCGTAGAGTTATTTGAAAAGAAACGCGAAGATACCAAAAAGTTGAGACCTCATAGTAATGTTTAAATTCTTGTGACTGAAATGATGATAATGATAATGTAAAATTATCGATTTTGTGCTATTTTATTACAATCAACAGTAAAATATAATAACGAGGTAAGTATGTAACTACGAGTAGGTACCTACCTGCCTGTTAAATATGCAAACTTTCATTACCTAACTAAACGCAAAAACAGTCCTACAATTTTTAATCCCTTGACTTTAAAGAATTAATTAATAACTTGAAGTATCATCTAACTAATAAAATAGCGACTATAACGGTAGTGAAACTGCGTTAAAACATTTTCATTTTCCCCGAGGCAGCAATAAAAATGTCCGTGCCTACCTAAAATCACGTTTCCGTCGGAATTAACAATTCATGAAATTAACGAACTTCTCGCCAACTGCATGTCCCAAATCAGAATCGACGGGATTTATGAGTACAGAGTACATTCATTCCACAGACAACAATGTGAATAATTAAAAATCTGAAACGCTTGGCTGTATGCCACTTGGCTAAGATATAGAAGGTTCGGTAGCACACAGTCATATTTTTTTTCTTTTTCTATTCTTTATCATGTTACTTGTAACATTTGGACGTAAAATACGTTGTCAAAATTTATGAGCCGCTTTAGGTTATAAAGTTGCACAACGGGTAGGCATTGTTTCAAAGTACGGAATTCGTTCGTTCGTTTCAGCCGAAAGACGTCCACTGCTGGACAAAGGCCTCCCCCAAGGATTTCCACAAAGACTGGTCCTGCGCCGCTCGCATCCAGGCACTTATTTTTTCATCATAATCATGATTTCAACCATAAGACGTCTGTCATCCACTGCCGTACAAAGGACTCCCCCAATATTTTCCAGATTGACCGATTGGTAGCAGCCTGCATCCAGTGCCGTCTTATGAGATCGTCTGTCTAACTTGTCGGAATGGACGAAATACATAAATAATTTCATTTGTATTTGAAGCATACCAGATAAGCGTGAGCTTACTGCCAAAAATCATGTTGTATTTTGTCACCGCTAAGTTGGAATTTTAATTAATCAGTACCTACAGAGCTGCATAAAATGGCTTAACCAACTTACGTCATGAAGAATAATTAATCAATGAGGTATTTTGTGATTTATTTTCCCATAGCTTTTATTTATGAGATTGATTCTCTTTTAATAATGTTTCGTTTAACCCTGCGAATGTCGCGATACACGCGACTCATTTTTTATTTTGTAAAGAATAAAACAAATTAATTACTGTGGCATTTTAAAGAGTAGTTAAGTTGTCATAGATGCTATTTTTTACAAAATTTATTGTATGGTCTGATGTGCTGCCGACTGTTGGCTATTTAAATTTGGTTAAATTAATTACTTTTTTTTATTAAATACGTACGATTATATGTATTTTCAGAAAAGACAATATTATTATGGATGAAAAACATCCAAAAGGTTCACTTAACATAACGAATGCTTTGAAAATAATTGATTCTGAAAATGTATTCAAATAGGTTAGCATAACTTTTATTGCATAACACTGTCATATTTTTTAACCAAAATACAAATCTGTTTATAAATACAAATTATTTTAAATAGATTTTTTTTAATTTTACTACACGAGTACTTAATTAATTTTATAATCCGTGAACACTACAGGGTTTTGTTTGTAAACAGAGATGAATTAATGAAAACCCGAGTATCAGCTGTGTAATTCATATTTATTTTTAATCTCATTATTTACCACTAGCTTTTGCCCGCGGCTTCACCCGCGTGAAATTTCGCTTGTCACAGATCGTCATAAATTATAGCCTTTATGTTATTCTGGGCTATAAACAATAGTACTGTAAAGTCTCATCATAATCCGTTCAGTAGTTTTTGCGAGAAAGAGTAACAAACATCCAGACATCCAAACTTTCGCATTTACCTACTTGTATAATATTAGTAGAATTTACTTACTAAGCATGATGTGTTTATTTTAATTTATTGCATTTTATTTGTACTTTCGGGAAAACAATTAGTGGCACGTGGTGCACTACAAGGAAATTCATTTAACTAATGAAATCAACGGGACATGGCATGGCTTAGGGATCAAATTATTCCGGATAAACTATAAACAGATATTTTTTGACATGTATTTCTTCGATAAAAATAGGTCTAGTTTCACCTATTTTCATATGTGCACTTTATCAAGACTAGGCACTGTAGTAAAATAACGGCAGCCAAATTATTTTTGGTAATATGTTTTTGTTCTTCACTAGGAAATGGCGTTGTCGAAAAAAACCGACGTGCGAGCCATGTGGGAGAAGATTCCCTTCGCCCTGGACTTCAAAGTGTACATGTTCAACTACACCAATGTGGAGGAGATCATGAAGGGTGCCGCTCCCATCGTCAAGGAAATCGGGCCTTTTCACTTTGAGTAAGTAATTTTTTTCTTGTAATAATACCAAGTTCTTGACAATAATGACTTCTAAAGCCATGTATTCATTAGGCAACATTTGTTGATAAACACTGTTTATAAACTGTTCATAAACAATGTTTCATAATGTTTCATCTACTCTGTAAACAGTTTATAAACAGTCCATAACCATAGGTGGTGAAACATTGTTTGATACATGTTGCCGTGCTCCCCGCTATGAGTGGAGAGCAAGTGTGGACGGCCGAGTTTCAGAAACCTGTGTTTATGGTAAACATGTTTCACACTAGTCATAAACTGTTGTATCAACAAATGTTGCCTAATGAATACATGGCTTAACTTTTCGTTTCATTACTCGGTCGACTGAATTAGTATACGTTTTCATCCTGCAACTGGGAACCTGGACGCCGCTACCAACCGGGAAACATGGAAAGCAATGGTCCGAGGCCTATGTTCAGCAGTGGACGTCCTATGACTGAGACCTATGATGATGATGATGATAAGTAATGAGGGAATCACCAGTAAGACCGATCGTTAAGGAAATCCTTGACGATCGGTCGGATGCGCTTATGTAGAGTAGTCATGTCACATATTTTCTAAAGACCTAATTGAAAGGAAAGATTATTGTGATTTTATCGCTACAATCACGATATTTAATCTACACAATACTATTTAGACACACTGAATCGGTTCTGTTATTTTGTCTAAAACGCAATCCACTATTGGGACTGTATAAAATCCACAATCTAATAAATATCTTCCTAAAAATAAAATTTATGACGTTGTAGTATTTTTTTCATACGATAGTGGGTAGGTACATATATCTTTAACACAAATTGGTACTTTTTCTGAAAGATCACGTATTTTTTCTATAAGTTAAAAATATTTTTTGCTATAAGGGGATATTGAGGAAAATTGTATCTCGTATCAAAAGTATACGTGAAATAAATATACGAGAGGAAACGATTTCTATTTCAGTACACATACAAATCGTATTTTTACTAGTTTTGCCCTGTGAATTTGTCTGTTCGCGATGATTTTAAGTCATCATATTCATCATCATCATTTCAGCCACAGGACGTCCACTGCTGAACATATTATGGCCTCCCTAATGATTTCCACAACGCCCGGTTGGTAGCGGCCCATATAGCTATACCTTTAGGAGATCGTCGGTTCACCTTGTTGGTGAACATCCCACACTGCGTTTTCCGGTACTGGCCTCCGCTCCAGAACCTTGCTGCCCCATCGGCCGTCAGTTCTGCGTACTACCTGCCCATTGCCATCTCAGCTTTCCAATCCGTCGGGCTATGTCAGCGACTTTAGTTCGTCTACGGATCTCCTCATCAAATTACGCTGTATAAAATATTTTTATAGATACTCCACAGCTCCTTTTTGTAATAACAAAACATATTCACTACATTGGTAATAATAAAAACCTAAACCTGTAATTTTCTTTGAAGTGTTTCTGTTGTGCAAAACGCTTATTTTCATGCTTGTTTTGGTACCTACTCTGTAATTTGTTGCCACTTTTGTATAATGTTGCTGTAGTGTGTGTTTGAATATTAGATCAAAGATGTGAGATGGCATATGTTGATTTTCCCTTGGGTTGCCTAATTGAGTTGTTATTGCAAGGAAAATAACTATTTAGTTAATACTACTAAGCCCGTCCCGAGTTTGTCTGGATTAAACAAAATTATGTTTCTTCAGTAGACGTCGGTCGATGTCTATCTGGGAGATAAACGATCTTTGAAATGTAGAAAACTTTTGCAGTTTGCAAATACAAATTACTAATAATCCCGTTAACCCTTCGTAGTAGGCTGAATACTCGTATGCTGAGTGTTTTATGAGAGGGTTCGCCACAATAGTCAAGCAGCGGCGAGGTTCGAACCCGCGTTCCTCGGTTCACGAGTCGGCCAGTCCGACCATTTCACCGGACCTCTAATGGGTTAATTATTTCTTTAATAAAATATCACATAAAACTACTACTACTACCTACCTACTTTCGCTTAAATAAGTACGTTACTAAAGTCCTATGAGTGACCTAGTCCCATTTTATTTCTTTCGAAGTCTGGGTCTGGCGAACAAGTAATAACTTTGTGAAGAATGCTAGGTTTCCAATTTAGGGGGAACTTTTTTATTCTAAGACAAGATCGTTTTTCTGCAGAGCCCTAAGAAAAATCAGTCGCTTTAAGTCAACAATACCAAAAGTACCTAAGCTTTCGATTATAATAAAAGATGATATTTAATTTTATCTAAGTAATTGCTTTTTGATGAGTCTCTGTATAAGTTACATAGAGAGTCATACTTTATTATTTTTAAAGAAAAAAGCACTCACCAAAAATCTTAATTTGTCTGCATTCTTATATCTTGTCAAATATTGTCTCAATACCTAAGCCCATTGTGAAGAAAAAAAATTTTTTTTATTTTTTATTCTGTATTTTAAGAACTAAGTTTAGCCTCACCTTGAGTCATATTATTATTCTCACCAAGTCTAAAGCATAAGACTAAATTGTGACTAAATTTCGAGTTTTTCACTTTGAACTTACCTTAAAATTTAAGCAAGGCCACTATGTCAAATGTTTGCAGTCAGATTTTGGAAGTAAATGTAGAATAAGAATGTTTTACTTAATAGCGGGTGCTCAAAGTGGAATAAATCTGTCCTGAATCTAGGCTTAAACTTTACTAATATTATAAATGCGAAAGTAACTCGTGTCTGTCTGTCTTGCTTTCACGCTTAAACCACTGATCCGATTTTTATGATCCCGGGAAAGGACATAGGATAGTTTATATCCCGGTTTTTGAATCAGGGACGCGCGCGATAATGTTTTTCTGTGACAGACAAAATTCCACGCGGGTGAAGCTGCGGGCGGAAATCTAGTATAATACAGGGTGTTTGGCGCATCGTGTGCCAAAATGATTTGGCGGATAGAATGGGTCATTTCCTATATTTTCAGCCCCCATAACACGTTCCATGCCAGGCGGCTACTTTTAAATTAATTTTTTTAGTAATTTCACCAAAATACCCAAATCGCATCATTTAATTTCGATTAAAAAAAAAACTACTAGGCGCAGCCCTAAAGTAAATATTTTGTTTTGACGTGCATTAATGTAGGGTTGCATCAAATCTAAATTTACTGGCAAATATCATCTAGTTTTTTTAAAATTCAGCTTTGAAGTTTTCAGAAAAGTTAAAAATGGCCTGAACATTTAAGTTTACATGGGTATAATTTTCTTTTTTAAAAGAGATAGCGATCTTCGGATTTTATNTTATTACTACAAAGGCGTTTTCTACTCGTGGATTGGAAGAGATGGCCCTATACAGTGGCCTACACGTTCCCCAGACCTAACTCCGTTCGATTTTTACGTCTGGGGACAAGCTAAAGAACTGGTGTACGTAACGGATTCAAACAATAGAAAAACTACAACGAATAGAAAACGCCTTATTAGTAATAAAAAGAGAAATGTGGCTGCATACGACAACAGTCGAAATTAGAAGAAGATGTCTTGAGTGTATACGTTGCCGAGGCGGACATTTTGAACAAAATTTGTAATAATTAATAAACGATCAAAATAATTATTTTCGTCTTTAATTTCAAGAAATCCACATTGAAAAACGATAGGGAAAAGGTTTTTACATTGCATAAGATAAATAATTTTTACCTGTTATGTGTTCTACGTGCTATTCACACAAAAAGGAGCTATAAACACAAATTTCGCAAATCAGTCCGAGTAGAGTCAATGCACTAATTTAAGGAATTTGTGAAGTTGTTGTTATTATTTAAACAAGATTAGTATACCGTTTGAATGAGGATAGACTAGAGAAGTTTTGATAAAATCCGAAGATCGCTATCTCTTTTAAAAAAAAAATTATACCCTTGTAAACTTAAATGTTCAGTCCATTTTTAACTTTTCGGAAAACTTTAAAGCTGAATTTTAAAAACGGAACACATTGCTCGCGACAGCAATGATGAAAGCACACTGGGTTTGGAACTTAGCGCATTAGTCGGCATCTCTCTAGATCTCTATGGGTGCGGCTATGCAATTCCTCTGAGCGTTCAATTATGCTGTTACAGCGAGCTAAACCTTTGGCAAACATTGGCGTTTGATACTCCGTTACAAGGCAAGCTAATTTGAGTTACGCCCGTATTCATAAACATTACTATGAGGTCTCACAGTGCGCGTGGACGCACAGGGTGACACAACAATCACAGAGCTCTATTCACCGCTGTGCTTTCGATTTGCTGCTTCACTTAAGCAAGCATTGTTTGAGAATACGGGCGTTAATGTAGAGCTAAAGGATATTAACCAGACCACGACTTGTGAGGGTTTCAGCTATACAGGGTGGAAACGATAAGTGATCTCACTCGATTATTTCTAAACTATACAAGATATCTAAAAACTGGTTACTGATGCTGAAAGTGTTCCACAAGCTCTTTCAAACGGTACCAATAATAGGTTACAGAATAAACTGGAACTATCCCAAAATTCAATGTTTCCAGCTTCCATACTAAATGTATGCCGACGACACATTATTAGAAGTGTAATTTATTTTTTGTTAATTAATAAACTTAAAATGTCGGTTAAATAAACTCGTAACTTGCATCTTATTTAAAATTATTAGTGAAAAACATAAGTTTCAGGCTTTACTTGCTATAAAATTATCAAGAGATGAGTGCCATGACTGTGATAGTACTAAATGTATGGAAGACGGAAACATTGAATTTTAGGATAGATCCAGTATATTCTGTAACTTGATATTGATACCGTTGGATAGAGCTCGTGAAGCACTTTGTATAGTTTAGAAATAATCGGGTGAGATCACTTATCGTTTCCACCCTGTATAGGATCGTTTGATGTGTCGCTAGACATACTCTGTGGCTAGATGCCACTTGAAACTTAGCGAAAGTTCTATTCTTGTCGACCTTAAATTGTTTCGAAAGATATTCACTTAGGTAGTACGGTTTTAATATCACTGTTGCTATGAACATGGTTTCTGTCTATAGATCATCCGATATGAAGAGCAGGGGTAAATCAAGCTATCGGGTTTGCAAATCAAATTTAACTTTTCATGAAGCTTACTTTTCTGTCTGATTTAGGAACGTAGGGAATCTATTTCTGAACGATTTTCATTGAAATGGTGATGTGAAAAGAATTCGTGTGTTTATATCATCATCAATTTATTTGCATCTCGTAAAGTCAAATGTCAAAGGTATACTGTCTTGTAGGTACTACCACAGAATAATAATAAGTACTACGTACAGAAGTTTTACTTCGCGAAGGTATTTAAAAAAATGTATGCTCAATGTCATTAACAATATGGTGTAATTTAGCCTGTCTCAAGAGTCAAGCACCATTTTGTTGACAAACGTCAGTGATCGGCACTGCGCCGAAGCTATAGGGCTGACTTCGGTAAAATGATGTGACGTGAGGTGCCAAACTGCGGAAAATGGCGGAGGAAATACATGATTTAGCATGAATAATATTAACTACTTATTTACCTCTCAGTGTCTTGAGGCAACTTAAAAAAGTACATTCTGTGTTTTTATTATTATTTAGGCAGTTAAATACTGCATAGTATTTAGTACACCATTTTCTTTATTTTCTTCCATCATACACAAGAATACGCGTGCGTGAGTCAATGTTCGCTCGTAAGTGAGGCCTTGTCGAATAGTATCCTGTAGGTGGGCCATCGTGCGTGTTTTAGGAAACTCCACACACCAGATGGAAAATTCAACCCTATCAGCATTATTTTAGAGCTCATTTAGTAATACCATCGAGGCAAATATTTTTAATTAAGTATCATGAGATGATACGAGATTTAACTAAATTAACAAGCACGAGATTTTTTATTCAGTTTTGATCAAGTCACAAACTGAGCTGAGTTTCTAAAATTATGAGGACATTTTTATTGCTAATTTTAATCCGGTTAATAAGTATGAGATGCGAAATTTTACCTACTTTCGCATTATAATGAGCTTATTTACTTACTTATTATTAGAGATGAAACGGATATCCGGTAACTATCCGGTAGGCCGGATATCCGGCCTAAATTTACTATCCGGCCGGATACCGGATAGTAACTCACTATCCGGCCGGATACCGGATATTAAAAAGCTACGACAATTTCCTATTAATAAAATGAAATACATTAATCTTTGAGGTAAATATCAATAAAATGGCTTACAATAATGACTGCTTTTATTTAAAGTCCAACGGTCTTATTCATAATCATTTTTCACATTTTATCAAATGCTTATTAGAGGTTTATAAAACGTTTGATAAAAATTAATAATAATAATAATAATAATAAAATGTTTATTGCCATTAAATCAATGTACAGAGTATTCTTAATTNTAAATCTCGCTATTATGTTTATTTTTATTTTGGAATTTTTCTTTCGTATGGACATAGCTCAACTCGAAAGTCAAAAATAAGATAAAGAGATAAAGATAAAGGCCAATTATTTCATGACATTAAAGGTACCTGAAATTCAAATTTAGACCTTAACCTTTAAGTTTCATTTTTGGTTTAATTACGGCTTGGAGAAATTATAGCCAAATTCTTATCTTTAANGCCACTGGAAAGTACTTTTTCTTAATACTACTTATTATTTCACCAGTATACCAATTTGGATAATTGTACTTTTTACTGTTAGTAGAACGCTTCTTGATGGGAACAAAGCTCTCAATACAGTCATATAACTTAGAGTAATAAAGCTCAACGGCGGAGTCCAAGTCCACCACATTTAACAAATCAGACCAGTCCATCGCTGCTAATGCCAAGTATAGACCCCGCAAATCGCCCTTACGCCAATTGAAGTCGGGGCTGCAGCTAGATCTATACACGGGCAGAGATGAAGGGGCTGGTATTACTAACTTTCTATCCGGGAGTTTAAGCAGTATTTCCAATGCTGGATGTAGTGAGTCAATACGAACCATGGGGTCCGCCTGAGAAACAACGACTTCATCGGGGACAAGATCGCTCAGCACTAAATCTAACATTCTACCAAGACAGTTGTACACCTTATTGTATTGCTGTATAGAACAGAAGTCACAAAAGGTCAAATTGCGTTTTGACATTAGCGCAACAAGAAAACAAATTAAAGTCACCTATTATAAATACACTAATGTTGGGGTACGCGCATATCGCGTCTCCAATACAAGACAAGACATTTAAATATTGAACGTCATTGTAACTAGGAGGCAAATATACAACACAACACAGAAATTTTACATTATTGCAACTAATAATAGCCAATATCAGTTCCATGTCGACAGTTTGAGATTCGATGATAGTAATAATACGGACAGAATAAGAGTCACGAACCGCAAGTAACACTTCTCCGTACCCAGAGTCTTTTTCCCTTTCCTTACGCACTACTTTATACCCTGCCGGGAACAATTCACCGTCACACACTGAACTTGTTAAGAACGTTTCAGTTAGGGTAATTATGTCATAGGTACTGTGCGTGATATTTTTGTAGAATTCAACAGTCTTAGACCGAAGTCCCCGGACATTCTGGTGGAAGATTTTTATTCTTCTAAGTTGTGACGCGCTTTCCCGTATTTTTTTCTTTCGGACGAAAGTTCTGCCGCCAAGGTTTAATACATATGTCTTCTGCCCAATTATCTGGGCTCATCACGATATCAGCAATGTTGGATGGCAAACTGAGCTTAAACGACGCGTAACGCCCACGAGGCTTTAGTTCCTCAACAGTGCATTCTTTACTTCCAGAGACAGACCACTGACCACCTGGGCTGATGTACCTTCCTGCACGTAATACAGGTGTAGATAGCGCCGGCTCACAGCAGCGCTCAACGGCGTAGCTCCCGGAGCAGCAGTGCCCCTAAGCACACCAGGGAGTGATCGCCGCCCTGGTCTCCGCTTCACCTCTGTCCAAGCTTCGCTCACGCTATCATCTCCACCATTGCCACTTATGTCAACAGATGTGCCTCAGTAACAAGTTCCGGCGAGTTCACCACCACGACGGGAGAAGCTTTATTTTTCTCAGCACTGGTACTCTTGTTCTTGGCCCCCTTGTCTTTATGAGGCTTTTGCCTCGAAGGCATAGGTGCGTCTGGACACATCCTATTAGGCCCCGCAGTACTCAAATCTTCACTGTTCAGCGTACGATTATGCTGTTGCTTCACTTTGTCGGCTACATCAGTCAGCACTGCATTCATGTGGTCCAAAAGTTCGGTCTTGATGGTAGAAAATGTATTCGTCAATGATAGGCTACATTTACTCTTCTGTAATCAATACAATATTGTTGTTATCTCTAGCAAGTAGGGTTCAATTTACCCACTCATCTATTAGATAACTTCATGGAAGGCGGTATAGTGGAATCCTTCTAATTTTGAATTGAAACATTCATTCATTCACAAACATACAGGGTGTTCAACTGAATTTCGCCTTATTCCTTTGGTAGTTTCTTTTAATAGCGACCGTTCAGGAGCTAGTAATTTAAACAATAAGATCGACTACTAATGCAAGCAATGCAAAATGAAACTAAGACAATTTGTATTTTACACGTGTTGGGTTGCCGTGATATCGATTACTCTAGAAGTAAACACCAACAACTCGTATTACAAAATTTATGAGAAAATTCTAGTATGAGAACCATCGGGATTGATTTCTATGCAACATGACTACTACATACTACAGCATGACTTATTGCTTAATAGTTATGGTGATGACTTGCATCACCGTGAACTGGTTTCCACTGCAGTAGCACGGCGTATCTAATTTATCACAGGCAAATTATTTGGCTTACACTTCTCCCGCTGGAGTAACTATGGAGATTTCACGCAATTCCTGTCACCCTGTATATGTGGTTTCGTCACATGCGAGATATTACAATCCGATTCAAGCAGACGGGCGAAACTAGGTCTATAACTGTCACGCTGAACATGATAAGCGAGGAGGCAGGAGGCAGGCATGGAATAAGGTACCTGGTTACTCAACCACACATATTGGAAATGAACATAACATCTATATCCTACTAATATTATAAATGCGAAAGTTTGTATGGATGTTAGGGTGTCATGATGTATGTTTATTACTTTTTCACGCAAAACCTACTGAACGGATTTTGTTGTAACTTTACAGTATTGTTGTTTGTAACCCAGATTCACATGGCTATAATTCATGCCGATCTGTGACACTAAATTTCACGTGGGTGAAGCTCCGGGCAAAACCTAGTCTTAGGATATGAAGAAAATAGTTCTCAAATCCATATTCCCAATAACAAGAATAGATAGGATGTATTAGTACTTATAAAGAGACTGGCTGTTACCGCGGCTCTGCACGCGGTTGTACCATATTGTAATGGTTTATTTTTTTAAAGACAAAAAGTTGATTCAACAGAGACGTGATTCTATTTCTTGAGTGTATCTTTTTTTAAAAGCCTTTAGTCCTCTTTCACCACATCTCTATAAATAATTTCTACCAATTTGGTCAGCAAATATCACTGGTAAATCACATTTATATAATGATAGCGTTATTTTTAAGTCGAATAACTATCTTAATCTTTGGACTTCATCGGGGTTTTTAGTCTTTAACCTCAGTCTAACCTTTTGGGAATACGTTGCACTTACGAGTACATCGCGCCGCACATACGGCTCTCTGCAGAGGCTTAAAGCTATTAGTTGCGTTACACCTGACTTAGTAACTAGGACGTACCCTAGTGATGTAACGGATCTTCAGAAGTGATACGAATGCAGATACGTAGCAGCTCAGTGGTTATTTTTTTTTTCGAAAGGACGGTGCTGATAGCCGTGAGCGACTTTTTCAGCTTCAAATCAAATCAAATTATTTATTTTACGAAAATGGGTTTACATCAGTAGATGTTACAATTTTTCAAGTTCACCGGACATGGGTAAGCGCAGATGGCTCTCAACCTCAAGATGTGCTCCAAAAGCTCAGTGGTTACGGCCATGCATCATATTTTAACTAAGGTGTTAAGTTAAAGCGTGTAAAGTTAGAATTTTGTCTCCTACATGAGATTTACTTTTTGCAGTGCGAGCCTTACGGTTCGTCTTAGCAACATTTTACATGAAAATGTTTGGATGGTGGGATTTCATATTCGTAAATGTTTACGAAAGTGGCAGATCTAGAGAGTAAATTTGTAGATGCGCCAAACTTACCGAATACGCATATGCGGCGCATCACTAAACCTACCATTGGTGCTAGGAATAGCTGAATATTGATCATACTTGGATATACGTCTTCTACACTCTCAACTAGCTTAGCAAAATCAAAACGATTGAGCAAATGTACGCAACAGCTTTCCTTCGCAAAAACAAAAGAATCTTTACTAAAGTTCTTGTAGGGTTTTTATGTCGGATTATTTTCAGTAAAATTACTAATAAATCACAAAAGGTTTCTTTAATTCTATGGGCCTACGTTAATGTCCCTGAACTACTTACTACTTAAGAAGACAGCCAAAATTCCTTGTTACGGGGAAGATATTATTTGATATGGGAGAGTGATATTACGGTCGACAATACATCAGTTATTACAAAATCGACTCTATTACCCCTGTATATGAGGGCATGGTATTTACCTTAATGTGACCTGACCTGCTATGATATGATAATAGTCAATTTAAAAATATATTTTACTAGCGGCTGCCCGCGACTTCGTACGCGTGAATCCCGTTTTTCCCGCTAATTCCCGTTCCCGTGGGAATTTCGGGAATTCCTTTCTTAGTGCACCTCTACGGTACCTAAGCTACGTCCCTTCCAAATTTCAAGTGCCTACGTTTAGCCGTTTAGGCTGTGCGTTGATCTGTCAGTCAGTCAGTCAGTTTCTCCTTTTAAATATTTAGATGATTGACCATAGTTTATGATAAGGTAAGGTTCGTTTAATATTATCACTAATAAGGATCATCTTAAATTGGAATGGTTTGTTAAAGTTTGTGCTAGACAGTTGCTTGATACTTTTCGTATATTTCGTAGAAGATTTATGAGTAAGTAACGAAAGCTTAAAACATCTAAGTATTTTCGTTCCTCAGTTCAAACTTAAACCACAACTTATATACTTACTACTTTTGCCCAAATAAGTTATAAGTTTAGATTTGATCAAACCACCTACCTACATAGTAATAAGACGCAAATAACAACTTCGGCTGAGTTGCACTAGAATCGACGGCAATAATCTCTTATGTGTGCGATTCTCCGCAATATTTTTGCGACTTTAGAGTAACCTAGTTCTAAAGTTTTTCACCATTAGCATAACTTCATAGTTACCAGTAATTTTTTGCTGTATCGAAATTCATTAAAAGACTCATAGAAGTAGAACTACTCGACGATAAACAAAATCCGAAATTGATCAAAATTGTGATCTAAATATGTAGTTAAGTATCAACTAGAACTATTTTAAGCCCGCGGCTTCACACGCGTGAAATTTAGTTTGTCAAAGATCGTCATAAATTATAACCTATATGTTAATCTGGGTTATAAGCAATAATACTGTAAAGTTTCATCAAAATCCGTTCAGTAGTTTTTGCGTGAAAGAGTAACAAACATCCAGACATCCAGACATCCAAACTTTCGCATTTATAATATTAAGTAAGATATTGCATGTGTGGTCATACCAACCTACTACATATTTATGTAAATGTGAATAACAGTCTTGCCCACAGGTTGCATTATTGTTCAGAGAATGTGCACCAAAAGGTCACAAGTTCTAGTCCTTAGATGCAAATAACAATAGTCTAAAAACCTAAATTGTAATTCTAGAGTATGGCCACTATCGTGAACAACGAAAAGCCAGCCATGCTGAACATGCTGGGGAAAGCCTTCAACGGGATCTTCGATGAGCCGAAGGACATCTTCATCAGGGTGAAGGTCCTGGACCTCCTGTTCCGAGGGATCATCATCAACTGTGCCCGAACTGAGTTCGCGCCGAAAGCTGTCTGCACTGCTTTGAAGAAAGAAGGCGCTACTGGGATGACTTTTGAGCCTAACAATCAGTTTAGGTTCTCGTTGTTTGGAATGGTAAGCATTTTCCAACAAAAGATTGCTAAGTATATTTATGATTAATCCTTGGTTTCTGACTTGAGAGTCTCAACTTGAACGAGCTCATTATCTCCTCGGGCTTAGCATAAACCCAAGCCCATTTTGGTTTCCCAAATCAATTCAGAGAAACGAAAATAGTTTTATAAGTTCATATACTATAAGTAGATAATGAGCACTCTCAAGCTTAAAAACTCAATTCAGAATCCGTGGGCCAGTGTCTCTAAATCATTTTGATCGTTATCAGTTTGATTTTGTGATTACCTCGCTAGTTCATCATAACAACAGATGGATTGATTTTATGAATTTTATTGAAAGCGATCGCGCCTTTGTCCAGCTGTGAACGTCTTTCGGCTGAAACAAACGAACGAACGAACGGTGGCGAATATTCAACTGTCTAGCTAAAGGCAATGTACGTACGATGATGTTGTTGATTCAGAAAACGGGCACAATGCACATGCATTGTTGTTTCTGTAAACCTTGCACACTGTTTTATCGTTTTCATTCCATTGCCCATGTTAGCGTTGTCGGGGTTTGTCCAATTTCTTTGTTTATGAAGTATCTTTAATTTGATTTGTAGGTACTTCTATGAAACTTGTTCAATGCAACCTGAGAGCGTTTTCACACTACGTCGGGTCTAAATTCTTCAAAATACGGATCTAAAAATTGACTTTTTAGAAATCGGATGACGGAAATCGTATCTAGTTACGTAAAATACCATACAAATAGTTCCACGACTATCGCGGATTGTATTTTCATGGATTCGGATCCGTTAAAACGGTCAAATCCACTTTGATCACCAGAATTTGATCACCCAGGTGATCAAAGTGAACTTCTTATCAATGGGTGATCAAAGAACACCAAAGTGGAATCGACCTGTAAAACTCATTCATATCTATTGATTCTATCAATTTATAACCAACTATTGTAAAGAAACAGAATTGATCATTACCAATACCCTCAGTTTGTATCTACATGGTGGCCCAGAAGAAAATTCACTTTTGAAAATTCAAGGAAACGAAAACTGTACATTTTTGTGGAACTTTAACAATTGCAATTTAAAGGAAATTTAGTGCAATTTATTTTAAAATTTACTTTCTTTTATAAAATTTATCGTACATGTGATTCCCTTGACGTTTACAACATTCGGTCAACATACATCAAAATGTTGGAAAACTTTCGTTAGAGTTACCTTGAAATGGATTCAGGATGGATGAATGCTACAGAGTTTTTGGATTATTAGAGTATACATTGCTCATAAGGTAACTCCACAAAAAGAAGTCTGCTGGAATTAGATTAGTACTTCTAGGAGGCAGAAAGATTTCACCCCTGCTTAATTGGTTTGTTGCATTGAAAGGATGATTAATTTTTAAGAGCGCTATACTGGTAGGCTGAAAAGCTTTTTGATTTCAAAGCTGCAAGATTCGCAAGGCTATGACAGGAGCACTTGGTTTCATCAACATGGGGATAGCCTCACTTCAAATGAGAGCATTTACACGGTAAGAGACATGTTCCCACAAAAATATTTTTTCAGGCAGGGGTGACATCTCCTGGCCACCAGGAAGCCCTGATCTCACTCCAAAAAATTATTTTTTGTGGTGTTACCTTAAGAATAGAGTATACTTTAATAATCCAACAACCATGCAGCAACTGAAGCTGAGCATTCTGCAAAAAATTGAAAATAGGTTTCGAGGTAATTCTACAGAACGCATTTCAAAATTTTGATGTGTGTTGATCGAATGTTGTAAGCGTCAAGGAAATCTCCTGGGTGATGTAATTCAAAAAAGGTAAATTTAAATATAAATTGCATTAAATTTCCTTTAAATTGCAATAGTTAAAGTTCTATAAAAATGCACAGTTCAAAAGTGAACTTTCTTCTGGGCCACCCTGTACTTAGCACTCATTTTAACTTTTTCCTAGCGAAACGGCACCATAGATCCCCACGTGGTCACCGTGCGCAGAGGCATCAAGAACGTCATGGATGTGGGAAAAGTCATCGCCATAGATGGGAAGACAGAGCAGGACGTCTGGAGGGACAAATGCAACGAGTTCGAAGGAACGGACGGCACGGTCTTCCCACCTTTCCTCACTGAGAAGGACAACCTTGAGTCGTTCTCTGATGACCTTTGCAGGTTGGTAGTCAGTCATAGCTTTTTAAACATTAATCTAAGCAAGGGCAAAATGACAATATTGCTATTGTCTTCTTCAAAAACTTAGCTCATGTAACAACATTTGGCACGTTTCACTGCAGCACTGACACTGGAGGTAGATGTGCCTAAGATGCATCTAAATGTCTAATCGTTTTACGAATATATGGTTTCGATACAGCGTGTCTGGCCACAACATGTTTTATGACCATACACGTAGCTTAGACCGTTCATTATGGAAAACCTTGGGGGAGGCCTTTGTCCAGCAGTGGACGTCATTTGGCTGAAACGACGATGTAGCTTAGAGCGACACATTGTTCTGTAATATACTCGCAGCTCTCCTCTAGTGAATTCAAGACCAATCCAGTAAGATATTTTTGGACCTGTCGATCAAAATCGCTAATATTCGGGGCGGAATCCCAATATTTATTTTTGGGTCGATGCAAAACAAGCGAGAGACTCGATTGTAAATTTGCAATTCCGCATATCATTCGTTTCTATTGGTTCAGATCTGATATTAGCATAAAATATAAATAGGTAGCGTCCGTACCAATCAGGAATTTTGTAAATAAAACAAACGTGTAAGCTTTCGCTAAAAATAGCCTAACTCATAAAATGGCTTATTCTATTCTTGGTAAACGAACAGTTTCAACAAAATCGGTCATCAAAATACTATTTGCGTATAGAGGTTACGAAAACACACACTTTCGCATTTTATTTAAATAGAATCACAAAGATTTTACAGATTATTATTTTTTCTCTACAGGTCTTTCAAGCCCTGGTACCAAAAGAAGACCTCCTACAGAGGGATCAAGACAAACCGCTACGTAGCCAACATTGGGGACTTTGCCAATGATCCTGAACTGCAGTGCTACTGTGACAGCCCTGACAAATGCCCTCCCAAAGGCCTCATGGACCTCATGAAGTGTATGAAGGCACCGATGTATGCCAGTCTCCCACACTACCTTGATAGCGACCCACAGTTATTGAAGGATGTCAAAGGATTAAGCCCCGATGCCAATGAGCATGGAATCGAAATTGACTTTGAACCGGTAAATAATTTTTCAGCAAGAATTTCAGTTTTTTTTATAACTTCATTAAATTTCATTAAACATGGTTATGTCACATCTACGCTGTGCAATAAAAGTAAAATAATAGTTTCGATATTTTTATGCTGTGCCATCTAGTCCAAAGCTAAGCAAAGCTCGTCCGATGAGGCTAGACAACGATGAAATAGAATTATAATATGTACTAATTTACCTGGCGCGACAAATTAATTATTGTATTCTTTGCACTTGACATGTGTAAACACTTTGCGGACTTTTTATAATATTACAGATATCAGGAACTCCAATGGTTGCCAAACAACGCGTACAGTTCAACATAATACTCCTGAAAACCGACAAAATGGACCTCATCAAGGACCTCCCTGGAACTATGACGCCTTTATTTTGGATAGAAGAGGTGAGATAAACACTACGATATGCTTATCCGCCATTCGTAGACCGGTCGAGAGAGTTCAACTTTATCGCCATAAAAGCATAAAAGTATCATTATGGTTCTTAAAAGCTTTCTCAGCATTTTCTATTATCCCATACTGGTTTCAGAAAGTTATCAGGAACCCAACCTCATTTTTTCAGGAATTTCAAGATTTCAGTACATAACTAATAATCGTGTTAATTTTCATTAAGTTATTATACTCGTAGATGGGAGAGACATTCTGAAAATATTCTAGAATCTAGGTAGATAACTAAGTATCAAATAAATGCAAGTCGCTCTACCATAGATCAATTTTACCAGGGTCAGCTTTTACTATTTTTAAAAGGCATTGAAAAATTCTTGACATGTACTTGACCTATTGAAAAAAACATGCGGAACATATCCATCGGGGTGCATGCAAGGGTGTGGGAATCACAGCAAGCTGCCCCCACTTAACATTGAACTATAATGAGCTGGGACCTGACTCATTGCTGCTTTTTAAACCATAACAAGGTTTTCCTTAATGCACTCATTATCCATATTTTGGTGTTTCATACTTCAAGTAAAAAAGGGGGAAAGTTATTGGTGCCTATTACGAGTAATTGTCCCAAATAAATTCGTTCGTGAATCGTCCCTGTTTCTCGCTTCGCTACTCATGTGCTCGTACGGGACTATTCCCACCTCTCTTTCCCACCAATGCAACTCCTGTGTAGCCAGAACCAAGCTATAGCTTGACCGCCAATAAAGACCCAACCAGTGAAGGTCAGGTTTGTCCCGGGGGAAAGTTGAACTGTCAGTAGACCCACAACGAAATTAATCAGAAGAACATAGGAGGAGTTCGAAGTTAAGGTTTGACTTCCCTCCGTTCCCTCATGTGCTCGTAGTGGAAATAGCATCGGTTTTCCTTGAGATTTCGTAAGGCATAAGTAGGTAGGTAGTTTCAAAAGAATAAGGATTTAAAATGTGTCGACAATCGCCATAATAATTTCCTGAGCTCTATTAAAACCATTTGAAGTGGATATTACTCGTAGACTGGCACCCTTCTTTTGAGAATTCTTGACGTCTTTATACAGGCACGTGTTACTGAAATTATGAATAAAACGAAAACATCACGTAGCTGTAGAAAATATTACAAGAGAAAAATATAATATGACATGTTACTGAATTATTTTATTTGGATTCCTTTTTATATGAAGTTGGAGAATGAGACAAAATATTTATATATTTTATGTCTAAAATATGTAATATACTAGCGGCCGCCCGCGACTTCGTACGCGTGAATCCCGTTTTTCCCGCTAATTCCCGTTCCCGTGGGAATTTCGGAAATTCCTTTCTTAGTGCACCTCTACGGTACCTAAGCTACGTCCCTTCCAGATTTCAAGTGCCTACGTTTAGCCGTTTAGGCTGTGCGTTGATCTGTCAGTCAGTCAGTCAGTTTCTCCTTTTATATATTTAGATTGTTGAGGATATCAGGCAGAATTATATCAACCAAACTACCATAATCAAATCAAATTGTGAATCTATAATAATGATTAATGATCTACGAAATGTCTACGAGTATTTGAAACTTGCTCATTAAGGCTGAGTTGCACCACCTTATTTTAACCGTAACAATGACAATAACCGGTGCTTTTTGTATGGAGTTTGACAGATTTTTGACGTTTGTCAAAGTTAAAGCAAGATGGTGCAACCCACCCTAACCCTAAGTCATGTAAATCCTTTGTTATTTAATAATTCGTAGAGCATAACCTCATCAAACTGAGCCTATGTATGTTCTAATTTTTCTGCTTGTCCCAAAGATTGAGTCGAACACCATCGGGTGATTAATACCATCTGACCTCTTAAATTATGTACTTGGAAGTTTTAAATAAAAATAAATAATCCCTTACTAGGTCGACCAAAATTTGACGTTAAGCTTAAGATGTTAGGACAAGTTTCAACGGCTACATTATTGATATTCAGTCCCTATCCCGACTATCCGTAACATGTAAAGTTGTTAACGCGCTCGTGGGGCAATGACTGACGACACGTGTCGCGGCTTACACTTACAGGCCGCTCGAGAATATGGCGGCTAACGGCTAACTTAAGTAGGAAATAGAAGAAAATTTTCATACCACCTACAACAGCTTACGGCGTCAGCAAATACCTAAATAGTCACTGTGTTAGTTTTAAAATTTGCAACTGTCCACAATGCATGCCGTGGCAGCCTTTAATAATGACAACACTTAGTTCTAAGCACTTTTAGTTATAGTATAGTGTTTGTCTTGTTGGTTGTCCTAATAAATAAAATAAAATAAACAGCTATTGCCTAGACTCGTACTAAAAAACTAATGAAAACAAAGAAATAAAAAATCAAAATACTTTTCTTTTTTATGCATAACAAGGCAGGTATTTCACCACAATCGCACCTGATGTTAAGTGGGATGCAGTCTAGGATGGTACATATCTGCCCTGTAAGTGCTTATTCACTCTCGCCTTGAAGAGGCCCGGATTATAGTTTTCGGGAAAGACAGCAGCAGGCAACGAATTCCAGTCCCTAGCTGTTCGCATAAAAGAGTCATCGAAACGCTTAGTGCGAGCTGGTGGAATGTCAACAATATAGGGATGGTACGCTAACCTGCGTCTGGTTCCCCAATGATGGAAGGGGGCTGGTGGAATTAATTCGTGTAATTCTTTCGCACATTCTACGAAGTGTAGCCTGTAGAAAACCGATAGGGATGCTACCTTACGGCGATGGTCAAGTTCCTGGAGCGCCGCTTCAACAAGGACTTATAATCCAGTCAATGAATGCTTTAACGACGGTGTAGAGAGAAATGCGTGGAACACAATTTCTGACTTCGGGATTTTATTTAGACTAGTTAGAAGGTGATATCAAAAGTTCCCGCCCTTAGCCCGCTCCCGACGGAGAGAGGGGGGTTCGAAGGTACAATTTTTCGGTTTTTCGCTTAATACTCGGAAACTATGCATTTCCGTCTATGTTTTATTGACTGGACTATTGCAGGCCGCTACCAACCGTGCGATGTGGAAGTCATTGGGGGAGGCCTACGTTCAGCAATGGACGTCCTGTGGCTGAAATGATGATGATGATGATTAGCAGAGCTTGTGTTAGGCAATGAAACTGAACACTTCATATTTAGTAGCAAAAATTTAGGCATACTTAAGTCTGGTTCTGTTCTGTGCTTGTTAACAGTCAATCATTAAATTCACTGTTAATGATAATTATGAGTATGAAATAATTCTACTTACAGTCATTTAACCTTTAAAAGGAAATTCAATTAAAGGTATAAATGCTCGTGCTTATAACTTTGACATTTGCCTCTAGAGGGATTCGTATCCGCTGCCACAGCTGTTGCAAATTCAGTGCGTTTTTGTTTTCATAAAATTTACCTTTCACTTTCAGTATTCAAAGAAAGGTTAAGTTATAACAACTTAATTAAAATTTATCAAAAATAGAAAACTATTAGTTTCACCTGAGTTTTTGGTTTTTAATTTATAATCCACTTTCAAACTTTTAAACAAGGGTCAGCGAAGTGAGAAAATCAACTTTAGCCTAATATAAAATTAACATGCTATAAAAGGAAGGTAACAGTTTTCACACAATTTGAATGATAGTCGCCGGTCAACTTTCAATCAACCGACACGTAAATGGATTTTGGACTTTATAATATGACTTTAGACTTAAACTTAAGAAGAAGAAGAATCAATAAAAGTTTATTTAGCACAATACAAAAACATTACACACTGAAAGCTTAAAAATAAAGATAATACCAAACATCCCCCATAATAATATTGAGCATAGAGGGAATTTGACAGATTTAAGGTCAGGGCAAGCTAAACCTATTTGTGATTTATGCTATATTGATACATATTTCTTACTCTTTCTAAATAAAGGCCTTTTGCAAATATATTTTATAGTTGTTCTATATTTCAGGGTCTAGCCCTCAATAAAACCTTCGTGAAGATGCTGAAGAACCAGCTCTTCATCCCGAAGAGGATCGTCAGCGTGGTGAAGTGGTTGCTAGCTGGCGTCGGATTCGTGGGCCTTGTTGGCTCTCTGGTGTACCAGTTCAAGGGTAAGGAAAGTACATACCTACTTTACGGCCCTCCATTAAAACTTATATTTATGGATTTCACTAAAGTTTCATGAAAAACGTTCCGTTTGAAAACATACGTAGGAGGTTATTTAGGTGGAAAAGTGGGTTCAATACCACCAATGTGTTACAAATTATAAAAAACAAAACAATATAAACAAAAGTCGACTAAGGGCTGATTTTTCAATCGTCAGATATTTTTTAACTGAAGAATAACCTTGTCATTTTGACATATTTCCCGTACTAAAACTGTCAATCTGCCAAACTTATTATTCAGTTAAAAGTTATCCGACGGTTGAAAAATCAGCCCTAAGTAAGTTACTCGTAGACTGCAGTCTGAGTGATAAACTGGCGACTGAGAGATATAAAATGAAGCTATTTTGTAATAATATAATTTTGCAAGTTTTGTAAGTTTCAAGTTGTCCGATGAAAAAAAGCCAAGAGAAAATCAATGTTTCTCGCAACAGCACTTTTTTCTCTCAATAAGCATAGTTCTTTGATTCAATAAGATCTTGAAGCCGCAAAAGATACTTAGAGATAAATAGGTAGTACCTATTTCTTCATATCAATAAGTCTATCTCACAAGCTAAGTTACTCAAAAGCCTTTATTCCCAAGAGGTTGTGGCTATTGTAAGCGTAGTTTTCAAGTATTGAATCCGATGCATATTTTCTGAAGAGGATCCTTTTCCATTAGTTTCATCTATGCATCGGAGCTTCCCTTTGATTGTGGACCGTCTGCGGGTACAAATCAAGTCAGGCTGATGCAATAAAGAAATCGGTACAAATACTCGTAGAAGGCTCGTTAGTGTAAGAGCTTATTTAATTCTTTGATGTCGTTATTTATCGATGCTATTCAAACTTATTGGCTCGATAAGTTGACATCAAAGTAATACATGAACATTTTTGTTTATGTTTAACGAATGATTTCAAAAGAGTTAACTTCATATTCAATGCCTAGTGATTAAATAGCATGGGTACTAAGAAATTCAACATTTCTTAGTCGTTTGCATTCATTGATAATAGCGCTCTACCAAGAGATTATTTGAAGATATGTAATGAAATAGAAGTAGTTACAGTTAAAATGCAACTGTATGAGACTCATATTCAATTATATTATTAATAAAGGACTTTAATATTCTCTTCTAAACAATTTAGTAGGCATTGTGCGTTACATAGTTCAAATTACATGATGTCCTGATGGTATCAAACACATAAACCACAAAATATAAACCTTTTTATTGTATCATTTCTCAAACCGAATGTAAGTTTCTCCTCGTAATAACCAATACCTGTCCAATACTTTTACTTACATGCATCAAAACAAATAGACAAATAGCTCACTAACAGACAGCCTTCCGAGGAGTGCATTAAAATGCATCGAATGCATTTCCCTAAAATATGCGTCCCATCTCACGCCACGAGCAATATCGGCATGCATCACCGCTGTCGAATCATCGTTCGGTTATTTATAGGCGCTTTCGTGTAAGCTATAGCACTAATAAAGCTGTTCTACATAACTGGGTCATACATAACAGCGTGGGACGTCCACCCACAAGGTGGACCGACGACATCATAGGTAGCAGGAAGGCGCTGGACGCAGGCCGCTACCAACCGGGCAACATGGAAAGCATTGGGAGGCCTATGTTCAGCAGTGGACGTCCTATGGCTGAGATGATGATGATGATGATGCTAACATAATATATGAGGTGCCAGCCCAGCGGTGTTAACCGCAGTAACACGTGGCCTATGTGTCAATCCAGGGTATCGGCTTACTCCATGCCAAATATTAAAATCACTCCAGCCGTTTAGACGTATGGGGGGTTATTTGCTAATAACCGACCATATATTGTCCTCGGAATTATATTCCGATTATAATAATCACTAAGATTATTTTTAGGTAGTACAGACGAGAAAATGATAGTAGAACGAACACGGTAGAATGAAGAATATTATTAACGAAGAAGTAACAATACACTCACAAACTTTCGACTTTAACTCACAAAAGCTTGGTTAGTGCTGACTAGTTGTGATATCTATGGTGCTGATGATGATGAAAGTGCTAAAAATGCGCATTGTAGATTTGATATAAAAACTGTTGAGTAATGACAACACTAAACATTTATTTATGGTTTAGAGTTTAAAAAAAAGCTAGCTCTAAGTCTATGGTCTCTCTCTGTGGAAAAATGGCCGACTGAAAAGTTTTGTTTTGATGTGCTCCGTTGTAATAATTATATTTTGCATGTGTAAGATTGCAATAAACAAGCAAGTTGAAGATAATCATGGCGCTTTATTAATTAAACCCCATAGCAACAATAAAAACGAACTGGTTGTTTAAAAACGCGAAGTAACTAAGTACTAACTAACCTAGATTATGGACAAGCCAAAGTGAAATACTTATTAACAATGCTACTGTTAAAATTGCTTTTTCATATCTGACCTACTTGCTAAATCTGGTTACCTGCCAAGAAGTTGCAAGTTTGTCAGATGACTTGTTACCGTCAGACAACTGCATGTAAAATGCACCGCCATTTGCCTAAATTATGCATAAACCCCAGTCGAGGCAGACGATCGGCATGCATCGCTGCTGTCAAATTAACGCGGAGCACAGTTTCCTGGAAAAGTGCTAGATAACTAGCGTGTTTGGGATAGGGCTCGCGATAATTTAAGGCGATGTTATTATGTCAATTTTATCGACAAAAATGGCCTACCCCCCTGGCACTTATGAAATACAAACAATTTTTATGTAGAGTCACATAAAAATAAATTAAAAAAATTAAGTCATAGTCATAGCAGCATCCCGTAAAACTGGACTGGATTGCCGTGACCTCTAACTCACTTAGTTTGTGAAGAGAATCTACCTACAATATCGTAAATGCGAAATTTTGTGTGGGTAGATGAATGTTCGTTACTTCTTCACGCGAAAATTATAGGATCTATAATTAGTTCTTCTGCTAATTATAGCCATATAACTAGTACCTCTACAAACTTACGCGGAAACAGATAAAAAGATTATACTTAATTTAAGAATAATTTAAGATTGTAGATAAAAAGATAATTTAAGACTAGTTTAGGAAGATAATTTCAGACGTAACTATTTCTAATTTTACTCCTATACGGAATATATAACCTTTAAACTATTTTCATTATAATCCTACCTTCATAACCGTTAACTTTACCCAAAAAAGAATTTATTTTTAAGATAATCGAACTGAAATCTAACTACATATAAATTACTAAATTAACCAAAAAAGAAAGCTAATTTCAATTTTATTTTCAGGTAAAATGATCAACTTCGCACTTTCCCCGAGCTCCGCCCAGGTGACGAAGGTCAATCCGGAGATTAACCAGCAAAACCAGCCGAAGGACATAAGCATTATCGGGGAGTCCCAGAACCCCCCGAAAGTGGACATGTAATCCTCAATCAGGCGACTTCTGACGTTTTACATGCGTTGGAGTCGCCGATACGGCATTAATAGTTTCTCTCCAATGTTTTGGACCCAAACATTTAGAATTGCTGTATCACGTGTTAGGAATAGAAATAGACCTGCACATATTTAACTAGACATACCAAAGACCTTAGTTTTTATAGGAATTTAAATGTAGAGCAGAGCACACAAACTACGTATATTTTTTTCTTGATATTTCCTCACTTAGTTTTAATATAATTTATGAAGCAGGTTCTTTAGTTTTAATAGTCTTAGGTTATTATTTCGTTTATAGATTAGATAGGCATAAAGAATGCCTATATGTTATTAGTAATAAACCTTAACTGATTTTATTGCGATTTTTATTGAGTCCGTTTTAAATTTTTGTTTGACTAGACTTCAGTAAGCCTAGGATGCGCGCCGCGATAAGCGTTTATCACGCCGTTTTGTCGATTTTGCCCATACATTTTGACGGCGATAAATTAAGTATATCACGGCGCGCATCCTAGCCCGGCTGGAGTCTTTACCCTCACCATTCTATGCAGGCACAAATCTCTAGCAAAACTATGTAATTACTCGTAGTTACGATTTGGGCTTTTGGGCATTAGCTCTTACTAAACTAAAGTAGCTCCTTAATATAAAATTATGTTTATTTTTCAAAATTCATAAACATATTATAGTCCAGTAGAATTAGCTTTTAAATCGGAAATAATTCCTACAAAAGATTTTATTGTTTTAATGGCTTCATTGGTTGCCCATTAAGATTCTCCTAAGTTTTCGACTTCGACGGAGTTGTGCTTAAGTGGTGGGGGCCCCCGAAAGGGGCGTTTTTTCGGTTTTCAACTTAGGAGTCGAAAAAGTCGAAAACTTAGGAGAGTCTTAATGGGCAACCAATGAAGCCATTAAAGCAAAAAAATCTTTTGTAGGAATTATTTCCGATTTAATCAATTTTTGTGTTTAATTCTACTGGCCTATTATCGAAGCTACAGAATCAAACACCGACGGATGTGATTATGCTAACGCAGTACAGATATATTATGTGTTCTTTCTATCAACCCTATCGACGACCGTCTTTGTTCGACGACAACGACGAATTGATCTTGTGCCTTATTATCTCATCATCATCATCAATTTATTTTGTTCCAACTATAGGATACTCTCTTCCTACTCACTGCCTTCTTCGTCTTATTTCAATTAAAGCTAAACAACTTAGAATAAGTATAAGTAATTATCACGCAAACTTAATAAGAACTCATTAGCAATTACTTAGTATTCTGAAGTTCGAATGAAGATGAAATGAAACTTTCATATTAATGTCTGAAGTGTGTACCTAACAAAGGTTTCAAACTTTTATATGAAATTGATGTTAACTGGTGTAGAGATAAATATTTTTCATTAGTTTTGTACCATGTTTTCTCAATAAGGTTCAAAATATGGTGGCAACAATTCTGCCACTACCAGGTAAAGGTTTAATACAGGGTGTCGGCTTAGTAGGGTTTAGGTATGGATCAAACAAAAAGGATTAACTCTACTGCCAGGCCTGTTCATCTCCGCGAGTTTACATCGAAAACAAAACACGCACGATGGCCCACCTACAGGATACTATTCGACAAGGCCTCACATACGAGCGAACATTGACTCACGCACGCGTATGTTCTTGTGTATGATGGAAGAAAATCATTTTGCCGAAGTCAGCCCTATAGCTTCGGCACAGTGCCGATCACTGACTTGTCAACAAAATGGTGCTTGACTCTTGAGACAGGCTAATAAATTATACCATATTGTTAATGACATTGAGCATACATTTTTTTAAATACCTTCGCGAAGTAAAACTTCTGTACGTAGTACTTATTATTATTCTGTGCTACTGCTGAAATGCAACTTTTTTCTACAAGAGAAGGAAGTTCAAAACTTAAAAAAAAACTTTTCCGTACAACATCATAATTATTAATAATGATTCATTAATCAGCCAATTAGTAGGGGGACGTAATTCTTTTTGAGAATTTGCAAATTTTTTCCGTAGGAAAGTTGTTGCATTTGAGCAATTTAGAATAAATCCTTTTTGTTTGATCCATACTTAAACCGACACCCTGCATAGGTCAAAGAGCGTATATTTCTGTGTATGATTTTATAATGAAGTGATCAAAGTAGTTAAGCATAACAATCATAAGTTCTCTGAATATGAAATGAAATGGCACTCGTTCATTTGAGTTAATACCAACTGATTAACTCTACCTGCAGTCTTGTACCCGACCTTCAGGTTTATAATGTTAAGGAAATTTGGAATTAATTATAATTTGGGAATGTCTTACTCTTAATTNCGCGGTACGGAATTATTTATCAAACGCCTATTAAAATAACGGGTCGTTAAAACTCGAAAGGGGTTGCTTCCTCTTTGTTAATTAGATAGAACTATTTTTAGAGGAAGTGTAGGAAGATTCTAATTACTCCTTTGATCCTAAATAATTTTTTTCTCAGTATTTATAAATAAATATAAGGTATTTTTAAGCGAAGGCTTTGGTTTAGAAATGCAAATAAGACTCGTGAATTAAAGAATAATATTTATTACAACTTACTAAATATAATATCACCACATTAACAATTAAATATTACAGTTATATCGTGAGCAAATTCATATTTTTGTCATACTCATCGCCTCAATGCTTACAATATCACTACTCTATAAATAAATCTTAATATTTACAGTCAAAATCACGTTTCTCACAATTAATTTGTATTTGTTCAATCTCTCGTGGTAACTAAAATGGTAACTTTTAGTACTATAATTAGTTTTGGTAACTTTACAGTTTCTTCTTTGACATGACCGTGTGGTCTATTAACATCTTGGAGCGGTTTAACAAATGGTTCGATTTGTCCAACAAAACGTTCCTGTTCTGAACGTAGTTGGCTAACTTTGTGAACGCTAACCTCATTGTGTATGAAAAAATTGCAAATATTGAGAATAAAACAAAAATCACGAAAAGGGTAACATCGATTAAGTAGTACTGGATGAAGTTGAGGTCTTTCGCTGGCGACTGCAAGTGGTATGCACCTTTGTGCCTGATTACGTATTCCGTCCAATAGATGGCTCTTTCTAGCGGTGTTTCTTTTTGGTCTCTAAGAAGTATCTGCCTCTTTTTGACTTCTGTTTTATATTTTGGCTCGTTGATGACTTCTATTATAGCTCTGTAGAGTTTGTCAGAGGTGAGGTGCTGGAGTTCCAACTTCTTGGCGTATCCGTCGACTTCTGCTTTGGCGGCGTTGGCATCGTGATCACAAAACACCGGGATGCTGACGATGGGGACGCCGTGGTAGACCGTCTCGAACATGCTGAGCAGGCCACCGTGGGTGATGAACGCCTTGATTTTTGGGTGCCCTGGAAAGACAAAATATTTCCATTTACAAATTTAACTCCAATTTTTCGGTTTCGCACACGGTTCTTCTTCTATATTAGCTTAAAATTAAAGGTTGCTACGTGCCTTCTGAAGTTCTTTTTTCTGTTTGGACATCACGTAGACAATTTCCTTACTAATAATTGTTGGTTTGTAATCAGTTCTCTATCCTATAAAAAGATATACTAATTACATACTAAGTTAATCCCATTAGAAATCGAACCCATAACCTTTGAGTCGAAAGAATATTATTTTTGCTTTGTAATGTCAATGTGTATCATTTAGTACCAAATAAATATTTTTTCTTTCTATCTTTCTTTCTCTTTATCTTATCCCAGAACAACTACAGTGTGGGTGGGAAGACACGGTTCTAAAGAAACTGTTACAAAGATCACAGACAAGCTCATTACCATAAATAATGCTAACTTGATAATAAAATATAGGTCACGTATTCATAGCAAAGGTATTTTTATCATTAAATGCCTGAAATAAATGTTATCCAAAAGGAAACTTTATCTGAATTAATGATCTGTAGATGAAAAATCACAGATACCTCCGAAAATGGAATAAGGGCTACTTCTTTAGAAAATTAAATTTCTTCTGTGACTTCCGTTCAGTGTTATGATTAGGAAATTGGTCCGACTCTATAATAATATTCAGAACTTTATTCCGATAAAATCTATATTCCTTTCAACATTATAACAGAGCAAATACAAATGAGTAGGTCATCTTCATAGAAACGCACCGCGCGCCAATACGTCGAGCCTTTACCGCCAAATTATCGTAAGCGACACTTTTGTCAAAAAACCGTTTTTTATCGATTTNTGATTTGTACAAGAAGAAATTTCTCATGAATAAATAATTTTTGATTATTATGTGGATATTTCATTTAAAAACCATTTAAAATGCCTATTTATTTAACAATTATAATTTCTTGGACATAGTAATTTTGATAGGTAATGTTATCGTAAACGCCCGAATATCTATAGACTGTGACAGCAAAAATATTGTATGCGCCATAAATGGCATAAATACTCATTATTTTTGTTTTATTTTCAGTCATATATTTAAATCTCTAAAAATCATTAACGTATGTCATTTTTCTTGTTATTAGCACACTTCTGATTAAAAATATTTAAAAAAAACCTTCTCCTGTAAAATTTGGTTTTTGTCGGTTGCGCTAAAATGGCGGTAAAGGCTCGACGTATGCGGCGCGCATGCACACACTGACAAAATTCGGGGCAACTCACCGCTAATCAACGCTAAATTTTGTCAGTGTGTGCGTGCGCGCCGCATACGTATTGGCGCGCTCACATACAAACCGCGCTCGGCGTTTTTATGAAGATGACCTACTCATTTGTATTTACTCTGATTATAATATTGACTTCAACCTAGACGGAGTGATTTTTACGTCGGGTTAGCAACATAAAGCTGTTTTGATATTTTATTCAGTAATCTCCTCACATTTGGATTATAATGACATCAAAAGTAACGGTAAGTGGCTTGAAAAGACTTTTCCGTACGCTTTGAGAGGAAAAAGTTCATGAAAACCAAATGTAGATGTTTACAAACGTTAGGTAGGGAAACTTTGCATAGTCAATCACTTGTGCCTTTGACCGGTGTTTCTTAACCTGTGGTTTAGAATATTTTATGGGGGGTCCGTAGCCTTATCTATGGCCCATTGAACAATCATAAATATAATATGTCACCAAGTCTTGTAAGTTGCAGATTTTTTTATTAAGGGGTTCCTTAAAATTGTGCTTGATTTCCTAAGGGGCCCGTGGACAAAAAAGGTTAAGAAACTCTGCCTTAGTAGTAATATTCCATTCTATTCGATTCGTTTCGCCGCGATAATGTTCAAAATAGTAAATATATTTGGCTCTATCTAAATCTGTAACAAATATTTATTGTCTACAGGCACTGTTTGTTCTCGATGTTTCGCGGGAATGGATAACTATAACTTTTCGTAGATAAAGATCAGTAACCTCTTAACTTTTGAATTTGAGTTTGTGTTTTATTTGTGGTAAAATTCAAGTTTGTTAAAACATGTCTAGGATAAGTTTTGAAAGTTTTTCGTTAAGGTTCTGGCTCACTACATTACGCGGCGGGTGTAACGCGTAATGGAATGTATCGTGTAATGTAAGGGAAATAGTATGGGCAGCGTAATGCTCGTAGTGCCATCCGGTCCACACGTAGAGTTCGTGTTACATTACACGTTATTTTACATTACACATTACACCCGTCTGGACCCGGCTTAAGCTGGCACTACTATACGTTCAGACACGCTTACGACTGTAAAATATAAGATATTATCATGGCACTCCTTCCACTATGCAATGTTTGTGATACCGGTAATATTGCTACCTATATTCTACAAATAAATAAAAAAGTGTCTGATTTCTGATGCCAGTGTGCCAACAGCTTTAGCTCAGCGGTACGAATTTACGAAACAGTGCAGTGCCCTGAGAGTTCATGTTAGATTTAACTTTATGTTTAACATTTAATACGTAACTACAACATGAAGCAATGAATAAATGGATTAGGAATTATGAAACTGAATTATTTTAATGAACATTTCAATTAACGTCAGCGGATGCTTAAACAAACTACTGATTGGCCTACATTAAAACAATTGCAAACAAAAACCTACACAAAGAGCACACAACTAACGAGTTAAATTAAAAATATTAATTACCTAGCAGATCCTGCTGCGGCAGCCATTTGTAAAGCCTGACGTTAGAAGGTACATCAGTCATGTTCTCAACAGCGTCCTGCTTCCAGAGGACCCTGTGTGGGAGTCTCCCTAGGGCCTCCACGAAGAGTCTGTGTGCTGATAGAGGCATGTTCGAAGTGCGCACTGAAGACCCCATGGACACGTAGACGAAGCCTGCGTCGCCTGCTCCGGAGATCCATTCTTCTATGTCCTGGAATAAAATAATTTCATCATTAGGTTGGTGCTATAGGTCAAGCACAACTGCGACAAGGGAAGGGTAATATTGACGTATAATTAAAGAAAGAAAGAAAATACATTTATTTGGCACACTAAAAACTGATTATGACGTTTTACAGCATACAAAGAATCTGAAGTCTCGCTGACGTTTGATGTCCCAAAAACACCCTCCCGTGTCGCTTCCATACTAATTGTCTTCAATCTTAGATGTTGTAAAATATCTTATTTACAATAATTCAGCTGGGTCACATTTGCTGTATCATCCCTTTCTTTATATTTCCACGTACACAATATTGTATCGTACCTGCTACGTAGAAAAGAGTGTTTTCATCGAGAATTCAGTTTTATTACAATCCCATAAAAATGCTAACATTGTTATGAAACGTGGTATCACTTATTCAAAGATAGGTAGGTATGGTAGCTTTTCCATTGTTTTTTAATTTTGGTTACTGATCTTTCTGTATGGCATTATACTTTTCTGTATTATTGAAAAAGTGTTTACAACATACATATCTTATATCTACTATATAAAAATAAGTCGGGTTTTCCTCCCTGACGCTATAACTCCAGAACGCACGAACCGATTTCCACGGTTTTGCATTCGTTGGAAAGGTCTCGGGCTCCGTGAGGTTTATAGTAAAGAAAATTCAGGAAAAATTTAAAGGGGATAAAACGGGATCCACGCGTACGAAGTCGCGGGCGGCCGCTAGTTTTTAATAATTTTCACAAAATAAGTACTTGGGTATTACAAAATCGCATTAAATTGACTTTCATACGCCACGTTAAGAAAGAGATTACAGCAAATCGATTGGAACGCGTTCGATGCACCATAAAAAGCAATAAATGCAGTCCTGCTACAAAATATCTCGCACATGCAGATAGGCAAAATCGAGTATTTGCATGTCAAACGAATTTCCGATGCATTGCTTCGCAAAGGCGCTTTGAAATATTGTACAACATTAATATTTATTCCTTAGAGCCTTTCCACATGAGAGGTTTAAACGCTACTAACACTCAAAGATTCTTCTGGAACGATAAAAAGTAATAAAAGTACCTTAGTACTTCTATTAAAATATGTTTTATTCTTTCAGGGTAAACTTCCAAAAGTTAAGTAGTAATTAGGTATTTCTACTACGAATAAAAAAATCTAATACGAGTAGTTTCGTATTTTTAAGGTAATCATTCGGATACTTTTTATGGACTCACGTTGACAGGACACACATTTTTTTTCTAGAGCTGCCTTTATAAACTTTCCTTATTCCTTCACCTCAGCTTTTCTAGGTGTGTTATATTAAATTCGTTCAAGAAAAGCCTCTCTTCTTTCTATATGTATATTTTTATTGGAAGGACTGTGCTGATACCCGTGAGCGGCTTTCTCAGCTTCACCGGACAATAGGTAAGCGCAGATGGCTCTCAACCTCAATTCTTTCTACAACATTAACCTATCTCAAAGGTAAAGGTCTGTTTCAAATATTCTTAACAGCTCATGTAGGCCTGGAAAACGTAACCATCAAAAACAATACTTGTCAAAAAAACCAAGTCTCGCAACTCAGTTGTTCTACGGTAAAAAGTTGTGAGATCCATGTAATACCAAGTCCAGGCCAGGAAATCTTTAATAATAATAATAATAATAATAATAACTTTATTTGTCCAAAACACAATCGTGATGTTAAATAAGGTACATGTTAAAAATTTATGTAGTACATTGGTAGGCGAGATTGACAACTACCCTCCGCGCTAGTAATAAAACTGTGTTGCGGCAGAGTAGTGACAGCACGTCGTCCATGATAGCCACATAGCACAATCAAAACAGACAGTACACATTCGCTAGGTTTACTCGAATGTGTAATTAACGTTTTACATAAATTATTGACTTGGCCATCGCACTAAATAATTTAATTTACACGTGTTTTCATGCGATGGCCAAGTCAATATACTTATGTAAAACGTTAATTAAAGATTTCCTGGCCTGGACTTGGTATTACATGGATCTCACAACTTTTTACCGTAGAACAACTGAGTTGCGAGACTTGTTTTTTTTTGACAAGTATTGTTTTTGATGGGATCTCATTTCTTTTTGTATTTTGTAGACAGCAGTTATGTATCTAGAAAACTGGACCGAAATTGAAAAATTTTACTGGACTTGGCGGTTGCACTACTGTGCCCCCAAATATTTTAGCTTTTCCTTGATTCATACACCAAACACTACTTATATTCCGAAGCTTCTAGGTCTGCTAGAAGTGCCTTAGAATTTTGATGATCGGTGAGTCAGTGAGTCAGTCAGTGAGTGACAAAATTAAGTAACTTTGACCCGTTATAATTCTTAAACTACTGGTTCAAATTGAATGAAATTTGAAATATACCGTGTCTTTACAATGCCTGCATAGCTAATGAAAATTCAGCCTTCTAGTTTTATCCACAACGAAGTTACAGGCGGTCGAAAATGGCCTGAATTGCTTCGAGAAAAGGATGGTACGGCCGTGCCGCTTTTTTGCTCGACTTGGTGGGGGCACTGCCGTGCCCCCAGATTAAGAACTCCCGGAGCGGTGACACACATTTGGGTTCACCACAGAGGCCCATATAACTTTTAATGTCACGTAACTTTTCTGGATAACACCATCTGCTGCAACTTGTTTGATAAACAAAGTTACGTAATGTGATGCCAATTAAACCAAAATCGTTCGTATGAAAACCTCCTTAGCAATTAACCAAATTAATGTTCCATGTGAACTCGTAGATATTGCTACATTTGCTACGAAATTGTTCTATGCATGTTTGTTTCTGAGAAACAAATATTACATTTTACTAGTGTTGTGTACTTGTATGTCTCTAATCCACTATCGAAACTATCGATAGACTAATAGTAAAGACAAAATTAGCCGTAGGTAAATACTGTCTGTAGAGCCTTAGCCCGCGTACCTACGAGTATTCCAGTTACTAGTATTCTTTATTTCAGTCTGCCACAAAAAGTGATGCAAACTTAATTTTAGGTCACTCGCATAAGTATTTTCGTTTCTTTTTATGTGTAAAGTTTAATCCCGAAATAAAGCGAACCCTTTTTCCACCTACTTTTATTTTTGTTAAAAAACACAAAAAAAGTTACACAATTTTATTCTGATTTGTGTAATATTGTCGATAGCAGTGAACAACAACAAGATCACAACACTTCGCTCACGTATCATGTTATAGAAATACAGAGAACAATCTTGGATACTAAATCTACCCTGAAGTTTCAATTTATTATGTTTTGATAAAATTAAAACGATGAAACATGATCTTACATTGAAGGTCGTAAAAACACTTGATTACTTAATAAGAAAAAAATTAAGAAAGTTGTTGTAGATAGACATAAATAATTAAGTACTTACTGGGCTCAACCGCTTTGCTTCTTTACAATGTATGCAGGCCACTTCAGCCACATTGGGTAGGTACGGCCTCGGATAAGACACAGTATAATGTCCATTCTGGAGAATAAAGCTGACATTCTTCGTCATATCATAGACATGAGGAATCTGCGGCCCGAAGTGCTTCCTCAAAACTCCTTGGAGAACCATCATGGTGAACCCGTGAGCAATGTTAGCGGCTGTCAACCAACCAGCATTGATAGTTCTGTCAAAAAAACTCATGTTGTCCGTAAACCCTTTGCCGAAGAAAGGGGTGACAGAGAAGGGAGTAGGACTTCCAGAGTTGCTGAAGGCGCTGGCATAGAAGCCGACAGTGTTGATGAAGATGAAGGGCAGCTTCAGGCGGTGGACCACACCCATGGCACATTCTGGGTAAGCGCCATCTAGGATGATGAGATCGTAACTCCTTCCTGATCTGAAGAAGGACCATGTCTCGACGTCACTGTAGAACGCGTCACACACCTGCCAAGAAAAAAAAGACTAATTAAATTTTAGACTAGTTTATCAAGCAATTAAAGTAAATCAGTGTTGGTTGGCAGTAAGTCATCCATAAGTATTACACGGACATTGTAATAATAGGTAAGTTATAGAAAGGCCATTTTACTTGTCTACACTTTTTTTCGCTTTGTAACGTTAAATGCTTAATTAAGTAGGTAAGTAGCCAAAACGGTTCCACGCCACATATTGACAATATTATAACCGTAGTTATTATTTTTTTAAACTGCATTTTAAATACATTTTCCTATCTTTCCAGAAAATTAATTTGGCGTACAGAAAGGGTGTAATTATAAATTAACGGATTGATTAATGCAAATTGAAACCCTCTTCACTAGGTATTCAATAGCTTTTTGACGCTTTGAAACTCTGTTAATTAATTTAATTCTTTAAACACAAACACGACAATATTTGCTTTACTAAATCTTATCTTGTAGATAAACAATACCCTAATTACTTTTGCCCAGTGAAGATAGGGTCGTGCCTTTTAATTAGTTTCGTGATTTAGGCTACCTGTTCGCGTTTTACTTTAGTAATTAGGCGATGATGCTGTTTCTTTTTAATTAAAGCACGGCATACCTAATTACTAACAAGAAAGAACAGCTATTTTTTTATTAAACAATACCTACATAAGTTAAAGGTCAAATTCAGTGATTAACAATGAAAATAAAAGAGTTTTAGGTTTTCGATTTTACTTTAACTTTGTATTGAAAAAGATCGCGAAGCTATCCATTGACTTCATTGAGTAGACTAACAAAAAGTTCTATTTATATAAAGGAATCAAATAGAGACCATGGATTGGTATTCGTTTCAATGAAACAACTTTTGATTACCTACGACTTTTTGTACGGCAAACCTTTATTTGTGTGTTCCTATATACATAGATTGCTAATTTAATTCGTGCAGGGAATTTATGTGTGAATGTCGCATAATGGAGAAGTTTCAAATTGTTTTTATTAATAAAACTTGAAAATATACGTAAAACCAATAATATTGGTGAAAGAATCATGAAAATATATCTACAAATAAAGAAGCTACAGGGCCCTAAAGATGCGCATAACAAATAATTCGCGCGAAACTTTGCCATTAAATAACGTCATTATTTTTATTTTTTTTTAGTGCAGTTTTTTAGACTCGTCTGTTTTTTTTTATATTAATTTACACCTTATCTGTCTCCACAACCTTTTATACCTCGTATCCATATCTGAGCATGTCTTTGATGGGGAGGGGTTCCTCCCCCCGCATCCTGGCGCCCACCAGGTCCCAGGACATGTATTCCCGGACGTAGGACACCAGGCCTTCAGGCGCGATCTCCTCCAGACCCTCAATGTGGAAGTCCGGGGGGAAAGCGCTGAAGAATGTGATGTTGTGCCCTCTGCAATAAAAAAGGATCTGATTACGTGTTGCCGAAAGTGCGGTAGTTTTAAAGGCACATAAAACCACAGAACTTATGTAGTTACTCGTACATACGAACCCCATAAAGAAAAAAGTTTGTGGATATTGACCCAGTTAGATATTTAATGTAGATAGATGATTGCATGTTGTGTGAATCTGCGCCAAGACCAGCCAAGCAACGCGTAAAGGCACTATTTACCCTTTCTCGAAGTGACATAAAGTTGTTAGTTAGTAAAGTTAGAAGCTTGGCTCTGATCTTTATTGACTGCTTTATTTATAAAATAGGAATAAGAACTGAGTAGGCCATTCAACTAAACTCGTAATCCATTACCCTTTTGAATACTATTTTACGTTGAGTTGTAGTTGAAATAATAATATAGAATTAAGAAGTCATTATTTAACGTGGAGACAACTGTTTCTAGGTACCCCAGGGTATTTTATATCTTCACATCTGACATCCAAACACCCAGGAGAGAACGGATTACATAAACTAGTGGCTGCCACCCGCTCGTTAAGTCGACGCTAGATGTTCCCGGGGTGATCATTTAAGCGGCATTTACCGGGTTAATGGGGCTCCTCGTGTTTATGGAGGAATCTTATCTGATAGTAATTTTGGCAACCCTATCCCTATGTTTTATTTATGAAGTGCGAAAAGATTTGATGTTTTCCTTCTTTTGTTTCTCATAAGACTATGATGTGATGTTCAAATCATACCAACAAATACCACACGTCTAATACAAGAGTTAAAATACATCTATATCTTATAGCTATAAAAGTGAAAGGTCACTGATTGACTGACTTTCATCACGAAATCTCAGAACTACAAGTGCTAGGAGTTTCAAATTTTGCATGGGTGTTCCTTTTAAGTAGAACGTAGGTGCTCACTAAGAACAGATTTTACGAAACTACACACCTAAGGGGGTAAAACGGAATCCACGTGTACGAAGTTTCGGGCGGCCGCTAGTATATTATGTAGAATAAAGGAAAGATTTTCACCAAAACACCAAATCAAATTATTTGTGTTACAGATCCAGGAAGATTGTCCTTACCTCCTAATCATACCCCTAGCTAGCTCCCAGAACGGCATCTTATGTGACTTGGTGCCGCCCAGCGTGATCATCAGGATGTCGCTCCCACAGACCGAAGCGGCTAACAGGATCGGCAGACATAGGTAGGGCCACCGGGACCCCGTCTGAAAAGAAGAAAGAGGGGGTTAGGATCTTCTTAATAAGATGATCTCTTCTTGGATGAGCTATGATCGATGAGTAGTACTTCTGCCTGCAGTGGAGACTAAACCATCTGATTATGATGAAAAGAAGCTATCAGGAGTTTCTTTTACTAAAAATAGTTAAGCTCTTGGCCTGACCTGATGGAAGGTGGAAGCGAGCTTCATCCAGAATTCTCTACCATAGTGGAACTGGCTGTCCTACTTCTAATTGTTGGAACACAACGATGCTGTATTGTAGGGACAGACAGTAATATAGTGGAAGCTAGACTTAGAAGAGCCCTACCACCCAAACTGAACAAAAAATGCCCCCACAGGGAGTCGAACCCGGGCCCTATGGGTCTGAAGCTTTGAAGGCTAGACCATAGACCATAGAGCTGGTTTTGAATGCCAGTCAACTATCGTACACGATTTCATTCGAGCATGAATCCTAAATCGAGTGCTTTTAAAATACTTCAATGAACCCAGCTTCTTTTCTACTATAAAGTAGTATAGGTACTAGCTACATCAACTAAACCAGCAAAGTGCTCTATCTTCCAGAATGATACAGCGTTCAATGCCGCTCGACGGACAGATGCAATCTCTCTGCTAAGCTACAATCGTCTTTGTTTGCTCAGCAAAATACACAAACTGACAGCAAAGTTATAATCTGAAACTGACGAGCTGTAGCTGGAGTTATACTTATTCTTGCAGGATATTGGAATTGGTAAAATAAATAAGCCGCAGATGATCGTTTTAGAACTAACTTCCACTTATGAAACATACCTAGTACCTAAATGCTGAAGTTTATTTCAGTAAATGTTGTAACTGAGTAATAAAAAATAAAGTTCCAAATAAAGAAAAAAGTCATCTAACAACATAACTTAGCAAATTGTTTATACTCAACTGGTAATGGGGAGTATTATAAACGTAAACGCACAGCCAAAACTGTCTAGAATGATGGAAATTCCGTCTCGTCTCATTGTAATATGACTTTCCTACCGGATTGCATAGTGCAGCCTCATTGGATAAGCACCAGATTATTGCAATAATGACGAAATTGCCATGATCGGCCATTGCAACATTTTGTCGCGCTTAGCGCGCGTAATATAATTTTGTCTTGTTTATAACATAGTCAAAAACACATCTTTTGTATGTGATAAATTGTTTCTATGTGGGTCATTCCACAAAAATATGTCAACTCTTAGTACGCGCCACATTTCACATGAAATATTTGTTAATATTTTATTCCAAAATTGTTAAATAACAGCTCGCAATGTGCTTTATTCATCACCCATTTATATTTTTTGAAACTATTTTTAAAACATCTTAAATTCCTTTTGAATGACCCAAAACGTCATTCCCTAGGCATGTCCGTACTCCAAAAGTTTGTGTTTTGGGACCCACATTTATAGAAACATCAACGTTATCCTTTGTTTTAATTAACGAATAATCTATTTAAATGTATATTACACCAAATTCTATTAATATTTTGCGGTTTCAATAATGGGTCATTCCACAAAAATATGTCAACTCTTAGTCCGCGCCACATTTCACATGAAATATTTGTTAATATTTTATTCCAAAATTGTTAAATAACAGCTCGCAATGTGCTTTATTCATCACCCATTTATATTTTTTGAAACTATTTTTAAAACATCTTAAATTCCTTTTGAATGACCCAAAACGTCATTCCCTAGGCATGTCCGTACTCCAAAAGTTTGTGTTTTGGGACCCACATTTATAGAAACATCAACGTTATCCTTTGTTTTAATTAACGAATAATCTATTTAAATGTATATTACACCAAATTCTATTAATATTTTGCGGTTTCAATAAACAATAATTTGATTTTCTTTAGTTGAAAAAGAGTCTACAGTTTTTAGCGTCTTTCCCTCGCCACGCACTGATTTTATAATTTTGCGCTTTAATATGTATTTAGAGTGAATGACATTTAGTTGAGTTTAAAGTACGATACGAAGTTATCCTCAGACCATACTGGCTTTGCGGTAGCCGTTTTTTGAATTAGTGCAAACGAGCCAGTTGTTACCGAAACATGTGTTAATCCAGTCACTTCGTCAGTCCCTAGTTGAGTAGCTTTATTGATTATAATAGGAAATTGTATATAATTTAATAGTATTTACGTGTGGTTTTTTGGCTATTTTCGGCACATCGTATTAAGCATCTTATAATATAAAGTTAATCTGCATTTGTGTTAAGTTTTACTCCAAATCGTCAGTCCCTAGAGCGTCAGGCCCTAGCTTTAAACGGCACTTGGGACTAAATTACTAGTTAGGGAATGATGTTTTTTACATAGTGATAATAACAAAACAACTACATTATGTGAATTAACTTATCTATAAAAGTTTTATACTTTATTAGAAGTCATATAGGAGTAGTATGAAAAAATTTAAAATTATAATTTCTCCTAAAATAAAGCATAAAGTGACTGGCCCTTTTAGTCATAACATAATTAATTAAGTGCAAAACTAACCACGCAAGAATCAACCATTCGGAATTGGATTTATCAAAGCATTTCTAAAATACGAATAAAGGTCTTTGTTCCTTTTAGTTTTATCAGTGCTTTTACCCACATATTTATCTTTCTCCGTCCAAGTCTAAAAATGGACCTTAACTGTTTTACCCATACACCATTAGCCTCCAACATCAATCAAGAAAGCTAAGTTTCAGAACTTTTCAATAAAGCCTGAACTAACAAAGCTCGCAGCTTAAATCCTAATCAAAATTAATCACTATCTTTGTTTGACTTATTAACGTAATTACTTAATTTATCTACAGCCTTGACTCAGTGCGTAGCGTAACTTAGTAAGTATTATTGTTACATCCTTCATTTATACAGGGAATATAAGTTGTACCTACTCTAAAGTAGCATTAAAAAGACTTTTTCATAAAAACTGCTCGCTCAAGCACTGGAGGGCTCCTGACAGGCCACTCGAGTGTAAAATGAGGGACCCAATGCTGGTAAACTAACCACTCGAAAAATGGAGTGTGCCTCGTTGCACATAATGGCTTAATGGAACGTCGTGGAAAATTAACATTTTAATTTCTTTAAACAAAAAAGTAACTAAGTATTGGAATTAGGCAGAGCTGCAACTACTTACTTTAACCGTAACGTTTGTCAAAAAAATTAAAGTAAGATGGTGCAACCCAGCCTTAGCTACTTAAATTAAAAATTATTTAAACCTTTGTGAATCTCTTTTAGAGGGTTTTTAGTTTTGGATTCTTATATTTCCAGTATTATCGTAGTTCAGCAGTCTATCTACTAATTTATTATTACATAATAAATCTTGGGTTATGAAGTGACTTTCATTCAAGCAGTTGTTGTGTTTTGAACTAGAAGTTTTGTCCAGTAGGAAAAGGGGAAAAGACTTATAACGTTTGACGAATTTATAGAAATCATACGCTTAAACCCAAAAAGGTATTCGGAGCTGAGTAGCACTTAGTTTAACAGCCTCGAGAGTTTTGCTATCCGATTAAAGTTTTTATGCTGAAAAATAAGTAGTAGGGTAAACCGTATAGCTATTGCCCACTTAAAGATTTCAAACACATTGAGATGAAAAATTAAAGAAAGTATTTTAATTATCGACCATTTATGACTTTTTTCTTATAACTCAATAAACTGTTAAACAGAATATTAACAGTTTTTAGTTAAAACTTAGGTAACTTAGAAAATATTGAAATAAATTTATAATCCTCCAAAAAGTACAGTCATTGCCCATTACTTACACTAATTGCCCACATCAAAGCACAGTAATTGCCCAGTATCTTAAAACAAAATAATCAATTTTAAAAGGACAAAATAGGCTTTAAATAAACAAAACAAAACATTTAACTTAAATTCTAGTAGTACAGTCTTCAAAATTTCAAAATAAATTGCGTTTGGCCTTATTAACATAAATATTATCAAATATTTCTTGAGCTGATGTTGATGAGTCAGAATCGGTAGAGACAAAATCATCTACTTCAAAACATAGATGACGCAAAAATTTGAATTTTATATGTAAATTTTATATGTATTTATTTTTTTATCTTCTTTGATATCAGTTCAAGTGGTTGCTCAGAATGTTCAATTAGCTGTTGGTTATTCTTCCCTAAAGTTGTATCTATTTCCTTACAATTAACATTTTCACTAGTAGATTTAACGTAGGTTTTTAATTTTTTGTATTTGCGTTTGAATTTTTATCAATTTTTTCAAGCCAAACCATATTTTTCAGCAATTTATCTTGTAGATATATTGTTGGATACATCTTGTACAGCTTTTTGCAAATTTTCTATGCTATATTGAACTTTTGGAGTCTTTGGCATACTGAAAATGAAACATTAAAAGCCATTTCAATATTTATGCCTGTAAATTGCAAAACAAGTCTAGCAAAGAGCAACTTAAACTGCATGGTGGCAACACTAATAATAATTGCCCTGGGCAATAACTATACATTAACATATGGCAATAACTGAAATGATGGTGGGCAATAACTAACAGTGTCGTCTGCAAACATGATGGTGTCAGCCCCAGGAACACTCAGATCACATAAACTATTTATGTAAATTAAAAATAGTGTTGGACCGAGTGTACTGCCTTGCGGGACACCGTAGTTGCATGGAGCAGACTTGCTGTGATACTCATCCACTCTCACGATTTGACGTCGACCTGTCAGATAGTCCGAGAACCAAGAGTGTACTATGCCCCTAATACCTGAACTCTCTAGCCGTGCGAGTAATATCGGGATAGAAACTGTGTCGAAGGCTTTCTGGAGATCCAAAAATACTCCAACGCAGCAATCACCCTCGTCTAGGTACTTGGTAATCAGAGAGGTCAGTCTGAGCACAGCATCCTCCGTCGATCTGCCAGCACGAAATCCGTACTGGTTTTCTGAAAGCAGATCTGCCTTATTCAGGTAGCTGACCAGTCTGCGGTTGACGAGTTTCTCCAATATCTTTGACATGGTCGATAGAAGTGATATTGGCCTATAGTTTGATGGGTTCTTCCGGTCTCCAGCCTTATGTATGGGACAAACAATGGCAGTTTTAAAAGAGGTAGGAAAAACACCTGTCGTGAAACTCAAGTTACAAATGAAAGCAATTGGTGCCACTATTAGTTCCTTAATCATCTTCAAAACACGAACAGTAATCTTGTCACCTCCGCCAGCACTATTGGAATCGAGTTTTGCTATTATATTGGCGACCTCAAGGGGGTCCGTTGGTAGGAACGACATTGAGTGCACAGGTGCAGTTGTAGTCTTTATTTTGTTTATTAAGTCTGATTCCGTCAGCCCTAGTTTGTGCAGTGTTTGATTGGCGAGATCACTGCCCACATTCGTAAAATATTGATTAACTTTATCTAGTGACGTTTCTGGATTATCATCCAAGGTGAGTAGATTTGACTCCGATTCTTTAATTTTTGTCATGTTGCATAGTTCTTTGATGATTTTCCAGGTTTCTTTATTGCTCCCAACCGATTTTTCTAATTTGTTCTTATAATAATTTCTTTTGGCATATTTTATCAATTTATTACATGTATTTCTATAATTTTTATATTCTATTTCTAAATTTAGATCATTAGGCGTTTTTTTTAATTTTTTTTAAGTAATTTGTCCCGATTCCGAATTGATTTTACTATTCCAAATGTTATCCAAGGTTTCAATGGTTTCATTTTGTTTGGTATCTTTGTGGTTTTTGTGTTTTTATTTATTATATTCTTGATATTATTGATTAGATACTCAGTAGCTAGATTTACATCCGTCAAACAATAAAAATAGTCCCAGTTTAAGTCCAAAAAGTCTTTCTTAACATTTTCATAGTCAATTTTATTTACAGTTAGTGGTTTCGAAATTTTCCTAATAATGGATTTGTAAATATTTAGTAAAATTGGCGAGTGGTCCGTGAACTCGTCAAAAACCAATGTCTGGCAGAACAATGATGTTTTTACCATAAAGTGGTCTAAGCATGCATTTAGTCTTGTTGGCCTATTTATACCTTGTTTAAGACCATGATAAGCCATGGTATTTAAGTAATCACTTGCTGCGCTGTTTAGGTGTTCTGACAAGATGTTGATGTTCACATCACCTGTGAGAATTATGTTCCTAGTAGTGATGGTTTCCAATAGATGGTTCAATGAGTTAATGTAACGTGAAGGGTTTTTGAAGGATGGTGGCCGATAGGTACATATAACTGATGTTTCGTTATGAAAATTGAGCAACAAACAATTCCCATCGCAAATCGCAATCTCTGAGCAGGTGACTTCAATATTATTTTTGATGTATACTACGACACCATCATTCTGATTGAATGTACGTTGACTAACAAAGGAGTTGTATCCGTCTACAACAGGCACTGGGACGTTAGAATTTATCCAACACTCCGATAACACAACAACGTCAATGGGGAGATCCAACTCTTTCATGAATATCAAAAACCTGTCGAGATTGCAGAATATACTTCTAATGTTGACTGACAAGATAAACATAGAATCCACACAATCCGTGCTTAAAATTGTTCTAGCCGACACAGGAGAATCTGCGTATGTACATGGTATTTGACCTAATTGTTCTATCTCAACATCAATGCTTTTGCGTTGTGTTTCCATGTTTGGTTAGAGAAATAAGACTGTGCTGTAATGTGTTAAAGTTGGCAACAATATAGTATAAGAAACCTGAGTTGTGCGACATGAAATTTCCATTTTGACCTGTAGTTAGCAGATACAAATGGTTTAGTAAATTTCCAGAACTATTAATAAATTTTACTAGTTCAATATGTATGTAATTTAATGTAACTATGTTGATTTGATATGTGTATTTGTTTTTGTGTGTGATAAGTGATTGTGTGAGTGCATTTATTATTATGTATGAATATTTGAAATGTATAGTGATTAAACATCTATTTTTGAAAACAAAATAACATCCTACTCCTTTTAAAACAATGGATATAATGCGAGTTAAATGAATGAACAATGAAAAAAGCAAATAATAAAACAAGAAAGTACAAACTATGATAGTACACTGTTTACATAGTCATGGTTTTATTTTGTCGAGGTCTGATTCTGAGTTGATGCGGTGTGCTTGAGTTCCGTCGTTTAAGCGTAGGTAGACTGTGCCACGCGATGTCCAGCAATATTTGTACTTATGGGACTTGGCAAAGTCTCGTGCAACAGCATACAATTTTTTGGTTTTGAATGTCAGACTCTCCGTGATAAATACAGGCTTCGACGGTCCTTGCAGCGATAGATGGGATGTGCTTAATTTATTACTGGGGTGTCTCCCATTGAATGATCTAACTGATTTCAGTACTTCGTCTTTTTTGAAAATATTATTGAATTCAACAATAATTGGTTTGTTGTTGGGCACAGCAGTGGACACTCTGTATATGTTTCTAATATCATGCTGTTCTATGTTTACATTGATGATAGCACCCGTTTTTTTTAGTATATTTAAGAGATCAGATTTATTTTCTGTATTGCTAGGCGGTATGTTTTTAATTTCAATGTCAGTTATTCTATCATTTTTCTCTAAATATTCAATTTTCTTTTCCAGAGTTTCGATGTACTTTTTCTCCTCTCTTCTCTCCTGTTCCATAGAGTTGAACCGACCAAGAAGTTCATCGTATTTGTGAGACATAAACTCTAGTGAGTCCTGCACTTCATTCATTTGAGTGTTCACATTTTGCATAAATTCCATGATGGCATCGAGTTTTGTGTTTTGCGCTGCAATCATGCGTTCTATCGAAACATCCCCTATGGGCGAGGACACGGAGGTACCATTATCGCTATCTCTACGCAAACGCTTGCTAACGTTGCGCGTAGTTATATTGTGTGAGGTATTACCTGGTTTAGACAAGTTCGCTTCTGAGCCAAAGTGTGTTAATTTCCCATCTGAACTGTTTTTTGGCAGCCCACAGCCAGTTGGGGCGGTTTGTGTAGTAAGCTTCTTGTTTTGCTTCTTCAGTGGTGAGGCGTTGTTGCCGTCGGTACTCACTTGTGGCAAGGGGGATGTGTCTGTGGCGTCGGTAGATACGCAGGCTTCTGGTGAAGCTGGCTTTTTCTGTTTGTGTTGTTTTGCTCCTGGCGACTTTGGGGGGGTCCGTTTTAGAGGCATTTTTTATTTTTTCTTACGACACTGATGTATAGAATTCGCGTGGCAAAGATAAGGCGGTGCGCAGTCACACGTAGTCACTGTGAGTAACGGTCCCGTAGCAGAACTCGCAGATACTGTTCGTAGCGTGTTCGTAGCGTCTTCGTAGCATCCGTAGCAAAACACGATGTTTGTATCTGGCACTCGTAGCACTGGGCAGCTTGTGGTTGCAAATTTCGTCGCGGCCGCTCACTGTTCGCTTGGCGCGCCTGGTTCAAGCTCGGAATCAGCCGCCGGCAAGCACCGAGTTCGAATCCCACGGAGAACACAAAAATTTGTCCGCTCAACAATCGCGACGCGAGGGGGCTCCGGAGACTCGAGACTTGGAGGCGAAGCCCGAGGGCGCAGGCCCAAAATATTTAACTTGCTCGAGGACGCACCTCGACACGTCCGACCGACACAACAGCCGAGAGGCAAGAGGCCGCCGAGCCGTTATTTGACTAAGGCAGAGACCTGTGTCTCTGTCCGCTTGCGAACTGTCGCTTATACATTGTCTAAAGTCGTAATTTGAGTGCGGCAAATACGCGGCGCACTCGAGCGCACCATCCGCAACGGAGGCCGCGAGGACAAGCCCTCCCGCATGGAGGTGCTGTCCATCCTGCTCAAGAACCCCTACCACCACTGCCTGCCGCACGCCATACCGGTGCACATGCTCAACAACACCTACCAGGTCTGTATACGTCACTAAAGTGTGCTCACCATGAGTTTCCATTCATGTGCACATGCTCAACAACACCTACCAGATCCTACTTTAACTTTGACAAACGTCAAAAATCCGTCATACTCCATACAAAATACGCTGGTTATCGTCATAGTTACGGTCAAATTTAGGTGGTGCAACTCAGCCTAAGTGTAGGTATCAGGTCTGTATACGTCACTAAAGGTAGGCGACACGCGACAGGGACAGCTCGGTGACTTAAGGTGGCGGTTCGCACCGCGACAGAGACAGGAGACCGAGACACGAGACCGAGGCGGGAGACCGCGACCGTTATTTGACTAAGGCAGAGGCCTGCCGCACGCCATACCGGTGCACATGCTCAACAACACCTACCAGGTCTGTCATCATCATCATCATTTCAGCCACAGGACGTCCACTGCTGTACATAGGCCTCCCCCAATGACTTCCACATCGCACGGTTGGTAGCGGCCTGCATCCAGCGCCTTCCTGCTACCTTTATCAGGTCGTCGGTCCACCTTATGGGTGGACCAGGTCTGTATACGTCACTAAAGGTAGGCAACGCACAGGCCCCTCTTTCCCACTGGGCACTTTGGGCACGTGCCCAGGGCCCCGCGACCGAAGGGGCCCCTGTCTACTCAAAAGACCTTTCTCCAGATGATATAGGTCCCCCTTGATCCTTAAGTGCCCAGGGCCCCTAGTAGGTTAAAGACGGCCCTGGCGACGCAGGACAGGGACAGCTCGGTGACTTAAGTTGGCGGTTCGCACCGCGACAGAGACAGCAGACCGAGACGGGAGACCGCGATCGTTATTTGACTAAGGCAGAGACCTGACTCTGTCCGCTTGCGAACTGTCGCTTATACATTGTCTAAAGTCGTAATTTGAGTGCGGCAAATACGCTGCGCACTCGAGCGCACCATCCGCAACGGAGGCCGCGAGGACAAGCCCTCCCGCATGGAGGTGCTGTCCATCCTGCTCAAGAACCCCTACCACCACTGCCTGCCGCACGCCATACCGGTGCACATGCTCAACAACACCTACCAGGTATATACACGTCACTAAAGGTAGACAAAACGCGACAGGGACAGCGCAGTGACTTAAGGTGGCGGTTCACAGCGCGACAGAGACACGAGACCGAGACACGAGACCGAGGCGGGAGACCGCGACCGTTATTTGACTAAGGCAGAGGCCTGCCGCACGCCATACCGGTGCACATGCTCAACAACACCTACCAGGTCTGTCATCATCATCATCATCATCATTTCAGCCACAGGACGTCCACTGCTGAACATAGGCCTCCCCCAATGACTTCCACATCGCACGGTTGGTAGCGGCCTGCATCCAGCGCCTTCCTGCTACCTTTATCAGGTCGTCGGTCCACCTTGTGGGTGGACCAGGTCTGTATACGTCACTAAAGGTAGGCGACGCATAGCCCCTCTTTCCCACTGGGCACTTTGGGCACGTGAACGTGCCCAGGGCCCCGCAACCGAAGGGGCCCCTGTCTACTCAAAAGACCTTTCTCCAGATGATATAGGTCCCCCTTGATCCTTAAGTGCCCAGGGCCCCTAGTAGGTTAAAGACGGCCCTGGCGACGCAGGACAGGGACAGCTCGGTGACTTAAGGTGGCGGTTCGCAGCGCGACAGAGACACGAGACCGAGACGGGAGACCGCGACCGTTGAAATGAAATGAAATGAAAATACTTTTATTAAATAAACACTTTACAATTACAAGATATGTGCCGCTCTCGTATAAGGTTAACCTGTGTAACGAGAGTCAGGCTCCTCCTCAAAAAACATAAGACTAAAATTTAGTGTTTAGATTAAATTTTATCTTTTAATTTAAAAAATAATTTAAATAGAAAAACAAAACAAAAATGTGTGTGTGATAGTGTGAGTGNTCATCATCATCATCATTTCAGCCACAGGACGTCCACTGCTGAACATAGGCCTCCCCCAATGACTTCCACATCGCACGGTTGGTAGCGGCCTGCATCCAGCGCCTTCCTGCTACCTTTATCAGGTCGTCGGTCCACCTTGTGGGTGGAACAGGTCTGTATACGTCACTAAAGGTAGGCAACGCACAGGCCCCTCTTTCCCACTGGGCACTTTGGGCACGTGCCCAGGGCCCCGCAACCGAAGGGGCCCCTGTCTACTCAAAAGACCTTTCTCCAGATGATATAGGTCCCCCTTGATCCTTAAGTGCCCAGGGCCCCTAGTAGGTTAAAGACGGCCCTGGCGACGCAGGACAGGGACAGCTCGGTGACTTAAGTTGGCGGTTCGCAGCGCGACAGAGACAGGAGACCGAGACACGAGACCGCGACCGTTATTTGACTAAGGCAGAGACCTGTGTCTCTGTCCGCTTGCGAACTGTCGCTTATACATTGTCTAAAGTCGTAATTTGAGCGCACCATCCGCAACGGAGGCCGCGAGGACAAGCCCTCCCGCATGGAGGTGCTGTCCATCCTGCTCAAGAACCCCTACCACCACTGCCTGCCGCACGCCATACCGGTGCACATGCTCAACAACACCTACCAGGTCTGTGTACGTCACTAAAGGTAGGCGACACGCGACAGGGACAGCGCAGTGACTTAAGGTGGCGGTTCACAGCGCGACAGAGACAGGAGACCGAGACACGAGACCGAGGCGGGAGACCGCGACCGTTATTTGACTAAGGCAGAGGCCTGCCGCACGCCATACCGGTGCACATGCTCAACAACACCTACCAGGTCTGTGTACGTCACTAGAGGTAGATAAAACGCGACAGGGACAGCTCGGTGACTTAGGGCTATATTTCACCGGGACACTATGGCGGCGCAACCAGTCGCCACTACCAACAAAATGTATGCAGCTTTGCGCAACCAAACGGACACCAGGTGAGTAACTTACTATAGAGCTGTATACATTTTGTTGGTAGCCGGCGACTGGTTGCGCCGCCATGGTGTCCCGGTGAAATATAACCCTTAAGGTGGCGGTTCGCACCGCGACAGAGACAGGAGACCGAGACGGGAGACCGCGACCGTTATTTGACTAAGGCAGAGACTTGTGTCTCTGTCCGCTTGCGAACTGTCGCTTATACATTGTCTAAAGTGAAGTAACGGTCGCGGTCTCCCGTCTCGGTCTCCTGTCTCTGTCGCGGTGCGAACCGCCACCTTTAGACGTGACGACAGAACGACAGTTCAAAGCTTCGCATACTTGGCGTCTAGTCGCCGAATCGCCTGTTGCGTGTTGCCTACACTGCACTGTAGGTCGCGCAGCGAGAGTTGAGGCGATCAACACAAATATTTGTGTCTGTATACGCTCGCCGCGCCTCAGAGACCTCAGTCTTGCTTATTCTGATTGACAAGTTCTTTCTGTCTCGTTTGCACACTTAGCACATGCGAGGTAGCGTGGGTATTTGATATTTGCAATTTAAGTATATTTTGTAATCTATATTCTTCAGTGTAAGTACCGTGTGCGCCTCACCTTTGCTGCACGATTTATAATTAGTTGTACGAAGATGGATCGTGAACAACTTTTACTTTAGGTTTACTAGTACCTAACAGCGAGAAAATTTGATCAAATATTCATTTGATAATGCACGTGTCTTGAGTAAACTCCTCAATAGTGCAAGCAGATAGTATTCGTGATTAAGGAAATAAATATTTAGTTAAGAAATGTTTTAATTTAAAAAATATATTACAGGTCATAAGTTTCGACGGGTCAACAACAGTAGAAGAGTTCCTATCGACACTAAGTACGGAGCTGGGCTGCAGAGAAACGGGATTGTCCGGATTCGCACTGTTTAGCGACGACCCCATCGAAAAGGACTTGGAACATCACATCAAGCCAGATAAAAAAGTAAGTGTTGATTATACGTCAGAGTCCTTATTTAGTACTTTGCTGAGTATGTAATGTAAAAGAATGAAATCTCTTTTAGAAGAAAATTCTAAGGCCTTAAAGGTATATACTCTTAATTTCGGATTAGATGCGTTATCTTAAAAGTACAAAGATACTTATTTGTTCGATTCTGAATTGTTTCCCAATCTCAGTGGTTCAGTTATATCCATTGGCAATACCATAAAGAGCTCAGTATAGTCTAGTCTAGATCATTCCAGAAAGATAATTCAATGAATATGAAAAATTTAAGCAAATCATCACAATATACACTTTATTTTTTCCAGTTATGTGACGTCATATCAAAATGGGAGACGGCGCTCCGCGAGAAAGGCTCGGGCAAGTTCGAGAATTCACGAGTGATCCGGCTCACGTATCGCAACCGGCTCTACTTCAAGCATTCACTGCGGACTGAAACAGACAAGGAGCGGTTACTGCTCTGCTATCAAGTTAATCAGCAAGGTATAATAAATGAATGTTATTTTTATATTTTATTTTTGGTAACTCGATCAGAGACGTAAGCGAAGCGAAGAGTGTTAGGACTCAAGCATTTATCTCTCCCCTAAGGTGAATACCACAATAGTCCAGCTGTCGACAAAGATCGATCTAGCATTCTGGAGATATGAATATCATTGTTGATATAGCAACAGACTTATGCAAGATGGAAGTAGCCAGCCAGACGGCCTCAAAACAAGTTCTTCTACAAACTTAACCAAGTAAAAAACTACTTTTTTGTGTCTCAGTTCTCTGTTGGTCTAGTTGGTTCTTTTTTAGTGAGTCAGTTGGAAGAGCAATCGCCCGGCAAGCGAAAGGTCGTGAGTTCAATTCTCGCCTTAGGCAGTTTGATTTTTTCAAGTTGTTTATTTAAAATGTGCTTTTATAGACTCAAAATTGAATTAATCTTTTTTTTTTTTAATAAAGCGTTAGAACTTAGAATGTCGCTACCTGTAATGAATGCAGTAATATTGATGCCATTATTACTAACTAGCGGCCGCCGGCGATGTACCTACGTGTGGATCCCGTTTTACCCCTTAGGGGTTAAATTTAGCAAAATCCCGTCTTAGCAAGCACCTACGTTCTAAAAGAAAGCCCCTTGCAAAATTTGAGACTTCTAGCACTTGTAATTTCTGATACTTCGTGATGAGTGAGTCACCTTTCGCTCTTATGGTGGTTTGTGGTCCGCTTTAGTCTGGTCCGTGAGCGTACGTAGAATTATGTTGCTATCTTGCTCGCACACTCACTGCGGGTGCCAGTCGCACAGTCGCGACAGCAATATAATTACGCGCGAGCGATAAGGATGGGTAGCTAGGGGGTCATTGGACAAAATTCTACGTGCTCACGGACCGGGCTTTAATCATTTTTATTTTCCGCAGTGGTGGCGGGTCGCTTCCCGGTCACGCGGGAGCTAGCAGCAGAATTGGGCGCGTTAATGGCTCAACTAGACATGGGGGACTACGCGGCCGCCAGCTCGCAACACAACCAGCCACTCGCGCACCGCTTCTACCCCTACCGCTACCGGGCCGGCCTGAGCAACGACGAGCTGAGGTTTTTTTTTATTTTTTATGTGATAATAATAATAATATAATAATAAAGTTTATTTATTTCTCTTTCACAATATAGTCACTATAAAATACTGTTGTGAATACATCAAAATGCTTAATAACTATATTGTGAGAGACTGGTGTCCGTACTAGGTAAGACCTGTGTTACAGATTACCAGGCTCCCACCACCTCACCGCTAGTAGATAAAGAATAAATTAAGGAAGATTCAGACATATTATGTAAATCCAATTTTAGAGAAATTAGAAGAATCTAATAATTGAGCCTCTAGGTACTGCATGTCAGGTGCATTGTGTGTGTGTGTGTGTGTGTGTGTGTGTTTGTGTGTGTGTGTGTGATAGGAGGCAAACGGGCAGACGGATCACCTGATGGTAAGCAATTGCCGTCGCCCATGTACACCCGCAACATCAGTGAAGTCATAAGTGCGCTGCCAACCTTTTAAATCCCATTCCCCCCCAATTGGGCCTCCGGTATCCTCACTCGCACCGCTGCCAATCGATCAACATGGAAAGCATTGGGGGAGGCCTATGTTCAGCAGTGGACGTCCTATGGCTGAAATGATGATGATGATGATGATCCTCACTCACTCGGCGAAACACAGCGCAAGCGCTGCTTCACGCCGGTTTTTTGTGAGGCCGTGGTATCACTCCGGTCGAGCCGGCCCATTCATGCCGAAGCGTGGCTCTCCCACGGATGCATAGGTGGTACGGTGTCGTGACGTCACGCGCGAGCGACATGGGCACTACGCGGCCGCTTCTACCCCTACCGCTACCGGGCCGGCCTGAGCAACGACGAGCTGAGGCACGGTGNCAGACAGACAGACAGACAGAGTTACTTTCGCATTTATAATATTAGTTGGGATTATGAATAACGTTTTTTATCAGAGGTTTATAAGAGTGTTTTAAGCCTATCAAACGTTTTAGCTAATGTAGGTTTTAAACCTATATTAGCATTTTATTATGAATAAGACCGCAAAAAGTTACAAAAAGCCGTATTTAAGGCCTTTCAAAACTAATTTCTTTTTCTGGGCTATTCACTCTAATGACGAATACATATTATAGTAAATATCTGTTAATGTCGAAATATTGCCAAATAAATGCGATTTTTTTTTTCACTGATGGTCTGATGACATGATGCAACTAATTAAATTTTCGCTATTCAATCACACACTCACGATTGCAACCGAAATTGAATTGATCTGCCCCCTAGATAAGTGGCAAAATCGCCCGAATTGATCTGCCCCCTAGACAAGTGGCAAAATCTGACATTCTATTCGGACGGATTCGATTTTCGAAAAGTGTGACTGTGACTGACTGTGTGTGTAGTCTAGTCTACTAATAGACCCATTGATCGCGTTGGAAGCACCTGCGCGGCGCTATACTCGTCACAACATTCAACGAGACAATGGTCCAACTATCCGGCCGCCGGATATCCGGCTATCCGGCCTAGCAGCTGGCCGGATATCCGGTATCCGGCCAAACAACTATCCGTTTCATCTCTACTTATTATACATACATTGCTCAGATAAACTATTGAATTCATTCAACCAATAAGACTTACCTATCTCTGTTCTTTAGACTGTAAGTACTCACTCATCATATCACTTCACAAACCGAGTCTAAGGAAGAACGCGTTTGAACCTTCAATGTTCTAAGAAGGTATCAAACCCAACCTACTAAGGTAGGGTTTGTCTTCAATTTGGCAGACAACTGCCAAGAAGTGTGTTTCATCTCAGATTCCACAAAACCTTACATAAACGGATCCTCACTCCAATGTAATCCACATTTTGTTATTGCTGAGAACACACGTCGGCTTTGTCCTACATATCTAGAGCCTTTATAAAAGCTGTTTGGTGTTAGAAATATTTTAAANACGAGCTGAGGTACGGTGTCGTGACGTCACGCGCAAGCTACATGGGCACTACTAAAGAACCAGCTACTGCCAAATTATTCAAAAAATTCAAAATTATTTATTTATCGATAAAAGTCTTAACAATGATGTTGTGAGTCTCATTCTTTTAAGTTTGTAAAACTTGTGTTAGAATGAGACTGCAAATTATGTTCCCCCAAAAAGCGTTATATTCTGCTTTTTTCATCTTGTATTACCAGCTCATAAGCTCAAAATTGGACAGCTGCTATGGAGAGGGCTATGTTCAGTATTTATTTACCGATCGAATCAGAAATGAGGAGATCCGTAAACGAACCAAAGTCTCTGACATAGCCCACGGATTAGCAAGCTGAAGTGGTAATGGGTAGGGCACATAGTACGCAAAACTGACGGCCGATGGGGCGGCAAGGTTCTGGAGTGGACGCCACTTACCAGAAAGCGCAGCGTGGGTCGTCCACCTACAAGGTGGACCGACGACCTAATAAAGGTAGCAGGAAGGCGCTGGATGCAGGCCGCCACCAACCGGCCATTGTGGAAATCATTGGGGGAGGCCTATGTTCAGCAGTGGACGTCCTATGGCTGAAATGATGAACATCAGTTCAGTTAATGAAGTCTACCAAAAAATGCCAAATAACCGGCCACAGCCAAATTATCTTTCCCCAAAGAGCGTAATATCCTGCTTTTCATCTTGCTATTACCAGCTATTTTTTTACTTCAGTATGTTGGGAAATGCCAGTGGAAGTTGTTCAAAATCAGTGAAGAAGTACATACTTGTATATTTCTCATTGTAATATTTGATGTTTCAACAGGGACGTTGAAGAGAAACTGCGGTCTAAGTGGATAGCGCTCAAAGGACGGAGTACTGCGGACTGTGTTCGAATATACCTCAACTGTACAAGAAAATGGCCTTTCTTCGGTGCTACGCTGTTCCAAGCCAGAGTAAGTGTTCTTTTAAATACGCCAATCGAATAAAACAATTGAAAGTGAATTCAGAAAGAGACAGATTATAGTGACTCGCTCTACTAAGCGAGTTACGTCATCATTGAATCGGTTCACTCACTCATTTAATGTTCAACAGTTCACTCACTAGCTAGTTCACTTTATTATGATTCGAGTAGCACACAGTCACTCGCTATCTAACCTCTACTGTGAACGGACGTCTAGAGGCAAAGTTTAGAATATACACAACGGTCATAAAGTTGTTATTATTTTCCGTTCAATTCAAAATTTAAATAAAAAAATGCGAATAATGCACACGGTAACTGCAAACTAGTCGCAGTCGCTTTAATATTTTACAGTTGGCAACCGGTTGCTATTTTTCTCTAATAACACTGCCGATCTGAGTAGGTATCTTTGTAGTTGTAGTCACGTATAAATTTCTATCCTTAAATAAAGTAACCGCACCTGTATATTGTGTAGCTGATATCGATATCGGAGCCGTTACTTACGCTATGTATATCAAGGCTTCCACAGACTAAACGCGGGGCAGTAGCAGCGCAGTTTGAATGCGGGCCCGCGCAAGTTGTAATACAAGAAACTCTTCTAAGCATGTCACATCAAATGGCAATGCCAGAGAATTTCTGAACACAGACATCACTGCCTTAAGCACGCCAACTACTCCACAACACAGTAGCTCGTTACACCGTACCACAGTGTTTTTTTTGACCCGAAAAAGTGACATTCTGTTTTTATCACTAGTATCCAAAGTTTAACTTATTATTAATGTTAGACTAAAACACCCAGGTGACAAATAGCTATAGATTATTTTTAAAAAAATATTTTAGAAAATTTATTTTGTACTGGGTCAAACTACAATTTTATTATTATTTAAAGAAACGTACACACTAAGCTTCTCTTTGCATTGCTGGTAGGTAGGTTGGTGTATGGCGAATATTATTGCACCTATAATTATTTAAAAGTAGTTATAGGAACGACAGTATGATTATTTTTTAAATTTAAGAAATTATTATTTTTCTCTTTTTCTACGCCGAAGTAGAATCTCTGCTTAGGTCAGATACATTTCTTAAAATAAGCTCTATGACCTATAATTTTTCTATATTCTAACTCGGCCGCAATTTCGAGAAAAAGTATTTTTTCCAAAATGTTAGGATTGTCACAAAAAATGACCTTACGTAGTTCCACTTTCTTTAGGGTTCCGTGGCCAAAGGATGCTAATCGGTCCTAATTATGTGTTTAATTTGTCTTAGGTAGGTTATCAGTTAAATTACTATCAGTGCTCAAGAATACTGTTTCTTCATCATCTTTTAAGATATATGAAGACTCTTGATCATCAGGAGTGGTATTTATATTTGCATAATATTAATTATGTCCCGCAGCATCCTTTGGCCACGGAACCCTAAAGAAAGTGGAACTACGTAAGGTCATTTTTTGTGACAATCCTAACATTTTGGAAAAAATATTTTTTCTCGAAATTGCGGCCGAGTTAGAATATAGAAAAATTATAGGTCATAGAGCTTATTTTAAGAAATGTATCTGACCTAAGCAGAGATTCTACTTCGGCACCGTACTCGCCGGCGAGTACGAGGCCCTGCTTTCCATTTCGGACGGTACAGACATGTACCGGGCCGGTTCTCCCCTATCCGTCCCCCGGACACGGCCTGAGCCGAGGTCCGAGCCTACCGTGGCGCCCTCAGGCCGCGTCCGTAGTCCCCTCGATCGGGCCCACTAGAGTGAGCCCGCCGTAGGCTGGACTTTGGTCCAACACCGCGGTGGGCAACCCTCTAGTTGGGTTCGCCACTGATCGGGCGCCTTATGCGCTCTATACGGCCCGACAAACGGCTAGAGTACCTTCTGTACTCGCCACTCTGCCCGGTGAAGCTGGAAAAGCTCCTCAAGCTACCAGCGCGCGTCCCTTCAAAAAAAAAAAAAAAGGCAATGCCAGATTTTGTATGGAAGGTGGCGTCTTTTTTATTCGCGCGGCCATCGACCAAACCTTGTTTTTTGATTACAAAATAGTGTAATAAACCAAACTTACTATGACATGTATATTACTAAACTCAGTCTGAATTGAGTTACGAGCATTAGAAGTTTGATGATTTTCATACTAAATTTCCTTTTTGCGCGCATGTTTTTTAAAAAGTTGCAACAAAATATTGCGCTATATTTTTATTGCCCTGATTCTGCTCCACACTGATGTCTGGAGCCTTTAATGGATGGTATTGTTTGTTTACACATACAATGTCACTATTTTGTTGCATCAAACTTCTAATGCTCGTAACTCAGTTCAGACTGAGTTTAGAGGTATACATGTCATAGTAAGTTTGGTTTATTACACTATTTTGTAATCAAAAAACAAGGTTTGATCGATGGCCGCGCGAAAAAAAAGACACCAATTTCCGGCATTGTCTTTTGAACGCGGGCCCGCGCTCCAACCGCGCCGTACTGCAACTGTCGAACGACAAACGAGACGGCGCGGATGCGGGACAGAAGCGGCGCGAGCGCGGGCCCACGCTGTTGTATTACTATGGCGGCCATATTAGCATGACACACCGGACGCAGGGCGGTAGCAGCGCGTTGAAAGCGGTTTTCGAATATTTAAATTTTTGACAACCGCCCGCGTTGCAACTGCTTTGAAACTGCGCTGCTTTCAGTGTGCCTCAGCCGCGCTGCAACTGACTCGCACTGCTTCTGACCCGCGTTTGGTCTGTGGAAGCCTTTAATTACTTAATACGAGTAAATCACCTTTTATGTCTTAACCAATCCGCCCTATATTTGTGGTGACGTATAACTTTCTATCCACAGATAAAGCAGCCGGACTTGTCTATGGTGTGGCTGGCGGTGTCGGAGGAAGGCGTGACGGTGCTGGAGCTGGCGTCCATGGCCGTCATCGGCCGATACGCGCTCAACTCCATCGGGCTCTTCGGGGGATTACAGGTGAATGAAGCGCTTTTATCTTCCAAATAATCCAGCAGGATTTGCAAACCATCATTTCAGCCACAGGAAGTCCACTGCTGAATATAGGCCTCTCCCGATGATTTCCTGATTGGCCAGTTGGTAGTACCATATACAGGGTGTTAGGTAAATGGGTATATGAGCCGACACTAGCCCATATTAACATGGTCATATAAATGGCTTTATTTTAATATTTTAATATCTTTATTTTAATTATTTTAATTTACATACGGATTTTATAAAATTTATTTTGTATGAAAATTAAAAAAAAATGATGATATCAATTTTCCGACTTCACCATGCCATTTATATGACCATGTTAACATGGGCTAGTGTCGGCTAATATACCCATTTACCTAACACCCTGTATATAGCGCCTTAGAAGCGCTGTTGTGGTACTCTAAAGGTAGCGGAATTTCTTGCGCTGCGTCTACTTAGCACTGACCCATTTATTGTCCCGAAGCAGTGGTAGGGTCAAAGTACTGTGACGGGTTAAACGCTTTCTAAAAACCATGTGTCCAATGTGTCCATGATACGTCAGTGACAGCTCTAACGAGCTCGCGTCCATGGCCGTCATCGGCCGCTACGCTCTCAACTCCATAGGGCTTTTCGGGGGACTACAGGTGAATGAAACACTTTTATTCGATCAAACGAGTTCCAAAAAAGGCATCCATCGTTGGCGCCGAGCGATCAGCGTCACTCAGAAACGTTCCCTTCAATTACATACATTTTGATTTGTCAGCGCCGTCGATCAGCGAGCGGTCAGCGCGATTCTAAAACCAGCCTCAGTGTCGGACTACCGATTCCAGAGTCGTTAATTAGAAACCCTGTCGTCCATTGTCGTCATATAGATTGTGTGCTTAACCCTGAAGTTAGGAGAGCCTAAAATAAGCATATTTTAATTTAACGGGTTGTGAGCGCCCTTCCTTTGAGTCAATGACATGTCAGTGTGTTGATTCTGCGGGGTGCTTCAAAATATTATTTTAATATTTTGAAGCATCCGCTGCTGTCTTACAGGCACAATTAGTGTATAGATGACCTAAACTGAACTGTCCCACCAAACGCATTAGACAGAGGGGCGCCACCATCGTTCAACTGTATAGTTTCCAACATGGCAAAAATCGGAATCAGCGATCCGGTATTGACGGTGGCGCCTCGCTGTCAATGTCATGGGTAGGACAGTTCAGTATATTGGGTCTATTGGCTCTGTGCACGATTACAGCGCCAACTAGCGTCCACAACTTTGTGGGCTCTGTCACATTGACATTTAGGTCGTATATTTGTGAAAAAATATCGAAATGAAAAAATAACAAATATTTTCAACTAATAAATTGTTGTGATACCACGATTTGGGTGGAAAAAAGGTTTTGAAATAATTTTGGTCATTCAAATCAGATGAAGTAAGTCCAAAAAGTGTGTTTAAGTTTGATTGTGTCAGGGTTTGTTTACTTCATTTATAGTTGTAGTTTTACAGTAAAACAAAAAGAAAAAGCTACTTTAACGGTTTCATTATATAACAGTAAATATATTTAAATGTTCCTGTATCACTAGTAATAAATTAAATATCGTTTTCAGATTAAAATGAGTATTGTTTTGAAGACCGGGTTTATGATTTTTACAATATCAAATTCCAACCACAAACCGTATTTAAAGGAAAGTTGTTGGTATTGGCTGGACAAGTCCGAGATGTAGAAGAATTAAGAACAAAACAAGGGCAGAGTTCAATAATTCACGCTCTCATCATAAGGCAAACATCTGTGCACAACAACTACTGTGACTCATTTTTGTACTACCACGTTGTATAGTCTAGTTATTTCCAAATTGTAAACGGCTATTAAACCAGCCCTATCGAAATACAATCCACTCTTTTATTTAAGTTCCCAGTAGGACCCTTTACATGCGATTAATTAATGATATTAAAATGTATTATGTAGAATCGCTTTGCCATTGACAGATACATCTGATGACAGAGCTTACATTATTTCTACTTTTGACCACCATGAGCGCTGCGATCGATTATGTTACCCCCACCTAGTACTTCGCACCCAGCGAATTAAACTTATCATATTGTTACTCATTACTAAAATATTGATGTAAACATTCTTCCTAATTGTTCTGTAACATGCATGTTTCTTCCGCCAGGACGATCTTATGATGCTGATAGACGGGGATGACGCGGCCAGTCCGGTGCACAAGATGTTGATCAGCCTCAACAAGCCAAAAGTAAGTCATATTCGTATATCCTTTACGTAAATAAAGCTGTTTTGATCCTAAAGATCATTAATAATTTTTGATTCATACTGTCAGTCAATTAACAAATAGCAATTATTTTACTCGTTTTGTTAAAGAAGCAAAAAAGAAACTGGGGCAATGATAAAGTTATTTAAAAAAAATATTTCCAAAAAAAGTACACTTTAGTTGCATCAGTTAACAAAGTAGGTATACTAAGAGGATTTCATGTGACTTATTAGTAGTCCCCAAACTAGGTAGTCCTGTCTTTTGGGGACTTGTGCTTGGTACAAATGTGATTGATTAGTATATTATAGTAAGCAACCTCAACTATCTCTCCCAGATGGCGGAGCTTACTCACCTAATAGCGGACTACAAGAACGCGGCCCTACGCGCGGCGCCCGGCACTCCTCAAATGAATTCTCTAACGCGCCACGCCTCCCACCGCTGCCTTCGGAAACCCTCCACATTACCCCATTCCTCCCCTTCTACCCTTCCCCACCATGCCCACACCCACCCCCACGCCCACCACACCACCGGTCATAACACCTTAAACTCCCATGCCACCACCATGACGCTGGGATCAGACCGCAACGCTACCCTAACCCTCAGCTCACACACTTCCACCTTCAACCAACACGTTGACGCAAGAGTCGTTTCTCACGGACAACCAGATATCCTAAAATCGACCCCCGACCACCACAGACCAGACAAGAAACGCAGCCACACCCAAGACAGCGGCGTCGCGTGAAAATAAACCGTATCCGTAGGTGAGTAGAGACGATAGTGTGATACCTCGTTTGTAGCGTCTGAAGCTCTTATGTTTTGTTACGGGAAAAAATACTCAATCGACCGTTTTTAGAACCGACTTTGCCTTACATTTTTTGCTGTACCTTTTTAGTGACACTTTCGTTTGTTCGGTTGCGTCTTTTTTCTCAACTTCGACATGTATGGATGACGTAACGCCAATTTTATAGTAGCTACGTACGCATATGTGCAGGGTATGTTTAACGCTATGTAGGTTCGATCGTAGAAGTCCACTCAACCAAATAATAGACGATTTTAAAGTATAATTTATCCAAATACATACAATATAGTGTAAAATAGGTACACACGTTTTATAAACTATTTATTTTTAATGATCTTTAATATTATTATTGTAGTGATTTACATCAGAAACCAAATTAATTCAGATCTGATAGTGTGAATCTCCTTTTTAGTAGCCTTTACAACTATTTAAGTTTATTTATAAAAAGTTATGTTTACATTAAATTCTTAATACTCTTGTATACTCCATCCAAATACCTACCTATCATCACAAATGACATCAAAATGAAGTTACTGTTTAGTTTGACTGTGTACTCATCTCAAGTAACATAGGAAATTATACACTATTATAAGTATATTATATTACATTTCGCTAGTGTGTACTGGGGCTAGCGGGGACGATCTCGGACTGATACTAAATAAGTCCTCAACGAATAATAATATCTTCGGTGTCGATAATATAGGTTGCTATTGCTCACTCGTAATAATAGTACTACACGTTAATTTAAATAATTTCATAATAAACACTCATCAATCTGACATAAGTAATAACATTTGATTGGTATTTAATTTCGTAATTGAAACGGCCTTTTAGTAATTTTTGTTTTTAATAATAGACTAAATCAATAAAAAAATTACCACTGTGGATTTATACTCGTTAGCGGAAACTTCTAAAAATGCGTTATCATCATAAATAATATCTAGAATACATTTAATCAAATATATTTTATTATTTTACGGGCATTTTATATAGTATACACAGCGGATATTTTGTATATTTTTGCCTTTCCTTTTTTGGGTTCCGCCACTGTATTAGAAAAATATACTCAAGACTAGGTATTTTCAATTTTGTATTCTACTTAGTTGTATTATTGAGATGTCTAGTCCACAGTGCGGGACCCGAGCTAAATCGGTGTATAATTTTGTACTAGACTAGCTTTGATAACTGTCAATTTTATACAAAGACGTTACCATCTTACTATTTTGTGATTATTTGATCACTTCTTTATAATAAAGAAGGCAGCATTATTCAAATCAATATTTTCAATTTGACATTCCAATTAATTGCAGTTAGTGTTATTTTATCAGTTAGATTGAGTTTTAAAACCTTCTTTATTATCAAGGAGCAGCCATTACGGGCTAAGTAAAGAGCTACAGAAGAAACTGCAACTGAGTAGAGTAGATGTATTACTCGTAGGTTTAAATAGTCCATAGGAGCTAATCCTTCAGTAATATTGTGTAATATTTTGACCAATTCGCTTCAATGGCCAATCTAGCCGTGCAAGCTGTTTGGGACGCGCAATTATAAACTCTGACACATCGTAGTTTTAAAATCTTTCAATGAACTGTAAGTTCTGTAACTGTATTGAAAAGGTAAAATTTAGTTGACAATGTTTATCAAAGTGAATAAATAGTTAGGAATAATTTAAATTAGTTTGTAATTGCATGTCCAAACAGCGCACAGTCCGCTACCTAGTTAATAATAATATTGTGTATAATAATGACATTTTGGATTGCACTTTTTGCATTACACAACTGTTGATATAATTATGTATAGACTATTATAATGTATATTTTACATTTAAATCGACGAATTTTCTTATTTAAACGTTTAAGTGAATTTAATTTGTATAGAATCGGTAATAATTTAATTAATAAGTATTTATTTTTTCAATGGTTTATTGTTTTTGATCGGTTGTCTGTTTATAAAATTAACACTCGGTGTCGATTTTTCGGTATTTTTAATTTTTGATAATTCAGGCCTAATTCAAGACGGATAATACGCGATGGGCCTAATTATTTTTAACTGTTCTGTAATTTTGATGATTTACTAAATTATTTGTTTGAAGATGCGAGAATAAACATGTATTACTGAACTATGACGTATTTTATTCTAAGGATAGAACGAATTACATATTGAAATAAAATAAAATCAGAAATACAAATCAGTAGTAAATCAATACAAATACCTACTTATCAGTAGAAAATGTATTTCATAAAATGACACGTTTGTAAATTGGTTTCTCAACACAATGGGCCGTAGAAATTAATTCTAATGACGATAAAAAAAAGATGAAATGCGACTCTTAACGCAAAAATTTAAATAACTATGATAAAAAAAAACTTATAAAATTACACCTAGGTACCTATATCAAATATTATTTTAAGATATCATGGTGTTGAGGTTGATGTGCTTTCCTTATTTTGAAGAAGAAACTTGCAAACAATTTAAGTCATCCGTAGCAAAGTGTAATAAAATTGAGAGATTAAATCAATTTCAGAAGATTCCGGAAGATTTGATCATCTTCAATTATTAATTACTTCATGCAAAGACCATCTCCTCCAACTTCACATCCAAAGCTTTTACTATGGACTCTGTGTCGTTTGGTATTGCTGAAACAAAAAAAAAATGTTTAATGAATGAAACAATATAGGTACCTATCCTACAATTTTATGCAGTTTTGCAATTTACAAAACGGTCTTTTCAAGTCATAGTCCATAGCAGGCTTTAAAGGCGCGGTCAAATTGAGAGCTGTTAGCTAGAGGCTTTTTGGTATGTACTACAAGATATTAAAACTGCAACAATTTTTGTCACAATATGAAATAGGATTTGTCATTAGTTTTTTAGCTTAATTTGGTCGATGACTGTATAATGTAACTATGTTTGTATGATTGTTTAAGTTTTGTTAAAATCTTTTGTTAACCATGTATGATACGTAGACTTTAAAACTTTTTGTTGTGTCTTATTATCTGGTAATTTCTTCAAGATAGTAGTGGTGATGATGCTTAGGCGGCCAAAGTGGCGCGTATTTAGGGAGAATTTCGTCTTATCAAGCTTTCACTAGGGACCTCTTTCAAGTCGTCACTCTAAGCTTACCGAAACTGTCCCCATCCAAAAACTCGTTTATCCCAACAGTTATTGTATTTTTTATAAATGGTTGATGAAATACTGACTTACCAATATCAACCCATTTTGAGTCGTCATATCCAGAGTCCTTCCGCGACTCGTGAATGCATTGCCTTAACGCCTGCGTCACTCCGTGCGCGGTGCAAATTCCCATTTCTCCAACCGCTGCGATAATTAAATACATATTATTAAAATGTCCATGTCTCCTGAAGATAAATGGGCAGGTTTGTAATAGCTGTCCCCATGAACCTTGTAATGCCTTATATGGTATGGTTCTTCTTCTTCTCAGTCGTTACACTCTTGATAGTGTGGTCAGAGTAAATACAAATGAGTAGGTCATCTTCATAGAAACGCACCGAGCGCGGTTTGTATGTGAGCGCGCCGCATACGTATTTAGCGTGGATTAGTAGCGGGGTGTTGCGCCGATTTTGTCAGTGTGTCGCATACGTATTGGCGCGCTCACATTCAAACCGCGCTCGGTGCGTTTCTATAAAGATGACCTACTCATTTGTATTTACTCTGGTCTGTGTTATAATAGTTGTGGGCGGATGTTGCTCGCCTTACGATGTTTCGCCATGTTTTATCATGTTGATTGCCAATAATTATAGGTTTGATTGATTATTGGAAATGTAAGGTATCACTCAAAACTCAATTTTGCGAGCGTTTAAAGCAGGGTTCGAGGATATATATCAAGGGATATATATCAAGATATATATCGGATATATATCCGATATATATCAAGCTCGTTTTGATGATATATATCAACTTTTAAAATTTATTACTGTATTTGTACTTTTTGACATAAGATTTTTAGTTGATTTTGCCGTATTTCAAAGATATTTTATGTTTTTGCTTTATTTGTCTGATTTTAAGTTGTAAAAACATTAAAAACATGTTTATGTAACACATATGCAATAGTATTCATGAATAATACAATAAAATAATACTATGGCTTTCATACAAAATTGATATATATCAAAGTTGATATATATCGGATATATATCATAAATATCCGATATTTTGATATTTATAATAAATATCGGATATTTTCGAACCCTGGTTTAAAGTTACTTGGGTAATATTGTTGAAATCGCGTGATTAGCCCACATTAACACATGAACGGATTTTATGTTAAGTAGGTGATTACAAGAAGTATGGTTACCTATGTAGATGTTACTGCGAGCAAGCCGTTTAAATATAATGTGCACGATTTTCAACTTCATAAAGACACTTTTAGAAGAAATTTATCCGTAGAGTAGCTATATTGCTTTGAATCAGAGTTTAGAATTTCAGTACTACGATTGTTATACATAGGATATTAACACTTTATCGTATTAGTGTTAGCAGAAGAGTATCTTTGGGAACATTTTGGTTTACCTTTAGAGCCCAGCACGCCCTTGGGGTTTTTAGAGTTGTACCGCAGTTTGACGTTGAACTGAGCCGGTATGTCCCGAGCTAAGGGCACGTGGTACGTCAGCGATCGGTTGGTGAGCAGCTTCCCTGTGACCTGGTTGTAGACAAACTTCTCGGTCGTGTAGTACCCAAGTCCTTGGACGTAGCCACCTTCCACCTAGGACATGAATCAAGATGTAATGCTCTTTTGATTGTACTGTCTGCCCTAATGGCTAGAATAATCTGACCAATCTCCATGTTGGAGATAAAAAACTTGTTAAGCATGTTCCTTTGATTTATTTGGTCTTTCAAAAAATCCCAACATTTTAAAAATTAGGATAAAAACTAGTTTGACCACTGCTAAGTTTGACGACTTTGAGTCAATGTTTTTGATATGAAGCACACGCAAACTTAAAATTATCAAAATTAGCCATAGTTATCTAAATATTGAAATCTTACCTGACCAACATCTATGTTCGGATTGGCACTCAACCCGACGTCTTCTAAAATATCCACTCTCAGTAACTCGTACCTTCCCGACAAAACGTCCAATTGCACCTCCAGAATGGCCACTGCATACGCATTATACCCAGACAGATCTGATTCCTTATCTGTCATCATGTATATCGCCGTCAAATCCACTTCTTCGTCGCTAGCTTTTGTGATCAACTCCTGCCATGTAGGATTCGTCATTGTGCTCTTTACAGGCTCCAATCGATCTTTCAGCATTGCACAAGCTTTGATCACAGCGTAACAAGTAGACTCACTCGTGATGCTGGAGCCTGAGAAGACGTTATTAGCGGCAACAAAAGAGTAGTGGGGTAAAACTGAAATGTGGTCCAAAGGGATTCCAAGCTCGTAAGCGCAGACTTGGGCAACTTTGGTGTTCACACCCTGTCCCATCTCAATACCTCCAGTAGTGACCGTCACGGTGCCATCTCCTCTGTAAATGCTGACCATGGCACTGTAGTTGCCATAGAATATCACGGGGAAACTCATGACAGCAATGGAAATTGCCTTCTTCATCCATCTGTTAGCGTTGTTGAACTCCTGAACCTCTTGTGATCTCTTTTCGTAGTTTGTCTCCTTTTTGTAGTCTGCTATGAGGGTTGGTAGGTCATTGTCGTCTTTTCTCATGTTGAGTAGGCGCACCTCCGTTGGATCTTTCTTTACTTCGAATGCTATACGTTCCATAATATGTTCGATGCATGAAATGCCCTCCGCAGTTCCTAAAAGTATCAAAAATGCTTAGTATAGTCATATAAGGTGATAGCAGTGCAGTCTTAAAATGAACATGTGTTGTTTTCCAAAGAAACTGTATCTGAACCTTATATGTAATTTCTCAAATACCTGGTGCTCTCGCAAATGTGTTGGAAGGTAGATCGGTGAGGACAGCAGCAGTAGTGACATTGTAGGTGCTGACATCGTAGCAGTTCGGAAACCCGCCGACAGTATAGGCGAGGATGTTCTCGTTGTGCGAACAGCCGTCGTCTTCAATAATCTTCGCATTCAAGTATTGAATCTTGCCTTCTTTGTCTACCCCCACCTACGTAACAATAGATAACTTGATGAGGGCTGTTCTAATTCAGTTGAGTCCTCGCAGACTATTGACAATTCTGGCTAACCAACACAGAAATATTTAAAGAAGTTATTGTAATTAGATTTTGTCCAAACTAGTAATATGGTAAGAGCAGGAATAAGCCGAATTTCTATATGCCGGATTTCGTATGGGAATTAGAATTTTGAATTTAGATTTGAATGCTTCAACAATACGTCTCCGGACCTTAAGCGCTGACGACAGCCAAATGAAATTATAGCAAGATATTTGACATACCTCGTAATCACATTGACATGGCAGTCTTCTTCCAGCGATGGTGAGGTTAGTTTGCAGGGGTAGCACGAAGCGACATGGGAGGTTCATCTTCTTGGCAACGAGGGCGCAGGCAGTCGACGCTTGGACGTTGCGACTGATCTTACCTCCGAAACCACCACCGATTCGGCGGACATACACAACGACACTAGAAGTTAAAAAAAATTGTGTGATTCACATGATGGTGAACATTCTCACCAAAATGATGCAGCAAGAAAATACATACTCGCTTTCTTTTATAGCCAAGCATTCGGCGATAGCAGCTTGAGTGAGATCCATCCATTGCGTAGCATCATACACTTCTAGCCCCCTGTCCACCGGCACCACCACACTTGTTATAGGTTCCATATAATAATGGTACTGAGCCTCGATTTCATACACACCCTTTATTACTTTATCAACATTTTCCCCTTTCGCTGTGGGCGTGATATTATCTGGATATGCTCTGTATCTATTACTATCTTTTTTTGCTTGATCTATTGTTAATACAGGTCGATCTTTGCTAACGTTCTTGTATTTCACTTCAACTTTTTTGGCAGCACTAGCTGCCAACTCTTCGCTGGTAGCCACGAGTATTGCTATAGGTTGACCGTAATATTTGATATCGGTTGCTAGAATTTCTTCCACTTCAGTCTGTAGTTGGAATCCGGGGCGGGAGAAAGAATTTTTGCCGGGTATGTCGTCCGGTGTTAATATAGCTAGGACTCCTGGAATTTCCTGTAAAATAAGTGTTTTAATTTATTGGATTTTACCTCACACACAATACCCCTTTGTTTCACCTTAGCCCCGTGATACTTGTGACTAAACTCACCAAAATCTTCTTCACATTAATTGTATCAACGTTTCCTCTATGCACAGTCGACTGCACGAACGCTCCGAACACTTGTTTAGGGAATTGTGGTACATCGTTGGCAAATTGGGCTTCTCCAGCACTTTGTATCATAGCCTCTAGTTTGGGCACTGGTTTATTCAAAGGGTACAATGAGGTGTCGGTAGTGAAGTCTTGAGTTCCATTCGAGACCGGCCGAGCAATGAGTAGACCGCCTGAAGAGTTGCGATCAGAGATCTGGTTCGAAGGAGCGATGCTCAAAACGAACTGCAAATAGAACAAGACTATATCGTCATCAGGTCAATGCTACCGCAACTTTTCCAGTTGTAGCGAATCGAAACATATTGGCAATTAAATGTTAGATCGCATAGAGCTACAAATGCTTTTCTGAAAACCGTATCAGTAACATTCACCAACCGCGAGATAATCGCGGACAAGCACAGGTCAAACTGAGAACGTCCTTCTTAAAAGTCGGTTAAATGAGTCAAAAACAGTTTGTTTTTTCAGTAATCAATTAAAAACAAGTGGTTAACGATTTACGTTAAACAAATTAACTTATCACTTAATTTCGTTGAAACTTACCTACCTTCTTTTTAATTACGTCATTTATTTACCAGAGTAGACAGTTAGGTACGTTAGATCATGGAAAACTTTACCAACCTTATAAAAGAGACCTATTGCCAGTTTTTTTCTGCACTCCTTTGAAGGGTTTGGAGGATTGTCCACAGGATTAACTTCTTTATTTAGCAATTGGATTGCCTTTTGTAAGACTTCATTGTTGAACACATTCTTCCCAATGAGGTATTTCTCAGTTTGTGTGGCATGCACGAAGCTAGCTGATATGTTACCATAAACGATTCTCGCATCACTGATTATGTTCGTGCTGGGATTCTTTACTAAGAGGAAACCAGCGTTTACAATAGCGAGAGCGTTTTGGTTGCGGGGCATAATCTGAAATTTTAGGGTCCTTAATAATTATGCATCTACTTGTTACATTTTTTGGAATCATTCAGATATTCGGTTATTAATACTTCATAGTTGATTAACAGCAAATTACCCTTGAGTGTTAAGTTCTTCTAGTCCTGTAGGTGCTTAATATTGTAGTGTGTTAGCTAACAACTTAACAAGTAATTACAAGTGTGATTAATATTACCTTGTAACTTTTAAACATGTGCGAAGAACTAAAAGGTGGCAACAAAAAATTGACGATGAGCTTCTTTTTCATGTCGTATTTGAGGAAATCTGTCATGCTCAGTGCCTTAGTTCTAAGTCTTGAGGTACCTACAAACATGGAGAACGATGTGAACACCTAATCATAATCTACAGTAGTGATACAAACAAGTAAGGCTGAGTTACATCACCTCATTTTAATCGTGACTAACAATATCTAACCGGAGTTTTTGTATGGAGTTTGTGGTTTGACAGACTTTTGACGTTTGTTAAAGTAAGATGGTGCAACCCAGCCTAAATGTTTTGCTGTTTTTACTTACGAACTGTGACATAAGCTCCAACGGTCTCTAAAAGCAGAAATATATCAGATTGATAATCTGGCATGGCATGCTTCAGCATCACATTTCCAGCAAGCGAAGCGATCTAAAAAAGAAAGAAACAGGTATGAAAGATTTACCCAAAACCTGCACGATTAGTAAGTACCTATTACATTTAGATACTTTACCTTTCTTACAGGAATATGGGCCACCAATTCTAAATGCTTTGCCATTGTCTCCAAATAAGAAAAATCTGCATTCGATTTGGCTATATCTTCAAAGATGGTGATGCAATCTTCTATGGATATATTACCACCTAACACCAGATTTTGGTCGAAACTGTACTTCTTCAGCGATTTCACTTCACTTATATCTATTAGTACGCGGGGATATTCGAAGGTTTCATACACTCCTAAAAACAAAGCAAAAAAATTATGTGAGTCATAACTCCAAAATTCCTGAAATTCGTATTTTTAAAGAAAGAAAGAAAGAAAGATACATTTATTACAGTGGACATCACACAAATACAGGCAATTACATAGACATGACAGTGGCACATAATAATAAAAGAAGAAAAAATAAAAACAAGAGTAAACTGAGCAGTGCCACCCATTCACCATAAAGAAGCTCTACCTTTTCCTGTATTTCCATCAATGAGCATGTAAGAATCATCTCCATTGTTATTCAAAATTCGAAAGATTTCCTCTTCTTTGTAGACCTTGAAGAATTGATGGGATTCTGTGTCCAGAGATATTGTGTCTTCATTCGTTTCTTTGGGCTCATCTAGGACAACACTCCAATCACTGTCTATGCTCCTGACAGAGCATTTTCTGTTACAGGGTTCTTTGGTTTTCTTGCAAATGGTAAGTTCTTCAATGTCGAGGGCTTTCTGGCAGAGTTCTGGACTAGCGTCCACGGCAAAGGACTTGACTGTATCCATGATGGGCCGAAAGCCGGTACATCTACAAGTGTTGCTGCCAAATGACTTTTCCATCTGTTCCATTGTGAGGCCTTTATCTTGCAAGCTAAAACAATTGGTAATAGAATTGGTAGGGTTAAAATTCTACGTAACATAAGGTAATTTTACTTTTAAAACTTAATTGCAAACATGGAATTTGACATTCAATTCGTCTTTCATCTGGTTCACCTCATTAATTTTCCAAGTAATTATTAGCATTTTAAATTAGTGTAGCAAACTAGTTACCTACACTTGATAATTTCGTATTTTTTAATTTGTTTTTGTAAATTTTCCCAGTTTTCTAAAGTAAAATGTTTTGTTGTGTGCTTTGAATAATTAGAATACCTGGATAATAACTTACTTAAAATTATCTACTATTTTACCTACTTCACTTCAGTGGATTTAAAAAACGTTAGGTTTTTTATTGTAAGAACGTGAGTTCACCATGTTGATCCTCGTGACTCAGTGATACTTATTTATTAGGACAAATTAATAGATATAAACTGTCGCATCTAACGCCCGTACCTATTCACAAACATTACTATGAGGTCTCACACTCTCACAGTGCGCGTGGACGCACAGGGTGACACACGAACCAATCATAGAGCTCTATTCAACGCTGTGCGTTCGATTTGCTGCTACACTTAACCAATAATTGTTTGTGAATACGGGCGTTAGTTTCTTTGTAACATCATCGTGTTTACCACAATTTGAATATCTTTAGTGTGAAAAGTAGAGTACGGCATGTTCTACATTTATCATTTTCTAGAATACTAGAACTTCTAAACCATTAGCCATTCTAAACACCAGGTTATGCAAATTAAGCGGTTCATTCTTATGGAAATGTAGTGCTACAAACAAACTCTTGAAGCTAGGTAAATTCAAATGTCGAGAAAACGATACTATAATTAGATTGGAATATTTGAATTATAATGAGACAGAATTCACCTGATTAAAATTGTAAACTGAAAAAGTATGGCTGACAAAGGTGACTCTTCCACCATAATTCCGCATTGCTCTAAACCATTTCTGAACTTATAGAGAAAAATAAGTTCTTGTTATGTGTATAAATGTGCATACTGCATACCTACTCGTATACTCGTAATGTTGTCATAGACATTGATATTGTATTGACACAGATATTCAATGTTTTAACAGTTGCAGTGTAATATTATGTAGGTTAACACTATAGCTGGTTGTTATTTTATAAGTAGGTAGGTACAGCTTACTTTATTATTGACTGCACATTACCTGTACAAGTACGTCGCCCTTCAAGGAGTGCAATACCCGCACTGGGTGGCGATGAACCCCGCGATCCTTTTCTATGTCGCTGTAACCTCGCGCGCGGTTGCCGAGGGCTTCAATCGTGCTGATGTCTATGATTAGTACAGCTTTATTATTGTCGGCATATTACCTGTACAAGTGCATCGCCAAGCCAGGAGTGCAGTACCCGCACTGCGTGGCATTGAATTCTGCGATCCCCTTCTGGACCCAAGGATCGCAGGGTTTAACGGGGTTCCAGAAGAGTCTGGATGTTTCTGTACCCACGTGTGCAATCGCCAAAGGCTTCGGTCGTAATGTCTTTAATTAGTATAGCTTGTTTCATTCGTTTCAGCCGAAATACGTCTACTGCTGGACATAGGCCTCCCCCAAGGTTTTCCACAAAGATCGGTCCTGCGCCTTCCGCATCCAGGCACCTCCTGCGACCTTCACCAGATCGTCGGTTCACCTAGTGGGAAGCCTGCCTACACTACGTCTTCCGTCTTCGTCTACAGTTTATCATTGTCGGAATATAATACCTGTACAAGTGCATCGCCCAGCCAGGAGTGCAGTATCCGCACTGGGTGGCGTTGAACCCCGCGATTCTCTTCTGTATATCGCCGTAACCTCGCAAGCGGTCGCCAAGGACTTCTATCGTGCTGATGTCCCAGCCGTGACAGGAGTACACCAGCACCAGGCACTGGGGAAATGAGAAGTCTAATTAAATATTTGAAATTTCGAGCTATTTTGGCAAACAGGTCCAAATTCTAAAAACAATTTTTTCCCGTTTTAAGAACCGAGTTAGTAGACAAGATCGAAGGTAATCTACTGCAGTGACACGACTGCCAAATGGAGAATGGATGCACTTCCCACCCTGGACAGGTGGGTTGTGTTTGGGGCAGCCCGATGCTCCTAAAGTTGGCATTAGCCACTTTTTATAACATCCATAGTACCTTCAAGGACAAATTTGACCTTCACTGGTTGGGTTTTTGCTACACAGTAGTTGCAGTGGTGGGAAAGAGAGGTGGGAATAGTCCCGTATAGTAGCGGTGGTCTACTCTGCTGGAACCACACAGCTAACCATTGTAGAATAGAATAGGACTACGACTCTTCCCGTGGATGTCGTAACTCATGTTCCTGCAATGGAGACTAAATGACCAAATAATGGTGGAATTGGATTAACCACTTACAAATGACGTCCACTGCTGGACACAGGCCTCCCCCAAGGATTTCCATAACGACCGGTCCTGCGTTGAATCCAGGCTCTTCCCGCGACCTTCACCACCGTCGGTCCACCAACGAACGGTAACGAAACCACTTACAGAATTGACAGAGAACAGCTCGACCCTCCCGCTAGGCTGGCGGCGCGCGCGCACAGCGACGACGCACGCGCCGCAACCGCCCTCGCGGCACATGGCTTTCGTGCCCGGCAGCGCCAGCGCATAGCGAAGGTACGCGCTCAGCGTCGTCAGGCATGGCACTCGCTCGTCCACTGAAAATGCAACATTTGAAAGATTCATTATGTGGATAATCTTTTCAAAATCAAAATCAAAAGTATCTTTATTTGTTTAGACTAATTAAATTAGTACTTGCAAATCGTCAAATGCTCTTAAGGAGCCTATACATTAGGGTGGAGCGAAATTTTTTTTTTGACATTTGTGTTTGTGAATACCTCTTAAAAGTTGCATCTTGTTGCAACGGTCACGAGAAAAATAATTAAAAAAATATTGCGACCATTTTTTAGCCCTCTACTGGCTTTTGAATATTTCATAAAAATGAAAAAATAGGGCTTTATTGCAAAAATCATAAATTACCTTAGAATAGTTTTTATTTGATAAATAATATATTTTTGTAACTTTAAATATAATATACATCGTAAAAAATAATAGTATATCATTATAAGCTTGTCATAAACTTAAAACAATACATTATCAAAAGCGCCGATTATAAGCAAAACTCACAGTCAGCGCGTAACTTTGCAACTTGAACTGTTGACATCAGAATTAGTCCAGTTACCTATTGTCTTCTTTCTACCTTTGTCTTATGTCTTTATCTTTAGTTAACTGATATTAATCAAGTAGATAGTTTGTAATTGCGTTGTCTAATTTTATTGTTCCAAAGTGAAATTAATCAGTGTTACCACTGACACCTGTTTTTTTAAATTAGATAGAGTGATTCAAGAGGAAGGTTTTAAGTATAATGCAAAATTGTACCTATGCGAAGAAGGGGTGGGTCGCTAATCGGAAATAAAATAAAAAAAGGTAAACAGCCCGTTGTATTTCTCAAACTTTAGTCGAAACTAAGAGGAAAACTTCTTAGCCTGTTGTTATGATACAACGAATAAAACTTGTCAGTGTTGTTCTAATTAGTAGGTATTCACATTTACCAAAATAATCAGATAACTTCAACGCTAAACTACAGCAATGAAAAAATGCATACAAGAACTATTAGATAGTTTTCTTATATTTTTTATAATTTGAGCACTTGTAATTGTCCAAAAGATGAGACGTAACATTATTAGAAAGGGCATTTTCACTAGATCAGAAACGTTATAGAAAAATAGCAACAGGAGCTTTAGATCAGATCAAGCAAAGCAAGACTTAAATTGATTACATTATTAAAGTCTTTGGAATCAAGTGTTAAGAAAATTATTGAACGAGCTATTCAAAGAGTCACGTTTTTTGCACACTCTAAGCATCTTTTGTTAGCTTTGATGTACTATCTAAAACAATTATGTATATCAGAGAGCTTGAGACAAATAATGGCAGCTAGAAAAGACAACAAAGTACCTGGAGTATTAGAGCATTCAAAAAAATCCAAAGTTAACCTTTTATTTGATATGAATTAATTTTAAAAATATAGTGATTTTTTCTAAAGCAAAAGATGGATTTGGAAACAATTGAACGAGCAATATAATGACATCTATCAATACCTACCAATAGAATTGCAGTTCTAAATAAAAATATAAAAAATCTCAATTTTGTGATTTTTCCTTATATTTTTTTTAATTATTTCTAGTAGTGAATTTTCGAATAAATCTTTTTTATTCATAAAATTTAATTTTTATTTACAAAACACCTTTAAATTAATTATATTTTCATTGTTCTGTTGAATAATACACAGATTTTAGAAAATTGCCATACAATAAAAAATAATTTTATTAAAACGACGGTAGAGGGCTAAAAAATACATTTTAAAAATAAAATAAAAATATCCTTGTTATTATCTTGCTCTCGTGCAACTTTTAGCAGGTATTCAAGTTCGTTTACGAAACTTTTTTTTTTAACCATACAATGACGCTCCACCCTACTATACATGTCTCATTCTTTTTTTGCCCTACCAGCGCTTCGAGACAAACATTTGGCAAGTGAGAAGAAGCGCCGCAACAAACTCAGTCACCACTGTCTGCCGGTTTGATGACAAGAGCATAACTACTTAGTAGCAAATGCGTCCTGCCAGGGATTATTCCACTTTGTTCACCTGAGTGAAAAAAGTGGAATTTTTAGTGTCCAAATTTCACCTCGGAACCATTTCACATAGTTTCTATTTCCAGGTGAATGGAGGCGACTAAAGTGGTCGCCCCTACGGGGAAATACATTATGTGGCCCTCTGTAGGACTCTTATACAAAGGCCCTACGGGGAAAAACATTATGTGGCCCTCTGTAGGACTCTTATACAAAGGCCTTAGCGCTCCTGCACACGACGCCGCTACCGTGCCGCCGCTAGCGGCGTCGTGTGCTGGAGCGCTTACCGGGAAACACATTATGTGGCCCTCTGTAGGACTCTTATACAAAGGCCTTACAGAGAAATATTCTTATGTGGCCCTCTGTAGGACTCTTATACAAAGGCCCAACAGAGAAATATTATTATGTGGCCCTCTGTAGGGGTTTTTACATAGGCCTTTCGTTGTCGGCCCTTCACCAACACATGCGGCCAAATCTAACCGTCGTCCAATCAAAGACTAAAGACATATTTTCGGCCCAACCAAATGCCTACCAAAAATGCCAAAAAACCTAATTAATATCAATTTATTGCACCTCATGTATTTAAAAGTAAACGTTTAATAAATAAAGCTAGCCATTTATTTAGACTGTTAAACTATTACCTATACTAATAAATTATTAGTATACCTACTATGAAATAATTACTATTATTTAATACCAATTAAGAATTAGGATTATTAGAAAAATAACAGCATAATGTATTATAATGGAATAATTACCGTTATTATTTAATGCCAATACCAATTAAGAATATGATTATTAGAAAAAAACATCCACTATCCGTATCCACTATCCACGAAATCTATGAACGCACACAAGAGCTCACCACATCGTAAAATTAATCATTTCAATTTCTACAAACAGTCGACTGCACATTAAACTAACCATTTTTGTTGCAAAATCACCCCTGCTACAACCACATAAAATGCCACAGTATAAGCTTGATATGCCCCCGTAATAACCGCGCATTACACGTGATTCGCTTCAACTCAAGGGCTACAAAATTACACAGTCCGTACGAAATAGCAGCAATCATATTGTCATAAGTCTTACAACGTTAATGACTTAGGCTGAGTTACACCACCAAACTTTAACGGTAACTATGACGATAACCGGTGCTTTTTGTATGGAGTTTGACAGATTTTTGACGTTTGTTAAAGCTAAATTAAGATGGTGTAACCCAGCCTTAGTATTTACAGTAGATAGCACGTAAACGTACCACAAAATACGAATTTTTCCAGTAGATTGTTTACTGACAAACCTAAGCCTTAAGGCTAAGATAACGATGCAAAACAACGACGACGCAGATGCGGATTAATTTGCTTATTCTATAGGTAGGTAGGTACTACCTTTAAACCAATTAGAGCGGTTTTTACTTAACTTTACGAAAAAAAATAAACAATAAGTTGTTTTTTTTATTTCACAGTGTGATTCATGAGCATAGAGTCCATGGCAAACGCAAAACGTAGTTAGGTACGTTCACCACTGTTATTTAGGTACTATAATTTGAAATAATATTATGTAGCGCTAACACACCTGTGTACACAAAAACATTATAAAGCACTTGTTATTGAACTAAGTAATTGTTCAAGAAAATGTGCTCCAAAAACCTGTTTAAAGTTTACTAACTTAATCTTAATATTCATTAATAGGTACCAAATACTTTTTCTACGCCGTCACTTGTTTTGAACAATCCTTAGTAAGGTACCTACGAAATAATTTTCGAATTATTTAATTTACCAATTTTTGATCGACGGGTTAATCCAGTGTCTAAGTAGCTCAGTTGGAAGAACAGTCGCTCGGCAAGCGAAAGGTCGTGGGTTCGATTCCCGCCTTAGGCAGTTCGTTTTTATAAGTTGTTTACAAAGTAATGATTCTACAGTAGATATTATAGGCTCGATGTCTATAGTATAGCTGTATAGTAAAGAAATGTCTAAAATTTTCAAAGCAAGGATACGTTTACACATTAAAATTTATTTAACTAATGTGTACTCTATTTCCGTGTCAAGGATTTCGGTCTACACGTTTTTGTGCTACTTATCTCGTAAGTTCTGTTTCCGAAACATGAAAATAAAATGTAATGTAAATAATAAATATAATAAAATGTTAAGTAACGTAGATTAATATAATAGAGTGGGTGTAGAGCATGCGCATCACATCAAGGCGCATAATTATGAAAAGTACGTTTTTCAGTATAAGCAGTGGCGGAGCAATTTCCATTCAGCCATGCCTCTGTGTTCCCGAATACAAGGCCTTCAAGCAGAGTAAATACAAATGAGTAAGTAGGTCATCTTCATAGAAACGCCCGAGCGCGGTTTGTATGGCATAAAAAACTGGGCAATCTCGCTCTATTATATTCAATTTAAGTAGATAACTAGACATAATAATGGAATCGGAATTATTTGTATTTTTAATCACTGAATCGAATAGAATAGAATAATTGTTTATTTGCATAAAACATGGTAGGTATACAGTTGAACTGAAATGTGCTTTATTAAGTACCTATATTTCTACGCCTTAAATCAATGGCAGAATATGTTGAACTATGTACCTATTTTATGATCAAACTACTGTACCATATTCTTGGAAATAAATTTTATCCTATCTTATCTTATCTATTATGGATCGCAGATCAATACTAGTGAGATTATTATCAAGAGCAAGTCTGAATTAGCGAAACCCTAGACTCTACCAACCCCTTAAATCCTTAGAAGAGGATACTTTGCTGTAGGTATTTTCCTCTTCTACCTTCAACTTAACCTTCCAGTTTTTGATAATCAAATAATAATATGGCTGTACCTATTTAATCTATACTTCTATTAATCTATTCTATCTATACTAATATTATAAATGCGAAAGTAACTCTGTCTGTCTGTCTTGCTTTCACGCCTAAACCACTGAACCGATTTTGATAAAATTTGGCCGGGAAAGGACATAGCATAGTTTTTATCCCGGTTTTTGAAACAGGGACGCGCGCGATAAAGGTTTTCTGTGACAGACAAAATTATACGCGGGCGAAAAGCTAGTGTAAAATAAGGCCTAAATGGTTTAAGTCTAAGTATGTCTAAAAATAGAAGTATTGAACAGGAAGATAATTTCATGATTACAAAAAGCCATATTTTTCATGATTCATTTCCATATGCAAGATTTTTCTAAATACTTGTTATTTTAGACTAACTCCCCGAAACTAACAAAATGCTTCCAATACCTTATTCAGTACTAAAGTTTTCACCTATACACATCTTTTAGCACTGTTAACAAATAAGTATTTTTTTAAACTTTTCTTACTTAAAAATATTAGTTCACTAAAGACTCACCGACACATTTGTTTCCGTTAACTGTGAACTCTATACAAGTCATCGCGTGCGCTTCTTTAGAAGGCGCGTGGTGAATGATGAAATGATCCAACCACCAACACCAACGACGCTCTTGAGTGCCTTTTATTATCACTATTAAAACCTGTTGTTTTGTACGTTATCTTCATTTGTTTTACCTACCTATTTACCTACTAACTTTGAAATTTGGATAAAAACAAACTTGATGTTTTCAAAGTCGTCTAGCATTTCCTTGGAACTTTACTACTACTATAATGTACCTTTGTAACTCGGAGCTCTATACCTATCTATTAACTGATGTTTTTGTGAAAATAGATGAGTAATGCAATGCGAGAAGATAGATATAATGTATATTGTTAATGTGATGCCTACTACGTGTGCCTACTAGTGTAGATTGAAGGAATAGTCGATTTCACTTGTGTATTATACTCGTATAAATCACACTAACACTGCAGACTGGAAGACGTAGCGTGGACAGGCCACCTACTAGGTGGACCGATTGTCTGTTAAAGGTCGCGGGAGGAGCCTGGATGCGGGCAGCGCGCAGGACCGTTCATTATGGAAAGCCTTGGGGGAGGCCTTTGTCCAGCAGTGGACGTCATTCGACTGAAACGAACGAACGAACGCTACTAAGTATAGATTGTAAGAACGCCTCCATGGTCATGTTTCATTCTTAAGACGGGTCGAGCGCGTGTTTTGCTCTACATAATCAACATAAAAATTCCAACATTAAAAAAATGTTCAGTGTTGACATCATTTTGTTGATTGTGTAGAGCAAAACACGCACTGAAGACCCGGCTTTATGTTGAGTTTCCATCAAAGCTGCAAAGATGTGTTACGAAGATGCGGAGCGAGGATGTGTAGACGCTGTGAAACGGGTGGATTTAATCCTCCGTAAAAATTAAATATTCGACCATTGGCTGCTTGTTTAAAAATTCAAGGTAACCAAGTAATTCAACACGGAAAATATTGGGGGAGGCCTATGTTCAGCAGTGGACGTACTATGGCTGAAATGATGACGATGATGAAGTAATTCAAAGTCAAACTTTATATATTATTATCATTAAGTTTATTGCATATAAAAACAGTAAGTTTATATTTTTATTTTGTTTAGAGTTAAGTTTGCCTAAGTTTAAAAAAATATCTTTTTATCTATAAATCTGTAGAGAGGTCAATTCTGTACATGAAATATATTTTCAAAATAACTATCAGGGGGTGATTAGTGATCGATACTGATGACAAAAATGCAATCAGTAAAATTTTTGTCTGTCTGTATGTTCCTTATAGAAACAAAAACTACTTGACGGATTTTAACGACACTTGGCACAATTATTCTTCATACTCCTGGGCAGGTTATAGTATACTTAGGAATTCCCACGGGAACGGGAATTAGCGGGAAAATCCTTTTGTATGAAAAATCTAAACCGCTTAATTTAGACGCTTGAAATTTAGCATGCAGGTACCTTGGTAAACTTAAAGCTTAGTTACAACAGGTTATTGCAAAATTCCCACGGGAACGGGAAAAAACATTTGTATGAAAAATCTAAACCGCGTAAGATAGATGAAGGGGGTAAAACGGGATCCACGCGTACGTAGTCGCGGGCGGCCTCTAAGTAGTTGTAAATAAAGTACTTAATTCAAGGACAACACAAAAAAAAAAGGTATAAAAACATGTGTGAGCTACTCCGTCAACTGTTATTTGAACAGCTGTTATCAGTTTGAATAATATTTCGCGTTTTCGCAACATTTTCTTTACTGCTTCGCCCCTATTGACTGTTGGGTGATTTTATTATAGAGTTAGGCTGAGTTGCACCACCTAATTTTGACCGTAACTTTGACGATAACCGGTGGTTTTTGTATGGAATTTGACACTTTTTTGACGTTTGTCAAAGTTAAAGTAAGATGGTGCAACAGCCTAAATAAACAATATCAGTAGTTCCTGAGATCAGCTCGTTCAAGCAAACAAATCTTCATCTTTTAAATTAGTAGGTAGATTCATTACTTGTTAAAAATTCGCATTATTAATTGAAATAACAAGTTATATCGGTTCGTTTAATTGTATTACCTATCTATACTTCTGTACTAATCTATACTAATATTAAAAATGCGAAAGTAACTCTGTCTGTCATGCTTTCACGCCTAAACCACTGAACCGATTTTGATTTAATTTAGCATAGAGATAGTTTGAGTCCCGGGAAAGGACATAGGATAGTTTTTATTCCGGTTTTTGAAACAGGGACGCTCGTGATAAAGTTTTTCTGTGACAGACAAAATACCACGCGGGCAATGCCGCGGGCGAAAAGCTAGTAAATAAATAAACAGAACATCGAATTGTTATCGAGTCACGTTTCGTGGAAATTAGTTTCATCAAAACTGAATAAAATTCAAAATGTAAAATGATTCGTGGAAAAACAAAAATAATGTTTGATAAGAAGCAGAGGCGGCGTAAGGCGTAGGCGACGTGGGCCACCGCCTACGGCCTCGCGGTACAAGGGGCCTCGCGCATCAAACATTTTGAAAAAATGTATACAAGGTGGAGATGACAATATCACAATACGAACATTGACTATTAAATATAAATTCTTGATAATTAAACAATGTAGTTAAAAATAAAAATATATTTTTTTCCAAACAAATTCAGCCTTAATCAGACACAAAATTAAGCAACAACACGGTTTTAAGTGACGAACATTATTCTTTGGCGCAATATTCCTTTAAAAATAATCACTGAATCAAGAAATCAGAAACTGTCAATGTATAGACCTTTGACCCTTTTTTTTATTATTTC